CAGACTGCATAGAATGTCGTGGTAATTGTGGTTTATGAAGGTGATAATGAGTGTTAAGAAGGTCAATGAGTGGCACATGACTGTTCTGGGTGGTCTGTCTGTTCGGTACATTGTTCAGTATACGAACCAAATAGGGTAATCTGTTCGGTGACCATCACATACCGAACCATCCATGTGGAAAATATCTGTTCAATAATTCAGAGACACATGCACAATAGATTCCCAATGCTTTCCTATGGGAAAAGTGAAGAACACACTTATTGGACTTCAACAAGATAACATAATTTGTTTTTTAATTTTTGTTTTGTTACAGCTGTACAACAGCATACATTCACCATTTCAGTACCATTACCAAAATTTTCTTAATATGTCACGGTAGTTTGACTGAAATATTGGTTATATGCAAATACACGTCTCCTTAAAATAAATTCGCTCTTTTGTTTACTTTGAAGCCCTTCAAGCGTGAGGATGTACAGTGTCAGTTAGGCAACTTTTTTATAATGTACTTTTCAAAATAAACCTATATTACTATGAAAACTGAAGTTTGTGTTTTTTTGCAGCCCACATAAACTTAAACCTTGTTTATTTGGCTCGTGTTAGCCTTTGAGTTTGACATGATTGCTCTACACAATGCTGCTCTAACCTATCTATCCACCCTAATACACAAGTATGTCCCATATAGGCTGCCAAAAACCTACATCTATCCTCTGTTCGTACTCACACTTCTGATGCTCGCCTTCAAGACTTCTTTAAGGCTGCACCATTTCTGTGGAACTTCCTACCCTCCTTCGTTAGACGCTCATCCAGTCTCCTTCAAAAAAATAATTGAAGACTCACTTGTTCAGGAAAGCATATCAATTAAACTGTTAATAGCTCCCACCTCCGCCCGCTGCACACTGATTCCTCTCCTGCAACTGTTATCAAAAAACAACACTAAGTCTTTAGTGAATACTATTCTACCAACCTACTTTCCTAACCCTGCCTTTAGAAAAACCCTGCCTTTACCTTTTGTGTCACTTTACCCCACTCCCTCTAGCATGTAAACTCATTGAGCAGGGCCATCAAACCATCTGTTCCTGTGTGTCCAACTCGTTTTGTTACATTTAAGTGTTTGTTAGTCCGCCCATTGTACAGTGCTGTGGAATTTATTGGCGCTATACTACGTATAATATATCTACCCTCTGGATTCCTAGTAGAGGAAGTTCTAGTTTAGAAGTACACTTACTGGTTTTATAAGAAAAAGGGAAATTATGCACTTTCCAACCCAGTGAGCTATAAGTTTGAGAAATCTAATGAATGAAGATGATATGTTTTATCATTTAAATAATTCTCCAAATCTGCAGCTTCTGTTTGATAGCGTTCGCCATGATGGTGACTGTGACAAAATCTATGTATTTTATCCACCCAGTTACTTTCCATGCGTTCGGTAGATGGATCTACCGAACACTGACCACCCCCCTGGCTCCTTAACTTCAAATAAACCACAAACTTAAGTGCTCTTTCTGTGTGGCCGCCTTTCGTATAACCGAACAACATCTTGTCGTACAAAAGCAGGCAGCGGGACTTGGTCATCGAGTGTCTAAGTCAGACAGGCAGAGCCCCCCTGGGAGATATAGAGCAGGAGATGTTTTAATGGGAGTAGGGGTTATTATACAGCGTAACAAGGGGAACATGGAATGGGGCTGCGCAAGTGGCTAAACAACAGCTGGTAGTGCCCCGTAAATATTGGGCTGAGCTACTTAAGCTAAGCCATGACATTCCCCTAGCAGGATATCTGGGTATCTGGAAAACTAAGGACTGATTAACCCAGACCTTCTTCTGGCCAGGAATCACACAGGACCTGCAGAATTACTGCAGGACATGTGATGTCTGCCAAAAGAGAAGAAAGAGGGGTGACCATCCAAAGGCCAAGTTAGACCCATTACTCTTAATTGAGGAACTTTTCCACCGAGTAGCGGTAGACTTGATAGGGGACCATCATGTAGCACAAAAGCAGGCAGCGGGACTTGGTAGTTGAATCTCTGAAACTTTAAGTCGGACACTCGACCTCGCAAACACTGGCAAATTCACACGAACGCCTGCTTCTTTCTACGACAAGCCAGCGCTGTTTGGTAGGATTGCTACCTATGAGCCAGGGGAACTGTTTGTCTTTTTGTTTGTTTTGGAACGCCTGAAATTGACCGACTACTACCACTGATTCTCTGGAACTAATTTGGGCAGGTGCCACGTGTGCAATCGGTCAAATTTTTCCCCCGGTGGCGAATCGGCTGTGTTCATGAGATCTGAGCGCTATTTGGACAACTTGGGCGATCAGATCCAGGCTATCCGGGGATATAATATTTGTGGGGGTCCCTCTATGTATTATGTGTATTTTTAATATTTTATGTTTTATGATTTGTACCTCTAATGATGGGAGATAATTAGTTTAAGTAAAGTACACTAAATTATTTCCCAGACACAAAGACGCCTGGGAGTGTTTTGGGCGTGTTGTGGGAGTGTTTTGCTATGTCCTTGAAACCCCCTGCTGATGATCTGTGTATATAAGTGGGCCACCTGGCCATAATAAAGCATTCCTGTTGTACCCTTCATCAAGTCTCGACTGATGTTTGGGTATGCGAACGACGAACCATTTTATTTGTTCTCACGACGAACCATTTTATTTGTTCTCACGACGAACCATTTTATTTGTTCTCACGACGAACCATTTTATTTGTTCTCACGACCAGCTTGGATTTCGGGCTATAATCACTAAGTCCCTAGCATTCCGGTTCGTTACAGTGTACTATTTCTTTATCTTAGGATAGAAATACAGCTTTAAGTGTTACAGTTTGACCAAAAGTGACCTTGTTTTTCACATATTAACAAAATCAATGAGGTGATAAGAACTGGAATGAACATTAGGGCACTATTATGGCAACACCTTGTTATATATTATGGAACACTTCTATAATACAGTTAACAAATACTGCATTCTTGAAGTTAAAAGGGCCTGTCAGCAATGCCATTTCTTGCCAGTCATCTAGTGCCTGCTAAGACACAGATAACTTTTACTGCCTGCTTGCGCAAAGACTTTAAGGGAAGTGTATGGCAGTATTTCCATCAGATACCACTACTACCGTTTTTCCACGAAAATAAGACTGGGTCTTATATTAATTTTTGCTCACAAAAAGCAAAGGGCTTATTTTCAGGGAATGTCTTATTTATATATTACAGGTGGTACTCACTTATCGACCAGGTTCTGTTCTTCCGACATGGTCGTAAAACGAATTTGCTGGTAAGTGAGGATGCACTGGCAAGCAAGTGCAAGAAAGCAGGTCTACGTTTGGGGGAATTCCCCTAAACATAGACCAGTTCACTAGTGCATGGAATCCCGCAAATCTATGTTCGGGGAAAATTCCCCGAACATAGATTAGCGAACAAGCGACGATCTCAACTATTATTTTCGGGGTAGGGCTTTAGAGCATTCCCTGAAAATAAGCTAGGGCTTATTTTCGGTGGATGTCTTATTTTAAGGGCAAATGGTAGAGTCAGAGGCCTATGAAGGCAGAGTGCTAGCAGACTGCTCTCTCCCATAGCAGGACTTAACACAGAACGGCTAATGCCATGGAACGCGTCCTGGCACTCATAGAGTTAATGTTTCAGTCGTACAGCAGGAACGTGGAGAAAACATAACAAATGCAGAAATCTGGGATGATTAACATCGAGAAAGTAGACACATTTTGTAAGTGATTTACTTGTGGATTTTCTGTTAAAGGTCCAGCACCAAATATAAAATATCAAATGAAACAGATATTTGTATTTCACTATTTTTTCAGCCTCGTACATTAAAGGTACTTTGTAGGCAACTAGACCATTTCATCTCATTTAAGTGGTTTGGGTGCAGTGCTCCTGTCTGTTTAACCCTACAAAAAAACTTTGCAGATTACATTGCAGGGTTTACTCCACCTCCAGTATCTGTCTTCCATAAAACCACGTCTTAATATCCCCCAATTTAAAGCATTGCTTCAATGCTTTTGTTTGGGGAAGCTTAACATAAAAACAATAATGTTAGGAACACAAAACTATAGTGCAATTTCTCCCCGCCAAATAAAGGGTTAAAAAACCCAATTATTTAAGTCAGCTGTTGGAGGGGAACCTAATGCATATGTACGGTGAGCACCATGCGCAGATTAGGTCTTTCCTATAGGAGAGCATTGCCTCAACAGAACTGCCAACTCACAGGAGATGTGGGAGTGGTGCAACTTGATGAAGCAGTGTCTGGGCAGTGGGATACCTCCCCTTCTTCTACCTGGCAATGAGTGAGGTTAGGGTTCATATGGTTGATATTATGTGTATACTTGTTTCATTCCAGCGTAGACTCTTTTCCTAAGAGAGAGGAAAACGGTTGTGAGATGACTTTTATCCAACAAACTTGCATTCCAAAAACTGCAGGTATAAAATTAACTGAACATATATACAATCAAACCTACCTCTCTTGTTCCATCTGTAAAATTGCTATAATAACTAAGAGAAACTGTGTTCAATGATGACATGGAAGGAAGATATGTGATGGTAACAGGAACCCTGGGCTTGACACGAGGGCAGGACAGGGAATTCCCAGGTCGCATAACATGGAGAGCCTAGACAAACTACTCCATAGATTTGTGTCGCCGTCCAAATTAATTGGTGTCTGGAGGGTACTTCACCCTGACACCCCAGACAACACTCTCTATTCAACAAACTAAATACAAAGCAGATAAGCTGGTGCAGATTAGGTAACTGTAAACCAATCGTGGGTTAGGATGCAGCACCTACCGTATACCCAGGTAATAAGGCACAGGAAATAGAAACAGAAAAGTGCTGGTGCACAAAAAAAACAAATGCCGAGACGCCTTGTGGAAGAGTGACTCTAAGGTGTATATACCATATGAATGTAATAGCCACCAATAAAAGACCATAAGTTCCAAAGACAATTAAGTTAATACTTATAGCCTGCCTGTAGATATCACTGGAGAGAAAAAGGGAGCACTCCTAGTGCAATAAAGTTACTACAATAAGTAAAAGCTGAAAAATATTTCTTTAAGTAAAAAACTCACAAGTTTGGAGTGGTATGAGCCCCACTCCTGGCAATCTCGCCCAGGGAGGATCAGCCACTTGGGTACGTGGGATCCGAGACAAGCTCTTGTGACCAGGTGGTAAGTTGGCAAAATTTATTGGTTGTATAAACCAGAATCCTTAGGGACAATTTACAATGAGGTACAAACCATACAACAACAATTGCAGCCCTGTATGGGAACGGAAGATTTTAATGAACTCTCAGAGAGAACTCAGAAGTATAGAAGTATAGAAGTATAGAGAAGATAGAGGTAGGGATTAAGGAAACGAAAGTTCGGAACTACAAGAGAGATAAGAGAGATTATGAGGAAGGAAAGGTGGGGTAGTATAGAAAGGAATATCAACACAGGAATATAAATAGAGAACAAAAGTGGAATAGGGAATCCACTAATGATAAACCCCAATACACCCATCCCAAGCAACATTCGAGGACCTACTCCAAAAGGAATAAAGTACCTCAGGAGTATGGGAGAGAGAGGGATAAGTGGACACAAGGGAGGTACAACAGAAGAAGGCAATATGAGAAGGTTGATACTCTATTAGACAGATAAGAAGGTAAAGATTTAATAGGGAAAACAGCCCACATATTCATACTACAAATAATCAATTTGAAGTTCTGAGAAATAGAAACCAAGAGGGTGATGATTTTTTAGACAGAGACCCGAGGAGGGGAGTCCTCCAATAAAGAGAACAAGAAAAGTGAGTTCCGGGGATGCAGAGGAGGAAAGAGAAAGAAAGGAAAAGAGATACAATCAGTAACACCTATTGAGATTAATAATATCTCAACAAATCTCCTAAAAGAAGATGAGATCAGAGTCTTGAATAAAGGGTTAAAATTTGCACCCCCAAGATGTTTTAACACATTTCCAGCATATGTAGATTTAATGAAGTATAGTAGGAGACTATGTATCAAAAAAAAATTTCTAAATAAGGAACCTAATGTTTTACAGAATACAGGAGATAATGATGGTTTTAAACATACAACTTTTGAAAATAAATCAAGTTTTTATCCTAATTATTTAAAACATTATAGAAGCCTTCGAGAAAGTGGTTTTTAATGATTTTAAGAAACTAGAAAGGAGACATGTTCAACATAATAACATAATCTAACGCAGGATGAAAGGACGGCTCTAAAGGGAGTCAGAGAAAATGATCAAATTGTCATCAAACCCGCAGATAAGGGCGGTAGTTTGGTGATAATGGACTCTGGGAAGTATGTGGCAGAATGCATGAGACAGTTGGAGGATACTGAGGTCTATAGACAATTGGATGGAGACCCCCTAGGATATATGAGAAAATCACTAACAAGACTCTTAGACAAAGGAAAAATGGAAGGGATTGTGACTTGCAAAGAATACAAATTTTTGAATACAAGAACACCGAGAACTCCGGTATTTTATGTCCTCCACAAAGTCCATAATATATAATGAACCCTCCCGGGAGACCGATTGTCTCCGGTATTGGGTCCCTATCCTATAATCTGTCAAAATATATTGACTCCTTCCTCCAACCCATGGTGAGCAAAACCAGCTCCTTTCTAAAGGACACAACAAATGTCCTGAAGATGTTTAAAGATTTTAGATGGAAGGAGGGGTATGCTTTAGTGACCTGTGATGTTACTTCCCTCTATACATGCATCCCTCAGGACAAAGGCTGTGCGGCTGTCAAGTACTTCCTGGAGTTAGATCAGACATTAGACCGTGTGCTGATAGAATTTTTGGTTGATTGTATAAGATGGACTCTGGAAAATAACTACTTTTGGTTAAATTCTAAGTTTTATTTACAAATGAGGGGAAATGCGATGGGCAGTACCTATGCGGCCAGTTATGGAAACTTATTTATGGCCCATTGGGAAAATAGTTTTATATATGGACAGCATGACTGGAGCGCACGGGTACTGGCCTATCACAGATACATCGACGATATGATCTTTATCTGGGACGGACCAGAACAGGATTTTAAAGATTTTTTTTAAATGTTATGAATTTGAATACATGGGGTATTCACCTCACTGATACTTTTAGTACAGAGTCCATCGATTTTTTAGATTTAAAAATTATAATACATGGGTGAGTCCCTAAGACCGAAACCTTTTTTTAAAAAGTAGATTTAAATTGATATGTGACCTATAGCAGTGGGCACTATTCCCCTGGCTAAATAATATCACAAAGGGCCAACTCCTAAGAACTGTACGGAGGATAGGAGGTTTCAAGAACAGGCACAGGACCTTTTAAATAAATTCCGGGAAAAACAGTACCAAGAGGAAATTTTAGAAAAGGGGCTTGAAGAAGTGAAGGAGGTTACCCAGATGGAACTGATAGACAGAAAGGATAAACAAGAAAATAATTCAGATGATTTTGAAGATATTCTATTTTTTTACTTTAACACAGATCGATTAAAAATATATATAAAAAAAATATTGACCGATATTGAAAACAGACAAATATTTAGGGGATATATTACCAGCAGAACCTAAGGTAACTTTCCTCAGAAACTCTTTAGTACATAGTTTTTATAAGGAGAAATCAAACAAGGCACCTCGCACTTTTTTGGGAGAATTGAAAGGTTTTTTCAAATGTAGGATGTGCTATGCTTGCAGGACAGTGAATAAGAAGAATAGTAAAGTGGAGCTGTCTTTTAAATCAGAGAGGAACAAGAAAGAATATAATATAAGGGAGCACATCACATGCCATTCTAATAATATGGTGGGCATCAACAGCAGGAACGTCTTTCAGGGTCGAATGGCCATATTTGTTTGGCCTCCTGAAACATTGGAGATTTCTGAGGAATTTGTAAGACCAATTAGAGCTTTGTATACCTCATCAGAGCAATAGCATTGGGCAGAGCCATACCGGCCCAGTTCACGCTGTTCAACGGGTCAAGACAAGAATGCCCCCTTTTCCCACTATTGTTCGCCTTGTCCCTAGCCGCTGCCTCACCAGATAAGGAATCATCAGCGCATAGCGGTGGCAGAATCATATTACGCTGTTTCCACATATGCTGATAAAATATCCTGATCACTCTTACTGAACTAAAGAACTTCTCCCTCCTCTATTGGACCTTCTATTTGGCCACAACGTGGTCCGCTCATAAGGCAGTAATACGCAGTCACTTAATTAAAGTTGCCACCCTTGGGAAAAAGTGGTAATCTACTAGAATTACAGAAACCCTTACGGACATTGGAGCATAGACACAAAAATTATGCTAATCCACTCGCAGGACATAGGGTAAATTTGGCAAAATCATGTGCAATGAGAGCACCCAGAGGTGAGACGATGGGTGAATTTGGAGTCTGACATGATGGGGGCAGTTTTCTATTTGGCTATGGAAGCAGCATATAGCTCTTCTACGAACAACTTGCCAGGAAATTCTCACATCTGTAGAATTGTGGGACTAGGTGAGAAAAAAGCAATAAAGAGCTACACATTCTTAGAAATATTGTGTGATGAAGGGAAGGGCAGAAAGGGCCTTATTGTATGATACTATGTTTGGGATCCATATTGTGGGGAGAACTGCAATAGTGGGAGAGAGATCTAGGAGTGGAACAGGAAGGGAAGGTGTGGCAGGACATCTGGGAAGCGGGACATGAAGAGTGTCTATTTGTGTAGGGTAACAGAAACATATGGTAAAAATAATGATGAGGTGATACACTACCCCGGTTACACTGTATAAATTAAAAAAACATTTTCAAATCTCTGTTGGAGGCACTGTGGCTGTAAAGTAACCTATAAGCATATGTGGTGGGAAAACACACGGACCCTACACACACAAGTATTACAAGGGCCATTCGAGGTGGACATGTGGACGTTTCCACTATCTAAACCCATTGAAGACTTTCCGGGATGCTCACAGAAATTAAAAGGTTAGCAAGAAGAAGAGGAGTATAAAAACATGCATGCATGCCATTGTGCTCCAAGAGACACACAAGATTAAAAAGATGGATTAGGAGTAACACACAGGAAGGATCAGTACACACATAGGGATGATTATAAACAGGAGTTATCTGCAGTCACCGGGGGTGCAAACAAGCAGCATCTTCCACCGGACAACCAAGGCCCTCTCTGGCCCAAGATGAACCTCAGTGACGAGGGGAAAAAACCATAAAGTTGTATTTTTTTTTCAACTAAATACAGCCCTTTAGCCAATATCCCACCAAGACAATCTCTATTAGAAATCGACAGCCCCTATAGCAATTATCCATCACACTCTGCATGAACACACTGGACATTCTCCATAGAGATACATGGATTCAATGCATCTCTGTGTTGAGATATTGATTGGCGCAGCACAGCGATTTTCTTATGCAAGCACAATAGCCTCCCAATCCTGCCCTATGGAATAGTATTGGATTGGCTGAGATCATCAAGAGTGATGATCTCAGCCATTGAGGTGGGGCCAGCTGTGGTGAGACTGGTGCAGCATGGGAGAAAAGGTAAGTTTAATATGTTTTCAGAGAGATCTGAGAGAGGGCAGGGAACTAAAGAGTTAGCTTAATTATGGTTCTCTAAACTCTTGCTCTGCAAATGTTGCTGAGCTATAACTCCCATATTTCTCTAGGAAATCTATTTAATTCAAAGAATCATAGCAGTTATAGTTCAGCAACATCTGGAGGGCCAGAGTCTGGAGAACCCTGGTTTAAAACTAAACTGCTGGGAATACATTTGTATTCCTGACACTATACTGTTCCTTTCATTCCTATGGATTACGTTATCATCTGTATGCTGATGACACGTAGATGTATCTCCAATACTATGATCTCTCCCCTGCTGTTTTAGAATGTCACTGGCTGCCTCTCTTTCATCTTGTGATTGGGTGTCCTTCTAATTTCTAAAACTCTCTCTGAAACTGAGCTACTTATTTTTCCTCTTCATAATACTAATCCTCATCTTTCGCTCTCCCTGTAAGTTAATGATACGTGCATCAGCCTGTCCTTGCAAGCTCGCTGTCTAAGTGCTATCTTGGATTCCGGCCTCACCTTTACTCCTCACATCTAGTCTGTTGCCAAATACTGCCAATTCCACCTTATAAAGGTTGCCCGCATTCTACCCTTTCTTATTCTACTAAAAATATTTCTTGCATTGATTACTGTAATTGTCTCTTAATTGGTCTCCCCAGAAGCCATACTGCCTCAATACGTTTCATAGTGAATACTAATGCCGGGCAGATTTTTCTGTCCTGTCGCTCTTTTCACACCTTACCCCTCTGTCAAAATCCTTACATTGGATTCCTGTAATCCTATAGGAGTCAATTAAAAATAATAACTTTAACCCAGTGTTTACCAAACTTTTTAGGTTCAGGGCGCCCTTAACATTTCAACATTTTTCCAAGGCCCCAAGTCAAAACAAATTTCAGGTAGTATAAATGTACAACGTTGCGGCATATAGTGGGCCCCTAGTTCAGCAGAATGGTTTCCCTGGTCAGAGGCGGATCCAAAACCTAATTTTGAGAGGGGCACTGGTAGATTTTTTATAGAAACAATCCAGGCACAAAAACCACTACAGCACTGTGTAGTGATTATGGTCAGAGTAGTGCCGTGGTAGTTAAACTATTTAGGAACAGTTTGAGAATTTACGAGGGATCTGCCGGAATAGGGGCTGTAGTAGTATGGAAAAAGGGCAGAAGTGTGTGTGTGTGAGGGGTGCAATGCGTGTGGGGTGAAGGGTGAAGGGGATGTGTGAACGCTGCAGTGTGTGTGTAAGGATATAGTGTGTGTGTGTGTGTGTGTGTGTGTGTGAGAGAGATTAGCCTATGGCCCCCCAGAGTAGTATTTCCAGGTCACAAGCCTATCTCTCACCCTATCTCCAATTCTGCTACTTTTCCACCTTGTTATTTGCTTGCGATCCCCCTTGCAATTCCTCTTGTGTTTTTATACCCCCACCTCCTCTATACTGTATTATTATTATTATTTTATTATTTATATAGCACCATCAGATTCTGTAGCGCTGTACAATGGGTGGACTGACAGACATTTAATTGTAACTGGACAACTGGACATACAGGAACAGAGAGGTGGAGGGCCCTGCTCAATGAGTTTACTGTAATCCACATCAATCTATTGTTCCTGTAATATTTTGTAATTGTCTCATGTAATTGTCTTCTTGTAAAATTCCCCCCTTTATAATAGTGTAAAGCGTAGCGGAATAAGCTGACGCTATATAAATGCCAATAATAATAATAATAATAATAAACAATAATAATAATAATAATAAATAATAACTAATAATAACTAATAATAAAAATAATAGTAATAATAAATAATAATCATAATAAATAATAATAAAAATAATAGTAATAATAAATAATAATAACAAATAATAGTAATAATAAATAATAATAGTAATAATAAATAATAATAATAAAAATAATAATAATAAATAATAATAATAATAATAAATAATAATAATGTGTGTATATATACAACATAGAGAGAGAGTGTGTATATAATATAATATAATGTGATATACAAACTCCCACATATGATTCTGAAAGATGGCAAGCTGTGCCTGAAATCCACTATTTGCAAACCATCCCATGCAGTAACAGAGGAAGCAACCTGCTGGCAACAAGTAACTAAGGTAAACAAACCCTGGCTGTCATATGGTTCTAATCACTAAAGACACCTCGCGCGCTGGCCGAACCCTACAGACTATATGTCGCCGGCCGGTGTTCTCTAGTGTGTAGAACAAAAACGCTGTGGTGCCCGCCCCCTCGCGCTCGGCAGATCCGGACAGTGATTGGATGCGACCCGCCTTGGATGGGAGCGCAGCGTTCCCCGGTCGCCTGGACAACGCCGCTCTGGCTTCGCAGGTCTGCGGGTTGAACGCGACGTCACCAGCTGCAGGCCAATCATCTTCCTGGCTCGCGACGCACCAGTGCCTGTAGGGTAAGATTCTCTTGGAGCTCCAGTGGGCATCAACAGATTGTCCAGGTAGGATAGTGTCCATCTATAGTGTAACTGGCAGCTATAGGTAGGATAGTGTCCATCTATAGTGTAACTGGCAGCTATAGGTAGGATAGTGTCCATCTATAGTGTAACTGACCGCTACAGGTAGGATAGTGTCCATCTATAGTGTAACTGGCAGCTACAGGTAGGATAGTGTCCATCTATAGTGTAACTGGCAGCTACAGGTAGGATAGTGTACATCTATAGTGTAACTGACAGCTACAGGTAGGATAGTGTCCATCTATAGTGTAACTGGCAGCTACAGGTAGGTTAGTGTCCATCTATAGTGTAACTGGCAGCTACAGGTAGGATAGTGTACATCTATAGTGTAACTGGCAGCTACAGGTAGGTTAGTGTCCATCTATAGTGTAACTGGCAGCTACAGGTAGGATAGTGTACATCTATAGTGTAACTGGCAGCTACAGGTAGGATAGTGTACATCTATAGTGTAACTGGCAGCTAGGTAGGTTAGTGTCATCTAGCAGTGTAACTGGCAGCTACAGGTAGGATGGTGGCCACATCTATGGTGTAACTGGCGGCTACAGGTAGGTTGAGTGTCCATCTATAGTGTAACTGGCATACAGGTGGGATGGTGTGCATCTATGAGTGTGACTTCAGCAGCTACAGGTAGGATAGTGTGCATCTATAGTGTAACTGGCAGCTACAGGTAGGATAGTGTCCATCTATAGTGTAACTGGCAGCTACAGGTGGGATAGTGTCCATCTATAGTGTAACTGACAGCTACAGGTGGGATAGTGTACATCTATAGTGTAACTGGCAGCTACAGGTGGGATAGTGTCCATCTATAGTGTAACTGGCAGCTATAGGTAGGATAGTGTACATCTATAGTGTAACTGGCAGCTATAGGTAGGATAGTGTCCATCTATAGTGTAACTGACCGCTACAGGTAGGATAGTGTCCATCTATAGTGTAACTGGCAGCTACAGGTAGGATAGTGTCCATTTATAGTGTAACTGGCAGCTACAGGTAGGATAGTGTACATCTATAGTGTAACTGACAGCTACAGGTAGGATAGTGTCCATCTATAGTGTAACTGGCAGCTACAGGTAGGATAGTGTACATCTATAGTGTAACTGGCAGCTACAGGTAGGATAGTGTACGTCTTAGTGTAACTGGCAGCTATAGGTAGGATAGTGTACATCTATAGTGTAACTGGCAGCTACAGGTAGGATAGTGTCCATCTATAGTGTAACTGACAGCTACAGGTAGGATAGTGTCCATCTATAGTGTAACTGCCAGCTATAGGTAGGATAGTGTACATCTATAGTGTAACTGCCAGCTACAGGTAGGATAGTGTACATCTATAGTGTAACTGGCAGCTACAGGTAGGATAGTGTACATCTATAGTGTAACTGACAGCTATAGGTAGGATAGTGTACATCTATAGTGTAACTGGCAGCTATAGGTAGGATAGTGTACATCTATAGTGTAACTGACAGCTATAGGTAGGATAGTGTAAATGGCAGCTACAGGTAGGATAGTGTACATCTATAGTGTAACTGGCAGCTATAGGTAGGATAGTGTCCATCTATAGTGTAACTGGCAGCTATAGGTAGGATAGTGTACATCTGTAGTGTAACTGGCAGCTATAGGTAGGATAGTGTACATCTATTGTGTAACTGGCAGCTATAGGTAGGATAGTGTACATCTATAGTGTAACTGGCAGCTATAGTTAGAATAGTGTACATCTATAGTGTAACTGACAGCTATAGGTAGGATAGTGTACATCTATAGTGTAACTGACAGCTATAGGTAGGATAGTGTACATCTATAGTGTAACTGGCAGCTATAGGTAGGATAGTGTCCATCTATAGTGTAACTGGCAGCTATAGGTAGGATAGTGTACATCTATAGTGTAACTGGCAGCTATAGGTAGGATAGTGTGCATCTATAGTGTAACTGGCAGCTACAGGTAGGATAGTGTACATCTATAGTGTAACTGACAGCTATAGGTAGGATAGTGTACATCTATAGTGTAACTGACAGCTATAGGTAGGATAGTGTACATCTATAGTGTAACTGGCAGCTGAGTGGGATAGGTGTCCATCTATGGTGTGGCTTCCAGCAGCTACAGGTGGGATAGTGTCCATCTATGGTGTAACTAGCTACAGGTAGGACGGGTGTGTGCATCTATGAGTGTGGCTTGGCTACTGCGTGGGATGAGTGTCCATCTGTAGTGTAACTGGGAAGCTATAGGTAGGATAGTGTCCATCTATAGTGTAACTGGCAGCTACAGGTAGGATAGTGTCCATCTATAGTGTAACTGGCAGCTACAGGTAGGATTGTGTCCATCTATAGTGTAACTGGCAGCTACAGGTAGGATAGTGTACATCTATAGTGTAACTGGCAGCTATAGGTAGGATAGTGTACGTCTATAGTGTAACTGACAGCTATAGTTAGGATAGTGTCCATCTATAGTGTAACTGGCAGCTACAGGTAGGATCTATAGTGTAACTGGCAGTTCTACAGGTAGGATAGTGTCCATCTATAGTGTAACTGGCAGCTATAGTGTAACTGGCAGCTATAGGTAGGATACATCTATAGTGTAACTGGCAGCTATAGGTAGGATAGTGTCCATCTATAGTGTAACTGGCAGCTATAGGTAGGATAGTGTCCATCTATAGTGTAACTGGCAGCTATAGGTAGGCTATAGGTAGGATAGTGTCCATCTATAGTGTAACTGGCAGCTATAGGTAGGATAGTGTCCATCTATAGTGTAACTGGCAGCTATAGGTAGGATAGTGTCCATCTATAGTGTAACTGGCAGCTATAGGTAGGATAGTGTCCATCTATAGTGTAACTGGCAGCTACAGGTAGGATAGTGTCCATCTATAGTGTAACTGGCAGCTACAGGTAGGATAGTGTCCATCTATAGTGTAACTGGCAGCTATAGGTAGGATAGTGTCCATCTATAGTGTAACTGGCAGCTATAGGTAGGATAGTGTCCATCTATAGTGTAACTGGCAGCTATAGGTAGGATAGTGTCCATCTATAGTGTAACTGGCAGCTATAGGTAGGATAGTGTACATCTATAGTGTAACTGGCAGCTATAGGTAGGATAGTGTGCATCTATAGTGTAACTGGCAGCTACAGGTAGGATAGTGTACATCTATAGTGTAACTGACAGCTATAGGTAGGATAGTGTACATCTATAGTGTAACTGACAGCTATAGGTAGGATAGTGTACATCTATAGTGTAACTCACAGCAATAACCATGAATGTCATCATGTTCTGGTTGACAGATTGTTATTACAGCCGCCATGATGCAGCATGTCCATTTGGTACCAGAGGAAGAGGAGGATGATCTTTATACAGGCTACAATGATTATAATCCCACATATGACATTGAGGTAGTATTTGTCTATAATACATATTTTCTCTAATGTATCTTTTTTTAAAACCAGATAATCTTAATAATACAGGATGTGGAAAGACAATGGAAACACCTTATTATATATTAATATATAATAGTAATCAGGTGGCCTTTGACTTTGAATGTCAGTCCTTATATTATATATGATAGAACTTTAGAATAAGCCTGAGATGTGAGGAGCAGGACAGTATGCATTTCTTTAATAAGTAAAGCCTTCATTTCTGTGGTGAAGGAGGGAGGTGGACACAGACACCACACTACAGAAATGACAAACTGCCCTTTTGCCTTAATAAATAGAGCTAAATAAATGTCATTTTATTAACATCAAGATGGTATTTTCATCCTGGAATTTTGGGGCATAGTGAGGGTAGAGAGTCTTTCTTCCTTGGCATTCTCTCAATAGAAACTTGTTCGGATGTAAAGACTGTGGTTTTAAATTCAACCTGTTAATCTAATAATTATCACAAGTTTATGCTAAATATTAATGTTGTTTACATTTGAATATTAGTCTTATTTATGATGTAGTTTTCACATCTATAAAATTTGTGTACTTTTATAAAAGAGGATACTTAATGGTCTTGAATAACGTTGATACATATTAAATATATTAAAAGATGTAACAAAATAACTTGCCTGGCTTAAAGGTGCCATCCAAACACTATGTCCCTTGAACTGTTATGGTAACAGGAGTTGTCCTGCCTTTTCGTTCCCTCATTATAGCTGTGGATGTAAAACCAGGGCAGATCTGAAGGCCAACTTTTCAGTGATACTGCCAGAGTATTTTGGAAAAGGTTTATAGCTCCCACTTATACATCTTGCATGTTACTGTTTATTTTCTGTGAGGCTATGCAAACATTGCTACACAATGCACATTACTGTTAGTGTTATTGCAGTGGAGCTCTGTGATACATGCAGCTTGTAACTGAAACTATAATGCCATTGAGCTCTGTGAATCACTTATACTTCACAAACATAGAAACATAGAATGTGACGGCAGATAAGAACCATTCGGCCCATCTAGTCTGCCCAATTTTCTAAATACTTTCATTAGTCCATGGCCTTATCTTATAGCTAGGATAGCCTTATGCCTATCCCACGCATGCTTAAACTCCTTTACTGTGTTAACCTCTACCACTTCAGCTGGAAGGCTATTCCATGCATCCACTACCCTCTCAGTAAAGTAATACTTGCAGTGTGCTATATCACAGAAATACAATTAATAGTAATATGTGGCATGTATTTCTATATTACAGATTCCTACTGTAATAAACCCTCCTGAATTACATTGTATGAATGAATATATACAAGAGATGCTGATAAATAAAATTCCATCCTTTGCTGTAAATCCCCATATTTTGCAGGTTTTGAGCAGTAATCACTGTGTAGACCACGAAACGACTTGGGCAGTGGGTTTGCTCACTTATCTTTCTATAGCAGTGCAGTTTAATACTATTATATGTATATAGCGCCAACAAATTCTGTAGCGCTTTACAATGGGTATCCCACAAACAGTACTTTATGGGCAGAGCAAGTGTTTATGGGAGTTGTAGTTCATTTGTCAGCTTTATGCTGTAGAAATCCAACAGCTGAATAAAAACGACCAGAAAGTCATGACATCCTGTATAGCCGTAATACAGGGAAACACTGTGTGTGTCTATCTCTGCCAGCAGTTCTGCTCATTGTACCTGTATATGATGCCCATATGATTCTGTCCATACTCCCGCCTCTGATGCTCGCCTTCAAGACTTCTCGAGGGCTGCACCGTTCCTGTGGAACTCACTTCCCTCCTCCGTTAGATGCTCACCCAGTCTCCACTCCTTCAAAAAATCATTAAAAACCCACTTCTTCATAAAAACGTATCAATTAAACTGTTAATAGCTCCCGACTGATTCCTCTTTTGCAACTGTCACTAGTTTAATACTACCCTTACCTTTTTGTGTCATTTTACCCCACTCCCTCCAGCATGTAAGCTCATTGAGCAGGGCCCTCAACCCCTCTGTTCCTGTGTGTCCAACTTGTCTGGTTACAACTACATGTCTGTTCGTCCACCCATTGTAAATCGCTGCAGAATTTGTTGGCGCTATATAAATAATAACAATACCCGGCGCTTTATACATGACCTGAGCAAAAATAAATATATACGGTATATGTTGTTGTTTTTATGAAACGGTTAAAAACTGCTGGGTTGGTTAAGGAGCAAAATTGTGAAAGAATATTCATTTGAAAAAAAAAAAAAAATCACCCAACATAACTAATTGTGTAAACTCACATTGCACCAGGTGGGTACAGGTAGGTACATGTCTGGAATTTCTAACCACCAGTTATGTTTCGTTTCTCATTCTAGGAATTGGAGAACGATGTAGCTTTTCAGCAAGCTGTTAAAACTAGCCATGGACGAAGACCACCGGTATGTCATTACTAAGTGTTCTAGGCAAAAATGCTTTAGTATAATGATGGCATAAAAAACAGCAATTATCTTTTGTGATTGATATATGTGTATATATTTATATTTACTCTTGAATAATCAATTACATTAGTTAGTAAAACATGGAAGTAATTTGTGCACTAACAACATCTTTTTATATATTTTTTAATTATTATTATAAAATTTTTAGATCACAGCAAAAATCCCAGGGACCGCGGCTCCACGCGCACTTGCAACAGGGTTTGGTGTGAGTATGTCGTTTGTAGATATTGCGTTGCCAGTGTGGGAAGATGAACGTACTTTTTACATAAACCTGTCCGGGATTTGTGTGACGGGCACTGTTAATGCTGTAAATGCCCCTAAAATCATATTTTTAGTGATAAGTTGTTCAGCTCCTAGCAACCAGCCCAGCCCTTGTTTGTTTTTGTTCATTATACTATTTGCCAGTTTCTCTTTTTTATATTATTTATGTTAACTACTGGCTTATAGACCCTGGATCTTTCTCCTAGCTTATATTATTATGTTGTGGCGTGCTGACTCCCTTCTTGGATTCAATTTGGAGCCTGATACATTTTTCTGTGTTGGCAACACACTCTTTTAATTAGACAGATTCTCACTCCCCTTATTAGCAGCACTTTTTCATGCTTACCTAATTAACTCTAGTCATAATGACACTTACAGGGTTATTCACTGCAGTGAGAATTCAAAGTGAATTTGAAATTTAAGACCAAAATTGCTGATTTAAGAAACATTCTCTGGGTCAACTATGATTGTATTTCATTTACTTTGGCCTAAAAGTTGATGTCCACTTTGAATCCACTTAGAATTCTCAATATAGTCAACAGCGTGTTAATAAGTCATTCTCATACCTGCATTCCAATCAATCTGCATATTCTTTCACACACACCTTATTAGATACACGCATACATGACTAGCCACTTACTCACATACCTACAAACTAATTAAACACACATAACTTGCCATTCACAAACTATACCTAATTAGAAACACTCACATACACATATATGTATACATTTACTAACCGATGCACACATTCATATATATGATATATTCTAATCACTCACTAACACGCTTATTACATTACCCTTCCACTCATCCTCTTTGTGTTAAGCTCTGTCTGTGATGAGTCGGGAAGTAGTCTATCCCTGGTGTGTAGAAGCAGCAGGCAAGCTGGGCAGCAAAGACTTCAGGGTCTCATTGACTTCCACATAGAATATAGAGCATTGGGAAAATGTAATGTCATTTCCCATCCTCACTGCATTTTGAGTAATGGCACCTTTAAACTGTCTATGCCACCAGAGTAACCTGATCAATTTAAAGTATATGAGGATTGGCCAGATGAGATCTTTTGGTCTCCCCAGGCATCTAGGAGAAAATTATTTTTTGACTGGTACCAACTCTGTGCTACAAGATTACCTGTCCAGTGCATCTGGCGAATCCTGCATGACTGGTGCCTTGGGAGAACCCCGGTGCTATCACCCACTGTCTAGAGCAGTGTTCCCCAACCCGTGGACCACCATCAGTCCAGGATTTATGTATTTCCCTGTTTTATTCCAATGGAAATACTGACAAAACCTGGACTGTTGGTGGTCCATGAGGACTGGGTTGGGGAACACTGGTCTAGGGGGCATGTTTTCTTTTTCATTCTCAATAGGTCTGCATTTCCCTACATGTGATCTGCAGCAACAGACTACTCGGTCATTTTACAGCCAGACTGCACACAATGTTTACATTCATATTTCTGTTGAATTACAATTCTTTCAGGGTTATTCACTAAAGTGAGAATTAATGGGAATTTAAAGTGAATTTCTAATTTTAGACAAAAATAGCCAAGCTGACTCGAAGACTTTTTCCAATTCAGCTACTTTGACCTTAAATTTTAAATTCACTTCGAATTCCCAACAGTTACCACTTTAGTAAATGACCTTATTTCTGTTCTTCTACAACATCTAATGTGTGATGCGCATATTTGGAAATGTAGTCCATCACCCTCCTTAGGTTATCTAAGCACATAGAAAGATCTGGGACCCACAGCTAGGAAAATCATTCCAAAAACAACATTCCATTATTAGCGTTCTTGGAATGTTTTAACTTTCAAGGGTGAGGCCCTAATTATGTGAACATTTATTATAACCAGCTATGTTTTGCACATAAATCATTCCTGTGGTTGCTTCAAACTTGATTTTATGTAATCCAACTGATTGCCCATGATACAATTTTTTTTTTTTTTTTTTTTTTTTAAGGCCAGGCCAAATCTTTTCTCATCGATCGGGCGGCCGATGACAGGAGCTGTGCAGGTATGATACATTGGGGGCTAACTGCAACAAAGTACTTTTCACAGTTATATTCATCAGCTGTGTTTTCATAGTCTAGAAAAGGTCAAAACTTGTTTTTGTTTTTTTGTATTTTTAATAGTTCTATATTATAACAGGGAATGACATAAGCAGCAGTACTTGCATAGCTTTATTTTGCCCTAAAGAAAAGTGTTTCTAAAAATTGATGTACCCGAATAACACAAGTGGAAATAAAATTATACATCCTGAAGAATTTTGGGCATGCTTATAGTACTTAAAGGGACACTATAGTCACTAGAACAACTACAGACTATTGTATTTGTTTTGGTGAATATAGTCATTCCCTTCAGGCTTTTTGCAGCAAACACTGTCTGTTCAGAGAAAATGCAGTGTTTACATTACAGCCTAGGGATACCTCCACTAGCCACTCCTCAGATGGCTACTAGAGGTGCTTCCTGGGGCAGTGCTGCACAGTGTGCAACACTGACATTTAATGTCTTTACACTCTGCATTGAGACATTGAGCTTTCCTCCTAGAGATGCATTGATTCAATTCATCTATATGAGGAGATGCCAATTGGACAGGGCTTTGTTTGACTTGTGCTGGCTCTGCCACTGATCTGCCTCCTTGACAGTCTCAGCCAATCAAATGGGAAGTTGGCTGAGGCAGTTGGCTGAGAACACAACTTCTGATGATGTCAGCCAGCAGACAGATCAGGGGCAGAGCCAGCAGCAGGATACTGCACAAAAGGTAAGATTTTACTATGTTTAGGGGCCAACAGGGGGGCTAGGTGGTGTTTTTAACACTAGAGCCAGAAATGTATGTTTGTGTTCCTGACCCTATAGTGTTCCTTTAAATAAGCTGCAATGTGTGTATTCTTCAATTTATTATTAACATAGAACAAAACAAAAATTAGTTACCTGTGTACGATCCTACATTCCTATGCACAACAGAAATTTTTACTACCACTTAAAAGGCCATTAAAATGTCAGCTCACCTGCCACATCAAGACAAACCTCTTAGGTGAGTTGAACAGTAACTATTCATCTTGCTGCTCTTAGCTAAACGGTAAAATCCCTAGAGAGACAGGAATGGGTATTCTTCTGAAACTCTACACATTTATTAACCTTTAGCATGACACACGTGGCTTGTGCGGCAGCATTGAAACATGGCTGTGTAATACAAATTTGTGTTTCTATTTTTAACACGGCCTGTTTGATTCTCCATATTGATACTGATATGTTGGCTTCAATGCCAGCACATTAACATCCAAACATCCTATACTCCTCTTGCAAAAGTGAGAAATATGTTCTGGGATAATATCACTGCGACACAAAGCAGGGGAATTGACTGACAGATGGGGTCAGTGCTGTATTTTTAAAGTGCTTTAAATTAAAATCTATGTATTTGGTGCATAATGTGTTGATTAGGTACACTGTAAACTGTTAGATGATATGGAATAACAGTGTATTTGGTGAAGTGAATAACATACTGCTTGAAACTTTGTTGTAAAGGGGCACTATAGTCACCAGAACAACTACAGATTAATGCATTTGTTCTGGTGAGTAGAATCAGTCCCTGTAGGTATTTGCATGTAAACAGTGACTTTTCAGAGAAAATGCAGTGTTTACATTACCCCCTAGGGATACCTCCAGTGGCCACTCCCCAGATGGATACTAAAGGTGCTTCCTGGGGCAGTGCTGCACATCTTGGGAATGCATTGGATTGGCTAAAAATCATAAATTCTGATGATGTCAGTGCTGGAAATAATTCAAGTTTTATTACCTTAAAAGGGGGGAAGGCAAGCTACCTAAATGGTGGATTTAGAACTATAGGATCAGGAATACATGTTTGTGTTTCTGACCCTATAGTATTCCTTTAAGTAGTTTAAATTGCTTAATTATTTACACAATTTCCTATCAGTTTTCTGTAAAATGAACAGTTTTCCCGTGAGTGTGTTAAGTAAAATTTGTCCATCTTGGCTCCATTGTGAACTTTTTTTTGGGGGGTGTTGTATGTGTTTTAAACAGCATTCATTATTTTGTGATTGGGAATTTAGTCAATATGATAACATGGCCTTTGAGTTCAGTTCTAAAGTTGCTAGGCAGATAAAGGTGAATAAGATTGATCAATATTTTCCTGATTTCCTAAACATTAGGAACATTTCTGCTTTTAGGCATTGTATAGTAAGATCTTCTTCACTAGAGGAACAGACTGTTCCTCACTAGAGGAGCAATATATGCTTTATTACAGGAATATTTTAAATAGTTGCAACTATATGCACGTAGAGTTTCTTTATTTTACTGTTTAGTTTCTTATTTTTGGCAAATCATTTATTTCATGTCCTTTTTTTATTGTGTTTTTTTTTTTGTTTTTTTTTTGGAAGGATGGCGTTGCTCGGCCCATGACTGCAGTGCTCGCTGCTGGCTACACTAAGGCTGCTTTTAGAGGTACTGTCTTGTCCAAATAATGATGATAGGATCTGTTTGTACACAGTTCACCATTACGCATTAAACCCCTTTTCATTTTCAGGATCCTCCTTTGATCCTATTGGGCAGTCCCGGGGTCCTGCTCCTCCACTTGAAAACAGAAATGAGGACACGTGAGTTGACTTGTTTTAATTTTTATAAGCATTAACATGTGCAGGGCTGGCAAAATAAGCCATAGCAAATAAATACTGGTGCCAACAGAACTACAGATCTAGAACTTCAAAATAAACACTGATTATGCTCCATTCCATCTTCACAAGCTGGGCCTGGCATAACCCTGTATTGGCATGGGACATCATGCTTGTTTATCATTGTTGACTCCAAAGAGCCATTCTCTTTGAAAAAGCAAGTCTTCAATGTCACAAGAACAGCTTTAAATACTTCCCTTGTGCCAGATTTCTTATTAGAGAGAAATTCACAGATCAATGGGCTTATGGAAATTTACACTGTTTAATGCCTTAGTTCAGCTTGGCGTATCTGGGACCATTTAATTAACTACATTTATCATCTTTCCTTTTTATGTGTGGGCTAAAAGTATGTTCGTTGTTGTTTATTAATTTATTTTTTCACTTTCTTCATTACTATTATTTATTCACACACAAGGCAAGAAGTGAAAATTAACCAGCTATGCTCAAATGAGAACAACTATCTTTTTTTTTATTTTTTATTTTTTTCTTTTTTCAAGCCTCATACTTTTTAGATCTGAATAAATATGGGAAACACCCTAAAAATGTTTTCTGTCGTGTTACTTGCCTACGTCATCCAATTTTGATGTAACTCGCCTTTCCCTAGTCTGACACTGGTCAGGTTTCATTGCCCATAATGCTTGCACACATTTATGTTTCTATAACGTAAAATGTTGCTGTCAAAAATCTGATATCTAAGCTTGGCCTGTGGTTGTTTGTAAACTATATCCCATTGATGCTCTGGCTGAGCATCTGAAGAAATGTAGCACACAACCACCGAGAGTGTTGAGATTTGCCATCCATTGTTTAGGACCTCAACACATTAAGGATGAACTTTACAGCCAATCTCGCTCGGTATTTTGTCACCTGTCAAGAATACAGTGGAGTTCATTCTTGACAGGTGACAAAATACAGAGCGAGATTTCATTCCTCCTATATATATTTTCTGTGGTATTATGAGATGATCCATGTTTAGCCCAAAAAGGTGCTGTTGGTATTTACCGAAAAGGTTTTTACATTCCCCACTAATATGCCTCCCTCATCTATGTTTTAGTCCTGAAGAAAAGATCAGGCAGTTGGAGAAAAAAGTGAATGAACTGATTGAAGAAAGCTGCATTGCCAATAGCAGTGGAGATTTAAAACTGGTGAGCCGTTTTTCTCGTTACAATGTATTATTAGTCTCATTTATTCAAATTCTATCCGCTAATTTGAAATGCTGAATACAACACATTAACAGGGAACTGCTACTTCTCTGGAATTTACATAATTAAATACAACGTTAAAAATCACCTATAATTTGTGTTACCTTTGTTTTTACTTGATGAGATGCTCGGATGTTAAAGATTTAGCAAGTGGCATCATAAAGCAATTCAAACAGGGTAAACATAGCCGGAAAGAAAAATAGAAACGTTGTTTCATTTTCTTCTCTTCTCTGTATGTTTTATCTGTAGTGACTGCCAGGTGCGAAGGACAGAGCTTATAATAATGATAAACAATGAGAGCTAAAATGGAGGCACCCAGTTACAGAATGAAGAGATGGCGATTTCTATATTTAATTTTATTTTTCATATTTCTCGGATACATATTTATTAAATACAAGAATAAATAAATATAATGTTAAAAAAAAAAGGAAGTGACAATTGCCCTTTAACGGCTGTGTAATTTGACAGACACAAGCTGGTCTGATTTAAAGTGTGCATACAATCTGTAGGTCAAACACAAGGTACTGAGACTTATTTGATTCGGTCTAGTAATTTAGGTGAAAACGGGAGACCTGTACCATGATATTTTTATTTTTTTATTTTTATTTTTTAAACATTGTTCTGCATAATTCTATTAATGCCAATATGTCTAGACTGCATCACATTGTAACCTTTCTCTTGTAGTTTTATGGTTACTCTGCATTATGCTATCGATGCCAATATGTCCAGTTTGCATCAACATATAATAAATGGAACTGCCATAGAGAATACTTTTATTTATTCCTTTCTGTTCTTAGGCCTTAGAAAAAGCAAAGGAAGCCGGAAGGAAGGAGAGGGTCTTGGTCCGGCAAAGGGAGCAAGTAATCTCTCCGGAAAACATTAACCTTGACCTGACATACTCTGTAAGTTTATTGAATGGCTTCTCATTAAGTGTTTGGATATGTATACTAACCAAAAATGGATACTAACCATAAATCATTTTATTTTTTTGTGTGTTTTTTTCCTAATTGTTTTTTAATTTAATTAAATGTTTTAATATATGTAAAATACTTATCAAATTTGCCACAATACAGAGAAACAGAGCCGCATAAACTAGACACAAAATCACTTTTTCCCCACAGGGTTATGTTTTGCGTTTTTTATATTTGTAATTATTGTTCCCATCCCATCTTTTGTTTGATAAGGTCGTTATTTGATATATATTTAATGTCCCATAGATTGAATGAGAAACAAAACCTCAATTAAAAAAAGACCTGAAATCCAATTGAGTTGCCACATTGAGTACTCACAGAGGAAATTTCTCATTCAGCTGGCCTACTGTTCACCTGTACTAGAAGTTTTTTTTATTGTCTGAAATAGAGAAACGTTGATTGATTGTAAAGTGTTTACACAAGACTTTAATTTCATCCTCAAACTTTTTTCCCCCCTTTATATAGGTATTGCTAAACCTGGCCACCCAGTACTCCGCAAATGAGCTCTATGCAGAGGCTATCAACACATACCAAGTGATTGTGAAAAATAAAATGTTTAGCCATGCAGGTGCGTGCACTGTCACTGTTTGTTTTATTGCTATGTGCAACAGCAGTGTCTCTGTGTTGACATTTCAGTCCTCAAGCCAGTCTGTAATGTTATAGTGCAGTATGTGCAGCGGGGTTTTTAACTGTAAAATTGCTTCACAATGTGTGAATAGGTAATACAAATAATTTGAGACCTTTTATTTAAATGCCCTCTTTAAAGTTTTGTCTGTCTACATGAGCTTGCCAGTATATGTGTAAATCTGTTTGAAGCTGTCAGTATGTATATAAAAATGTGTGAATCTGTGTGTAGAATTCTGTGAACCTGTCTGTCTCTGTGTAATTCTGTGTGAGCCTGTCTGTCTGTGTGTAATTCTGTGTGAACCTGTCTGTCTGTGTGTAATTCTGTGTGAACCTGTCTGTCAGTGTGTAATTCTGTGTGAACCTGTCTGTCTCTGTGTAATTCTGTGTGAACCTGTCTGTCTGTGTGTAATTCTGTGTGAACCTGTCTGTCTGTGTGTAATTCTGTGTGAACCTGTCTGTCAGTGTGTAATTCTGTGTGAACCTGTCTGTCTGTGTGTAATTCTGTGTGAACCTGTCTGTCAGTGTGTAATTCTGTGTGAACCTGTCTGTCTGTGTGTAATTCTGTGTGAGCCTGTCTGTCTGTGTGTAATTCTGTGTGAACCTGTCTGTCTGTGTGTAATTCTGTGTGAGCCTGTCTGTCTGTGTGTAATTCTGTGTGAGCCTGTCTGTCTGTGTGTAATTCTGTGTGAACCTGTCTGTCAGCGTGTAATTCTGTGTGAGCCTGTCTGTCTGTGTGTAATTCTGTGTGAACCTGTCTGTCAGTGTGTAATTCTGTGTGAGCCTGTCTGTCTGTGTGTAATTCTGTGTGAACCTGTCTGTCTCTGTGTAATTCTGTGTGAGCCTGTCTGTCTGTGTGTAATTCTGTGTGAACCTGTCTGTGTGTAATTCTGTGTGAGCCTGTCTGTCTGTGTGTAATTCTGTGTGAACCTGTCTGTCAGTGTGTAATTCTGTGTGAACCTGTCTGTCTGTGTGTAATTCTGTGTGAACCTGTCTGTCTGTGTAATTCTGTGTGAACCTGTCTGTCTGTAATTCTGTGTGAAATTCTGTGTGAACCTGTCTGTCTGTGTGTAATTCTGTGTGAACCTGTCTGTCAGTGTGTAATTCTGTGTGAACCTGTCTGTCTGTGTGTAATTCTGTGTGAACCTGTCTGTCTGTGTGTAATTCTGTGTGAACCTGTCTGTCTGTGTGTAATTCTGTGTGAGCCTGTCTGTCTGTGTGTAATTCTGTGTGAGCCTGTCTGTCTGTGTGTAATTCTGTGTGAACCTGTCTGTCAGCGTGTAATTCTGTGTGAGCCTGTCTGTCTGTGTGTAATTCTGTGTGAGCCTGTCTGTCTGTGTGTAATTCTGTGTGAGCCTGTCTGTCTGTGTGTAATTCTGTGTGAGCCTGTCTGTCTGTGTGTAATTCTGTGTGAACCTGTCTGTCTGTGTGTAATTCTGTGTGAACCTGTCTGTCAGCGTGTAATTCTGTGTGAGCCTGTCTGTCTGTGTGTAATTCTGTGTGAACCTGTCTGTCTGTGTGTAATTCTGTGTGAACCTGTCTGTCAGCGTGTAATTCTGTGTGAACCTGTCTGTCTCTGTGTAATTCTGTGTGAGCCTGTCTGTCTGTGTGTAATTCTGTGTGAACCTGTCTGTCTGTGTGTAATTCTGTGTGAACCTGTCTGTCTCTGTGTAATTCTGTGTGAACCTGTCTGTCTGTGTGTAATTCTGTGTGAACCTGTCTGTCAGTGTGTAATTCTGTGTGAACCTGTCTGTCAGTGTGTAATTCTGTGTGAACCTGTCTGTCTCTGTGTAATTCTGTGTGAACCTGTCTGTCAGTGTGTAATTCTGTGTGAACCTGTCTGTCAGCGTGTAATTCTGTGTGAGCGTATCTGTGTTAGCCTGTCTGTATGATTGTCTTTCAGTGTGTCTGTATATTATGTTTGCAATATGTTATCCTTATTCACATGCCAAGGGAATGGAGGAAGCGGCCTTGGCATATAGCAGTTAATTCAAACTTCCTTCATACATAAGACTTGTCGTAATATAGGAGAATAACTGATGGCTCTTCCTTTGTTTAGGTGATCATTGGAATTTCTATATTAACTTATTTATTTTAATATTTATTGGTTCTTTACTTTTATACCTTTTCTTTTAGTGTGTTTGTCATCCAGACAACTTGTAGAAGGCAGGTTAACTTTAAGCAGTGGATTGAAATCTGCAGGGTAAAATTTAGACAGAAACAGCAAATGTTTACACAGGCAGGCTTATTTTTGTCCTGGTGAATAAACCTCAGAGGGTCAGATAAGGTACCTGTTGATCAGGCAGGTGTGTTTATTTTCTATTTATTTTTGTGTGGGTGGTAGCCTTGCCCATCTTGTTAATAAAACATTACATTTTACCAGTTGATGCTCAAATTCAGGTACGTCAGGGAAATTGTGAACTGCTAAGGCAAAGGACCCCTTTCTGGGCTGGGGTAAACAAATGTTGCCGTGTTTTGTTAGCCTGCCATTTCTAGGTCTTAGAAACCACAAGAATTTCTGTGATCCTCAACGTACAAGGAAGTGTTGTGTTAGACTTGACTTGCATGTAAGGGATTCATTTATTGCTCTGCCCAAAGTACTAATTATCCCAGGAATGGGAATACTAAGCATTTTTTTTTTACATTTAAAAAATACAAACTACTTTTTTTCTTTCTTTTTTTTCTGAAAAATCCTACAATTCTTGATGCCATAAATATTTAACCAATTTAGAGTTGATGACATCATGAGTTTTTTAGGTTTTTTTTACGAGTTTTTCTAAACATGTTTTTAAAAGGACTAATGTGTAGTGATGTCCCAAACGGTTCGCCGCGAACGGTTCGCCGCGGACTCATCATTGAGTAAACTTTAACCCTGTACCTCACAGTCAGCAGACACATTCCAGCCAATCAGCAGCACACCCTCCCACCTCCTGGACAGCTCACTAAGAATGCAGCTTCAAAATGGATGCTGTCCACAAATGAATTATTGAAATATGTCGTTTTTGAGATAGATGTTTGTTTACAAATGTCAAGTTAGTCAAATTCAATAATAATAATAATTATAATTGACCAGTTATCTAGATACATTAAGTTGTAAGGTATGGCCATAGGATGAATTATACCATGTTAACAAAAGCTACCTGCATGGTCAGCCACTTGATCCATGGGTTATTGACTTGTTCTGGCTCTTTTGGTACAGTGTTGCTATTTCATTCTTAATTTGAACATGGCAACACTACACATACCCCCAAATTCTAGCACTTCACGTAACATAATTGATTCTAGTGCTTCGTGTAAAATAAGTGATTTCTTTTCCTTCTAAAGGCCGCCTGAAAGTTAACATGGGAAACATTTATCTGAAACAGAGGAATTATTCAAAGGCTATTAAATTTTATCGAATGGCTCTTGATCAGATCCCAGGGGCCCACAAAGAGATGAGGTGAGTTATAAATGAAGTGTTATGTAAGCAGGGTAAATCTGATCTGACTTTGCCTAATTGGCTGCATGGGTGACAGATTTAATGCCACAGGGCCACGAAATAGTAACTGAAGCAACATGCCCATGTACTCCTTGTGCTATTGACTCAATTTCATATATGTTGGGAATCAGTGGACCAGTTATTATATAATGATTATCAATATTGAGAAGAGATCTAGAGGCACTTCCAACATTCCAAATGGAAGACTGCATCTGAGCGAGCACCATGCAAAATATCATTTTTATTTTTGCATAACAGAATAGACTTATGGACAGTCAAAGGCTCATGTTTCAGTTATCTTCACCTTTGAGTTGGGTAATCCACAAATTATTACCCATTGGTAGCCGCTGGGGATAAAAGTCTGATTTTGTGTTTAAATTTTTTTTTTTATAAATAGTGCACCTAATGCAGAATATTTTATATTTGTTCTGAATATGTTTTTATTTTTTAGTATTTTTTTTTATATTTACTAAAATTGTTGCATAAAATACATTTAAACAAGTCGTTAAGAATATTTTTGTCATTTTTCATAGAATCAAGATAATGCAAAACATTGGCGTAGCATTTGTCAAGACTGGTCAATATGCGGATGCTATTAACTCTTTTGAGCACATCATGGCAGAATCCCCCAATCTGAAAGCTGGCTTCAATTTGATTCTTTGCTATTTTGCTATTGGGGACCGCGAAAAAATGAAAAAAGCCTTCCAAAAACTGATTGCTGTACCCCTAGGGATTGATGATGAAGACAAGTATATTTCACCCAGTGTAAGTGGAAACGGAGATGCAGATATCGTATCCTACAGATACCAAAACAGTGGAGATTTTGGCCGCTGAACACGTTTTTTTTCCTATGTACAGACCATGATAAGCTGCATCTGCACCGTTTCTCTCTCATATCTTCAGCTGGTTTGGCTGGGACCGGTATACAATGTAAATTGTACAATACAAAAGTATTATAAACCAGTTTAGATACAGTGATCAATCCTCAAAGTGAAAGGAAATGAGGATTCTTCTATTGAGAACTTTCAGTAGTTGGGGAAATAGGGAGAAATAGGACACTGAGGCTTATTTAGTGAACCAGTAATTGTGGCAAACGGTGCAAGGGAATTGCAAATGCCAAAACAAGATAATAAAATTTTAAACATTTGTCCATCTCAGCTAATTTTTCAGCTCTGCTTTTGTGGTCTAAAATTTACACATTCCCTTTCCAGTTCCCCACAAATCCCTCTTTAGAGAATAAATACCATCATTGTAGGAGATCATAACGCATATGCTTGTCAGTAATGCTACTCCAACCGTCCTAAACACTATAACGCAGAGGGTTCTCTCATGCTGGCTTTGACAACATCCAGCTTCTGCAGCTGCAAAGTCCACATACTGTCCTGACGGTCATTAATTGGCTGAGAGAATCAGCTGACTGTTCTCAACCAATGAAGGCCCGTACATAGAAATATGTACGTAATTTAATCTTGTTCCAGGCTAGCTGATGATGCTGCCAGGGAATGGAGTTATACCTCAGACAGCAAAGGGGTTAAACTCCATATGTGCAACACTGTGCATACAGACTTCAGGAACCATGACAAATTCAAATCGCTGAATTGGTTATGGTGCCTGGAGTAACCCTTTAAGGGATTACCAAGCTAATTTCTTTCCTTAAATACACTGTTTTTTGTTTTTTTAAGCAGCAGTCCCTTTGTTAAGATGGCATAGTCTCCTCTGACAGACTACGCCTGTGATCATCCTTGGAGAACCTTATTCAGAATGTAGATCTTTGAATTGTACAAAGACAGTTGGAGCAACAGGCAACATCATTGTCGCATGGAACCGCTGTTTGCAAATAAGTCCTGGCATAAGATAGTTGAGGACTGGATCGCAGTGATTGCAAATAATTCTGTGGCTTTATAAGGGTTAACCCATGAAAATCCCCAGATCCACTTTACCTATGAAGTAGTGTGTGTATGTTTTATTTCCATGACATAAGCATTAGTCTTTATAATGTAACTAAAATATGAAAGAATTTACACCGCATGCCAGTGATGGAATAAATATTCAATATGTTTATTGTCCGGCAGTAATTCCTCCAGTAATTACACCAACTAAATGATCTCAACAGGGTTCTTAATATTATAATTCTCTTTCATTTTTAGGATGATCCACATGCAAATTTACTCATTGAAGCTATCAAAAATGACAGTTTGCATCAACTGGAACGTGAAAGGTAACAAAATGACTAGAGGGTTTGTTCACTAAACTCCGAATTGTATCCATTGAAAACCAAATGGCAAAAACAACTGAACTTCAAAAAAAATTATCAGACGCTGATTGACAGCTTCCCCCCCCCCCCTTTCATTGTAGCCCCCTCCCCCCAGTGGCAAGCAAAGGGATACCCTTGGCACTGGACTGGGCTTTACTATTGGGTCTTCCCGATAAGAAATCATTGACTCTATGCTTACCTATGGGTTTTTATGCACATCTTGAGGCCATCCAGCATCGTTTCACAGAGTCAAACATCGTGAAAGGCCAGAAAGTGCCTCTAGTGGCTGTGTATTTGCAGCTGCATGGCAAAGTGCACAGGGACACTGCACCCAGGCAATGTTTTTAAATGTTTCCAATCGGTTTTTAGTTTGCTTCAACTTGGAATTTAGTGAATTCTTTCCTTAATGTGCAGCATTTACAAACAAAATACAAATGGTATACTCATTCCTTTTTCACTTAGCACGGTAGTTATTAACCCTTTATGTGTGTGACATTGTAGCTTGGTGACTCACACTTCAATTTTAAAATAACTCTTTGACTCGTTCGTGACACCTTCATAGACCCTTCACTGTGTCAGCGGTGTCTCTGAGCAGAGGCACTAAAATAAACGTAATCTTGACCTGATCATCATGATGTTCCTATCCTATGGGTTCAGTAGTCAAAATCCACTAAATTATGCACCTCTGAAGTTAGCTTACAATGCATTTTTTAGTGAATGTATGCCTAGATCTGGCTGTTGCAAATAATACTCTTATGAACTTTGCAGGATATATCTCTGTAAAACAGCTGTAATGCACACATCATTCCTTATTTTATCAATATTGAAGATCCCTTTAAAAAGCTTAATTATCAGTATATCCAGGGTTATGATAATGTTTGCACCTGGCCCACCATGATATATACTTGCAGTAATTGTGGAAAACGAAAAACTAATAAGAGCCAGTTGTACCACCAGCTTGCAGAAAAGCAATCAGTAGGTCAGGATAAGGAGGTTGGTCAGTTTGGTCTCGTTGCCATAGGCGTGCGCAGCCTATTGCATTAGGGTGTGCACCCTAAAGCACAAGCACACGCCGCGTATATATATATGTATGTATGTGTGTATATATATATATATATATATATATGTGTATATATATATATATATATATATATATATATATATATATATATATATATATATATATATATATATATATATATATATATATATATATATAAATAGATTATGGTGGGGAAAAATTGTGATTGAAAACCCCTTCCACCTGAAGTATGTGGATAGTTAATACAATGCTAAACAAAAATCTGCACACCAGTCAAGCCATAAGACTTGCTTTTCCCACAGAAATCCCAAATCAGCAGTGATGTTACAACCGCAAAGGATTCTGGGTGGGCATATGCAAATTAGTTTAACAAAGAATCACATTTTTGCCTCATTCCATTTTAAACATGGATTCCTTTTAATTTGTGTTTGCAGTAAATATATATATATATATATATATACATATACACATACACATATATACACACATACACACACTGCTGTGTGTGTGTGTGTGTGTGTGTGTGCTGTGTGAGGGTGCTGTTAGTGTGATGTGTGTGTGACGGTGCTGGTAGTGTGCTATGTGGGTGAGGGTGTTTGTGTGCTTGTGAGGATGCTGTTAATGTACTGTGTGTGAGGGTGCTGTTTGTTTGTGTGTGTGTGTGTGTGTGTGTGCGCGCACTTGTGAGGGTGCTATTAATGAACTGTGTGTGAGGGTGCTGTTTGTGTGTGAGGGTACTGGAAGTGTGCTGTGTGTGTGTTTGTTAGGGTCCTGTTTGTGAGGGTACTGTTAGTGTGCTGTTTGTGTGCTGTGTGTGAGGGTGCTGTTTGTGTGCTGTGTGTGAGGGTGCTGTGTGTGTTTGTAAGGGTGCTGTATGTGTGTGTGGGTGCTGTATATGTGTTGGTGCTGTGTATGTCTGTGGGTGCTGTGTATGTCTGTGGGTGCTGTGTATGTGGGTGCTATATGTGTGTGGGTGCTGTGTATGTCTGTGGGTGCTGTGTATGGGTGGTGTATGTCTGTGGGTGCTGTGTATGGGTGCTGTATGTCTGTGGGTGCTGAATGTATGTGGGTGCTGAATGTATGTGGGTGCTGTATGTGTGTGTGGGTGCTGTGTATGTGTGTGTGTGTGGTGCTGTATGTGTGTGGGTGCTGTATGTGTGTGGGTGCTGTGTATGTCTGTGGGTGCTGTGTATGTCTGTGGGTGCTGTATGTATGTGGGTGCTGTATGTATGTGGGTGCTGTATGTGGGTGCTGAATGTGTGGGTGCTGTGTATGTGGGTGCTGTATGTGTGTGGGTGCTGTGTATGTCTGTGGGTGCTGTATGTGTGTGTGTGGGTGCTGTATGTGTGTGGGTGCTGTGCTGTGTATGTCTGTGGGTGCTGCTGTATGTGTGGGTGCTGTATGTGTGTGGGTGCTGTGTATGTCTGTGGGTGCTGTATGTATGGGTGCTGTATGTGGGTGGGTGCTGTGTGGGTGCTGAATGTGTGTGGGTGCTGAATGTGTGTGGTGGGTGCTGAATGTATGTGGGTGCTGTGTATGTCTGTGGGTGCTGTATGTGTGTGGGTGCTGTGTATGTCTGTGGGTGCTGTATGTGTGTGGGTGCTGTATGTGTGTGGGTGCTGTGTATGTCTGTGGGTGCTGTATGTGTGTGGGTGCTGTGTATGTCTGTGGGTGTTGTATGTGTGTGTGCTGTATGTGGGTGGGTAATTGTGGGGGTGGAGGTGGGGGTACATTAATTGCTATCCCCCCTCCCTTCTTACCTTTTGTAGGGAGGGGGGATCGTGGTCCTGGTGGTCCAGTGGAGGAGGGGATCCTTGTTGCTGCTGTGATCCCTGGTGGTCCAGTGGAGAGTGAACTTTAGCCCCCTGTGGGGCTAGAGTTCACATCTCGCGAGAGGAACCCGGCGGAGCTGCCGGCAATAGCTCCGCCAGGTCCTCTCCTGCCTCCCTCCCTGCATGTGGGTCGGTGGGGAGGGAGGCCGAGAGCAGAGCAGAGCCGGCGCTCGGATGGCGCCGGCTCTGTATGAGCCGACAGGGGAGATCCTGAGATCTACCCTGCCGGTCTCAATATGCATAGGCGTGCCGCGGCATTAGGGTGTGCCCAGGCACACCCGGTACACCCCGTGTGCACGCCTATGCTCGTTGCTATGGAGCTTCTTACACACTTGTGGATGTAGAAAGCAAGATGTCAAGCTATGTAAATATGAACATGTAAAGAGACGATTAGTAGGTTACTCTGAATGTTGGTGCCCTCTAAAAGAGGTTTTAATCTGCTTGTACTATTACAGAGAAAATCTAATTTAACAAAGAGCAAGAGGTAAGACATCCAGTTAAGAAGAAAATAAATACCATCACAGCTAAGCCGTCCATGTAATATGTTTAACTTTGAGGTTTATTCACTAAACAGTGACTAACTTCCCCATTCGATCATCCAAGTACTTAGCTGGAGTCAGCATGCACATTCTGTTCAAGTCTGTGTCCTTCATTGCTGGAGTATAGAGGGCACACAATACACTTAAAGGAGACTGAGTATCATGGCACGAACATGCCATGTATCTTTCCATTGTATTCGTACTTGAAAGGTTCAGGTAAGCCTAGATTTTCCTTATATAGTGTCAGCGGGTAAGTGGATGGGTCCAGGGACTGGAAATTGAGAAAACAATTGCAATAATTTGAAAGACATGTTTTCAGGGACTGCATTCCAGCACCTTAATCATTATAATAAGCTGTAGTGGATATGGTGATTGAGGTATTATTGTTACACAGGGTTGTTATAAAGGTAGTATGATTTCTATTTAAACACTTTTCTTGTACTTTGTTTTTTTTGTTGTTGTTTTTTTTAGGAAAGCGCTGGCTGAAAAATTTATTATGACAGCTGCAAAACTAATCGCTCCTGTAATCGAAACCTCTTTTGCTGTTGGCTATGACTGGTAGGAAGTGTTCTTAGTTGGGTTTTTTTTTTGTTGTTGTTGTTTTTCCTTCTCAAACTGTATTTTTTGTTTTTTAACCCCTTAAGGACAGAACTTTTGGAATAAAAGGGAATCATGACGGAATATTTCCGTCATGTGTTCTTAAGGGGTTAAGATAAAAGCAAACTCAAGGGTGCAGTAAAGAAATTGCGATAATAGTCTAAAGAAAAGCCTTATATGCCATTCTTGGTGGATACTGAAAATGCCGATGATTGCATATGTTGTTGCCTCTAAAAAAAAAAATGCTTTCTAGTTAATAAACTTCCAAAACACTGTAGCTAGAGGAAAGTGTAATAGAAATGTGTAACAGCGGTTTGAGGAGAGTATTTGGCTGGAAACAGATTAAGACCAATTTAGAGGTCCGTTCAAGAATTTATACTCCAGAATTGTAAGTAGTTTTTATATCAGCTGGTTAGAGCTAGGGTAGTGTCCCAGATTTAGAACTGGTAAACCCAAGTTGGAATCCCAGTCAGACCACCTCACCAGTAAGTGTCCTTGGGCACAACACCGAACGATATTCTTTTATCTCAAATCATAGATTGTAAGCTTATTTGAGCAGGGCCTTCTTCACCTCTACATATCCTCTTTTTATAATTGAAGAGCACTGCAGAATATAGTGGCACTAAGTAAATGATAATAAATAATATATATTCTGGGCGCTGGTAGTCTGTAATAATCAACATCCATGGCACCACGAATGTTCTTATGGGGCCCAGGTATCTTATGTCAGTCAGAGTATCGTACTGCACAATATTGTGTTGATATCATTTTACAGCTTGTAACTACTCATTAAAACATCCATTAGTGCTCACAGATGGACCACTTGGGGATTGTTTATCCAACAGTAGTTGAGGGCCGAGCTAATACTTATCGTGGTACATTTTACATATAGAAAGCTATTGTAACTGAGCAAAGCATATCACTTCTTGAAGGGTTACTCCAGCCACCATGACGACGTCTGTTTGTAGAAGTGGGTAATATCGTAACAATCTGTATTTGCTGCGTTTTAGCTTGAAATTATGCCTTTGCCTTGCATTTTGTGTAGGGGTGTTAATAAACCCCTTCCTACTAGGGGTCTAGGTGCCAAGTGCCTGTATGGTGTATATACTAAAATAAATGTTTCTATAGCAGTCGATTCTAAATTAATTATTGTGCAAACATGTTGAAGAAACAAGTAAATAAATGACAAACATGCCAACATCATAGGGATCACTCTGTGTTACCCAATCCAGTATTAAAGTTAGAAAATTCAACTTCTTTATAACTTTAAGTGTTTCACAGTGCAAACACTGTCACCATTAAGTTATATAGAGTGGATAGAAACAAGAGTAAGCATAAAATCTGATAGTAATTGTGCTCTGTCACGTAATGCCATGCTTTTCATTATACTGTCACTTTAAGAATGTTGTTTAAGATTAGAGATGGTCTCAAAGACGTTAATTATTTTTTTGCCACAGGGTGGAGTAAGTACTTGGTTTATATTTGGATTTCTGGTTTTGCCAATAAAATAAACATTCATATTTGTTTCTGTGAAGGTGTGTTGAAGTGGTTAAGGCATCTCCGTATGTGGAATTGGCAAACGATTTGGAAATAAACAAAGCTATCACTTACCTCAGACAGAAAAATTTTACTAAGGTCAGTACATCTACATTCTATGTGTTTGTCACATTTCATCTCATTGTTAAGATTATACTAAACATTAAACTGTTATATTGCCATCATTCTAATTATATTGCTACATCTGGAAACTTCGTAAATGAATGTCATCCATAGATCTGATCAAATGTACTCATTTTTTTTTTTTTAATGGCTAGTGGGAAAGATTCAAAGTATTGGAAATAGATAGTTTTGACTTGATTTTACATGGAAAATTCTCACTTGTCAGAATTAAAGGACCACTATAGGCACCCAGACCACTTCAGCTTAATGAAGTGGTCTGGGTGCCTGGTCCAGCTAGGGTTAACCCTTTTTTTTATAAACATAGCAGTTTCAGAGAAACTGCAACTTATAGGCAAAGAAACTATTGCTTAATGAAACAGTTTTAGTGTATAGATCATGCCCCTCCTGTCTCACTGCTCAATTCTCTGCCATTTAGGAGTTAAATCACTTTTGTTTCTGTGTATAGAGCAGGGACGTATTAGCCGCGAGGCAAACAAGGCATTTGCCTTGGGCGTCATTTTTCAGGGGGCGGCAAAAAACGCCGCCCCCAAATGCCCAGGGCAAATGTCTAGTTAGCCTTGCGGCTAACAGACATGCTGGGCTGGCTGGCGGGCGGGCGGCTGGCGAGGGAGCTCTTCCTCTGAGCGGTCTGCTCAGCTCCCTCGCGTGCCGCAGAGTGAGGCTGGGAGCCGGAATATGACGTCATCAACCCGGCTCCCAGCCTCACTCTGAGGCGCGCAAGGGAGCTGAGCAGAGTGCTCAGAGGAAGAGCTCCCTCGCCAGTGGCGCCAGCCCATCAGCCCGACCGGCAGCCACTGGACCCCAGGGATAAAGAGAACCCCCCGCCCCCCAGCATTCCCAAAGGTAAGGAGGCTGGGGGGGGTTAAATTAAAAAAAAAGTGTTAATGTGAGTGTGTGTGTGTCTGACTGTGTCTGACTGTGTTGTGTGTGTGTGTGTCTGTGTCTGACTGTGTGTGTGTGTCTGACTGTGTGTGTGTGTCTGACTGTGTGTGACTGTGTGTCTGACTGTGTGTGTGTGTGTGTCTGACTGTGTGTCTGACTGTGTGTCTGACTGTGTGTGTGTGTTTGTGTCTGACTGTGTGTCTGACTGTGTGTGTGTTTGTGTCTGACTGTGTGTGTGTGTGTGTGTGTGTATTTAGAAGGTGGGGTGGTGGGGGGGGGGGCGCATGAGTTTTGTTCTGCCTAGGGCAGCACAAAACCAGGATACACCACTGGTATAGAGCCCTAGCCATACGTCCCCTGGCTGTGATTGACACAGTCTGCATGACAAAAAAGGGTTTAATTTTCAATCAGTTGTTAACTTGTCTTCAAAGGTTTTTTTTTTTTTTTTTTTTTTTTTTTTTTTATCTCCTGCTCTGTAAATTGAACTTTAATCACACACAAGGCTCCTGCAGGCTCTTGAAGGTTATTAACAGAGGAAAAGATAAGAAATTCTAAATTAAACAGACAGTGCAATATTGGAACCTAGAATATCTAGGCTCCTTTTCGGGAAGTGTTTAGGAAAGCTGCGCAAGTCACATGCAAGGAGATGTGATTAGGGCTGTATAAACAAAATTATTTAAGTCCTAATTTGCAGAGAATTGAAAAGTAGAAGATTGATTTATTTTTATTTTAAACTAATTTGATTATAATTACTGCCTTCTATAAAACTTTTAGACTGACTTTCCCCTTTGTAAAAGTTGTTCACTGCCTTTACCACATCTCTACATATTGTTGTTCATTTTTAACTTGCGGCTCCTGATAACTAGTTTAACACAAAGTCCAAATCTGAAATTGTCTTAGAGAGCTTTTCATAGAAATACTTCAACTGGGATCCAGTTAATGCAGGCTGTCTATTAATTCTTATACAAAAAGAAAGGCTGGCATTCCCTCCAATATCCATTGGAGTAACTAAATGACCTCCATTTGTTTAAATATACATAGGGATTTAGGAGAGAGTGTAGGTAACTTTTTACTGTCTATTAATTCTTGTTTCTAATCACTACTGTAACCATGCCATTTTTATTTCTGTTTTTCTTTTTTCCTTATTTGCTATACCCTTAAAGTATCATTTGGTATGTACAGTACTCTGTCCATTAGTATTTAGAGTAGATTGTTTACTTAGTCGATTTAGAAAAAGAGTTTCTTATTTTCCTGGTAATGTGAAAAGTTCTGGATTTAATCAAATTATACAGATACTAACTACATTGTATAAGAAGTTGACAAAAAGGTTGCATACAATGTTATTACAATTTCTCCTATCTTGGAGGCAGGTCAAACATCTGATTCTTTTTCTGTGCACAGCGGTATGCTGGGAGGTTTTTCGGCACAACCTTTGAAATCCCACGTTGGCCTCTGACTTTGCATGTTCCCAGCAATGTTTCATTTAACTGCCCTTGAAAGGTTTAAATTGGTGAAGAAATTCCAAGATCAGCGCTTGCACAATGAAAACCTCAGCTCTGTAGTGTTACATTTTTAGTTTGTGTTTTGTAACTGTAAAGTATAAATATTTTTTTGCTTTCTCTGTTTGTATTCTGCGCGATATGATATATGAAGGACATAAATGTTCCTACTCATATTGCAAACTGAATATATCATTTAGAATCCTCACTTTCCTGGAAACTGTAATTAAACTTCGATGCCTGGCACGTCTACATACTGATGTGCAGCGCTGCAGAATTTGTTGACACTTTTTCTAAATAATGTTTATTGAGAATCATACTAAAGTATACCTGTTTACGGCATAATTACAGGCTGTAGAAACCTTAAAAATGTTTGAGAAGAAGGACAGCAGAGTAAAAAGCGCAGCAGCAACCAACTTATCGTTCGTCTATTTCCTGGTATGTAGTAACCTGTGTCTTTCATGTAATTTATGTATTGTATATTGTCAAAACAGTATGCTAAAGCTATATGTATGTGTGCATGCCTGGGCTTTTTCTGTTTTAGTTTTCTTAGATACGGTGTTTAAAAAGTGTTCAAACATTTTTTTTTACAATTGCCTTTTCCTTCGGCACTAACTTCATCTCCTCTTTCTCCAACATCATGGCGATTGGGCAACCTAATGCGCATGTGTGTGTCCTCTTAGGAGTTCCCCATAGGAAAGCATTGAATTAATACTTTCCTATGGGGAATTTGGAGTTGCTGGGCGTCCTCATGCAAACCATATGCAAACTACAAGGACTTCCAGCATCATATTACGGAGATAAACTTCTTGAAGCACCAGAAAGTGCCTCTACTGGCTAGCTGGACTAGAGGTCTCGGAAACTGTAATGTTTTACATTGCAGGGTTAAGGGGACAGGGACACTGCACCCAGACCACTTCAATAAGTGGTTTGGGTACCTATAGTGCCTCTTTAAGTATTTTCTGCAGGTTTATGGACTCAGAATCCGGCAGTATCAGAGTTAAGAGAGCAATTTCTGTTTCCTGTAGAGTAGGGAGCACATTGAGCTTTGCTAGAAATCCCAGGCTCTGGTTGGCTGTTGACATCACTTGACATCGCTTTCTGTAGCCTTTTATAGTTAATAAAATATTTTAAAAAATGGGAAATAAAAGTTCATTTTTCCCACTGTTTAGCTTATAAGAATTGTTATACAAATAAAAATTACAAATATTTTCAATTATTCATCTGATTGCTAAAATGCCCGTAATGTCCAGGTTTTCAATTGTTTTTGGAAGATAAGATACAAATATTGCAAAGAGTGAGTTATTGCAAGCTAAACCTTTCCAAAATGCAGCTAGATTCACAATGGGGTCTGCTGAGAGTCTAATTTTAAAGGAAATCTGGCATCGCTATTTTCACTTGTGCGCTTTTGAAAGAGCCTAACATTCTGTCCATACATTGTGCCGGCAGTTTTGCATGCACTGTGTTTCTATGGAAACCACCTAGTGACTCTGCTTGTGCTGGCTGGCTAGGGAGTATACGAAAATAGTGAATGTTGGCACTCAGTTCAGACGCCAGGATGCTGGCACCAAAGCCAACGTGTAAGTGATACACAGGAAGTTTTTCAAGCTTAAGGAAGTGTCACCAAGCAGGGCAAATCACACAAGACAGCCGGCGGAGTGTGGGCAGACCATCGGTTGGTGTTACAAAAAAGAGGAACACTCACAAATCTCAGAACATGGTGGCGATGGAACGGAAGTAAGAGGAGTAGATTTCAAATTAGCAAAACAAGACACATATTTCATACATTGGTTCAACAATTTGTAGAGTGCATCAATCAATATAAAGGGTAATATAACCTCAGATTTGTATTCTGGTACAGCAATATCCAATATTAGACCTTATAGGGTCAAATTACAGACATGCCAGTTTACTTTTTCAAATTTTCATCAGTTTATTTACTGGATCCAATGTAACTTTGGGAAACACAGAGGTTCTCACACGCATTTCACCGCCCATCTTGGCATAGTGTTTGCAAAATAAGACAATCTGAGCTATTTAATACTGGGCATTTTGAGTCTTTTCACTTGGAAATTATTTCACAAGTTTCTGTTGGGATTAGTGATGAATGTGTATTTTGTAATTGATCGTATGAGTCTATCGTAGCAGTCCCCCATCTTTAATTGGTTTCACAAAAAAACGCAAACATCATGTTAGCACCCAGGGAAACCAGCTACAAATCAGGACAGAAGTGTGTATGCTGCAGCCTAAAAAAAGGACAATAATTGAGTTTCTCAAAAAACAAACCAAGAAAATAAATGTTATTGAGAAGAATATATGACATCAGGGAGGTGCAATTTATATTTTTTTTGTTAATTTTTGGTTGATATTATCTTATTACTAAACCTGATCTCCCTGTTTTAATCTGCCTCACTTTACGTAGGAGGAGGAGTATTCACACGCAGATATCTACGCAGATTTAGCTGTATCCTCTGATCGATATAACCCGGCAGCGCTAACAAATAAAGGAAATGTTATTTTTGCAAGTGGAGACTTCGAGAAAGCAGCTGAGTACTACAGAGAGGCTCTGAGAAACGATTCATCCTGCACTGAAGCACTATATAACCTTGGTGAGTGAATTTGTCACATTCTGTAGAGCTCTTTAAAGATCCTTGCATGCATTAATAGTTTTATGGAATTAGACACTAGTTTGAAAACCAGTCACAATATTGAAAGCAGAAAAGAAATACCTTGACATCTAATAAACTCTGGCAATGACCTCACCATGGTCATCAGTTTAGAAACATAGAATGTGACGGCAGATAAGAACCATTCGGCCCATCTAGTCTGCCCAATTTTCTAAATACTCTCATTAGTCCCTGGCCTTATCTTATAGTTAGGGTAGCCTTATGCCTATCCCAGAATAACAACAGTACACATCAGTAGGGGTGGTCCACACAGAAACCCACTGTCACTCATTGTAGCGTGGCAGACTGTGATAGCAGCAGATGATCTACATTTTCAGTCTGTCAGTGCAGCTCTGAGCAGCATGCAGACTAAGTGAGAGGCAGGAATATAACTTAATGTCGTAATGTCTCTTTGACAGATTTTGTTTTTTACTCTGTAGCTGTATTCCTGATTCTATTCCTATGTAGTGTCCAAATTTAAAGGGGCATGCATCACTTTGAGACATCTGTCTCATTGAAAGGATTTAGCTTTGAGTGACACAGTTGCCTCACTCTGCACACAGATTTTTTTTTAATATTTACCTGTTTCTTCTTTCATATGCTTTCTACTTCCACTCTAGGGGGGGCAGTGTTCTAACCCATGTCCTATCCCAAGTATGCCGGAAAAGTGAATTATTTCACCCACCTTCTGTGTGTCATTTTCTCTGCATACTTACCTCCCCCTCAACGGATCCAGGACAGCCACTAGCCTACCTTTGTGGGTGGCATCCTTCTCTCTTGCACTGCCCCTGTTTGGGAAGCCTCTGATCACTTCCCAACTCCTGTTCCAGCCCCCCAAGCAAGAGAACAGCCTCCAGATGTTTCTCATGTAGAGGGGCATAGACATAGAGTCTGTGCAGGTAGTCTGAATGATGGCAGGAGTGTGATTTTCAATAGAGGTTTTGAACAACATTATAAAGTTGGTAGAAATCTAGTTAGCATAATGTAAAGATAGAATAATGAGAGAATTTGAATTGTGTACAAAGTACCATGACAGGCAGCCTTTAAACCCCTACATGAAGTAAGTGGTTCTGATGAAATACACAGGGGGTAGGATGTGCAGGAGATGAACACCAGGATGCGAGGGGCCTGGAGATGGTTAGTAGTGGGGCTTGAGAGACACTGGAGGTTAAGTGAGGTGTAGGAGGCACACAAGTAGACAAAGTGCAGGATAGATATAAAAGTTGGTAAGAGGCTGGATAGGCACAGTGAGTGTGAAGGGGAGATATCTGAAGGGGTGATGAGACTGCGGAGGTATACAAGTGGTAGGGAGGGGAGTTTCAGAGACATACAGGGATGAGGGGGTCTAAAAAGGAGACAAAAAATAAATGGTTCTAGACAATATCTCCTTGTGTGCCATATTCCCAAAGTATGTATCGGCATCAGAGTGGTCAAGGTACGGAAAGTGCTCCTCTTGAGCACCTGTCCATAAACCAAAAAAAAAGTATAGATGGAATATTTCCTGCCTTTGGGAAAACCTAAATCTATTCTCCTGATTTTCTCTTCTGGGTTGGGACACAGTATAAAGTTTACTAGATTAAATTCCTGACATATTTTTAGATAATTAGTTTTTTAAGAAATAATATAGATTTTGATTCAATATTTGTCTTTTAATTTTTCTTTGTTATTTAAGGTTTGACCTACAAGAATCTTAATCGGCTTGAGGAATCCCTGGACTGTTTTCTTAAACTTCATGCAATCCTTAGAAACAGTGCACAGGTTCTCAGTCAAATTGCAAGATTGTATCCTTCCTAAAATGAAGCATTGTGGATATATTGGATATTTCATACAAAAGCTATACCATCAGTGTATATTTAATAGATGATCTAAAGATAGAAGATAGAATAATATTATACAAATTCTTCAGATAGCCTGGGCAAGCTTTCCAGGAGGTGTAGAGCCTCCTTCATTGACTTCAGGCAATTTCCAGCACGACTTCTTCAGGGTCCAATGGATACATTCATTTTGGACATGTTGAAGTTTCATTCTTTTTTCTTAATTTGAACAAATTTGTACTATTTGTTCTTTTGCAGAATATCTGGCCTTAAGTGTAGTTATTTCTGGAAGGTATCTTATTTCCTTAACTCTGCTTCTCAAGGTATGAAATGCTTGAAGACCCTGTTCAGGCAATTGATTGGCTTACACAACTTCTCAGCATTGTTCCAACTGATGCTTATGCTCAAGCAAAACTCGGAGAGTTGTACGATACTGAAGGGGACAAGCCGCAAGCTTTCCATCACTACAGCGAGGTATACAAAGAAACATTTTGAAGTTATGCAAAACCTGTTGATTTTACTCCTTGATTGTATGTTAGGAGAAAACTAAAAATGTGGTCAATGTTAACTGCTTAATGCTAGGGTCAATTTCCATTTTTAAAGTTAATCCCTTTCAATTGATTAGATTGAAGAATAACAGCAAAGAATGTGGGATTTCTTTTCTTCTTTTTCTATTGACTGTAGCATTCCTCAAATATTTGACTAGAATGGTCTTAACCCCTTAAGGACACATGACGGAATGTTTCCATCATGCTGGTCTCTTATTTCTGAAGCTGTGTCCTATAAATGAGCTTGAACATGGTCAATTATATATTGCATTGCATGAGGAACGGTTAACAAACTATTTACCCCTCACCAGCTTTGTCATAGCTGTCATAACACTGGATTCGCAAGAAAGACACATCGGTTACACAGTGACAGCATACACTCCAAAACTGGATCTTTATGGTCACCTTAACCCCTTAAGGACCAAACTTCTGGAATAAAAGGGAATCTTGACATGTCACACATGTCATGTGTCCTTAAGGGGTTAAAGTCAACATAACAATCCTTAAGTGCAGATGGTTTTAGAATTAGGCGATACGTGAAAGAAAAAGGTTGTTTGTTTTATTTAAGCACCAACCCTCTTAGATCTCAGAGAAGCTGAACTTTTTTTCAAACATGAACATACTGTTCAACAGGTGTTTTATTCATTAAACAAAGAATGGACGACTAAGTCAAAAAATTTAGGCTGAAGTCATCAAGTTGAAAAGTCTGCAACTTAGAGAAAATTAATCACAATTCCTTGCAGATTTTTTATCTAGAATAAACTGACAAAGCAACTGTAAAGTGTGGGCCAAAATAGAAAGGGTTATATAGTAAAGTGTGAATTCTTGGGAATGTTCAAATTATAGCCTGAAATCACTAAGCTGAAAACGTATCCGAAACGTTTGTAGTCCATCTATTTTGGCCTAAAATTTCAAATTCAATCTGAATTGCCAACAATTCTCACTTTAGTGATCAACCCCCGAGAGTTTGAAATAAAAAAAAAAAAAATGTACAAAATCTCCAACTGTCCATTCCTTCTATTTTTCAGTTTTCTTTTAAAAGTTCTCCTTTTTTCACTGTTCAGTAAATAAGCCTCTTTGCAATTTAATTTTTAAACCTTAAAGAAGAACTGTTACCACTTGTGATTTTAACACTGTTCAAACACTGTTGTTTAACAATGCTTATTTTTCCCTTATATTATGTACCATTCTGTACTGGAACTGGGTGCCTCCCTGACAGAATTCATGATACGCTCTGTTTTTTTGCACTTGTTGGCCAATATAGAGTTAGTAGAGAGAGGTGATAAGAATAAAAACATTTCCTTTCAGACCCCCTTTCAGATTGTGTGCTTGCTGTGCCTGGAAAGAACTGTGATTGAATTTGATAAATCGTAAATTTACATTGAAAAGAAAATTCAGCATTATAGAAAAAAGTAGGTTAACACAAGTTATGGGCTATGTTTTTTAATGTTAAACATGAAAATGGTAGCCCTGTAGTATATAGAATTCAGAAGAAGGTGTATTAGAATAAGCAACTAGGCAATGAAGAATCCAGCAATTAGGCAGAATATGCATTATACACACTGCAGGGCAACCCTTTTCGTGCATTTTCATAAATATGAGAAACTTATATGTGTCCCTGTAAACATGGTGGGTCTGGTCACAGTGTCCTGCAATCTCACGGCATCCTCTATAAACCTCAGTGTCGGAGTCTCTCGCATACGCGTGCTAAAGATGACTGCCAGGAACACGATGGCAGCATGAGGGACCCGGTAGCCTCCAGACACACAGCGGCTAATTATGCAAAGTCTCCAGACGGTGGCAAAACTGCTTTAATCTTTTTTTATCATAATCCAATTCAGAGAAGGCAAAGTCATGTCAAACTGTGCAAATGAAGAGAAGAACTAAACAGTGTTTAATTTCTCCTCTTCTCTGCACACTTTATCTATGTTGAGGCCCAGGTTCAAAGGAAATCTTATTACAGTGACTGACAAAGTGCTAAGATGGAGGCACTCATTTGCAGGCTAGATTTCTACACTTAATTTACATTTTTCAGACTGTGCTTATACATGGTTGTTAAATAACGGGATACAAAAACATTATATTGAAATTCCTTGTAATTACCCTTTAAGCATACCGTGTAAGAGCTGGACCTTATATTTAAATGTTAACAAAACATGTCTTTCAGTAAGTTTGCATGCACATGTTCACAGACCATCTCACATCTGGCAAACATTGGCTTCATTCATGTGACAAATTGCTGCCTGCCAAAGATTTAACCTGATAAATGCTTATATTGCACAACATGATATTGCCAAACTTCAGAGGGTTAAACATTATGCTACTTTTTTCTTTTCTTTTCTTTTCTTTGTTTTTTTTTTTTTTTTTAGTCTTACCGGTTTTTCCCTTCAAACATTGAAGTAATTGAGTGGCTTGGAGCCTATTACATCGACACCCAGTTTTGTGAAAAAGCCATTCAGTATTTTGAGAGAGCCGCTCTTATTCAGTAAGTCACACACAATGTTGTCTTTTAACGCTTCTTTGATGCGTTATGAATGTTTTCTGTCCTAGACCATTTCTAACGCAGCGAGATGATGTTGCATAAAATCTTCTTGTCCCTATATTATGATGATCAGTTGTGGTTGGTTTGAACATAAGATTTTAGTTTAGAGATTTTAGTATCTGAAAGTAACACTGATTTACTGAAACCCTGAACAAAATCATCATTCATTTATTCATAAGACTTTTTACACCAACCCATTATGATTATCTGCCTTGCGGACAAGGTTTAATGGTTATTAATTTTGTGTATACAAACTAAAAACATTGACTTATTGACATATTTCAACGCTTTTAAAATATGTTAATTAACTAAACAGTTCTTCCCCTCATACTCTTCTGGAAAACCGTTTATATTTTTGAGGTAAAATGTGTAACCTGTTCGTAATTGACAGTGGCCATTTAATGCTGAGGGCTGTTTGTGGTAATCAGGAGTCTGTGTGCATTCTCAAGTGGGGATTTATGGCAATAAAGGTAAATCCATGCAGTTCCCTTGTGAATGCAGATAATGTTTTGTTCGTGCTGAGAGTGTGTTGTAATGTGTCTGTTCTTAATGTGGATTAGTGGCACTTTCGAAATAAGGATAGTCTCTGTTATATTAAATCCGGTGTTTTATTAAAGCTGCACTGGTTTAAAAAAAGGGTTTCTTTCCTGTTAGAAACGTACAGGGTTATTTGCTACTTAAATAATTTCAGCTTTAAAGGAATACTATCGGGTCAGGAAACATGTATTCCTAACCCTATAGTATTAAAAACACGTGTTGGATCCCTGGCCGCCCCTTGCCCCCCTTCAAAAGCTTTTTCCAGCGCCCTGTGGGTCTGCCGGCACATTCTAGAAAATTAAAATGAATGAATGAAAATTATTCCTTTTTTTTTTTTTTTTTTTTTAAATAAAAGCTCTCCAGACACCATCTCTAATCTGTGGTGTTTTCCTTTTTCCTTTAGAAGACAGCTGTCTATAATGCCATCACATTATATCACATTTAAATCTTAAATCCCATTTTCTTTCTGTCGCCAACAACAACACCTCACAGACACATAGATGCCACAAATGGATGCTACTACTTTGTCATTGGCATCGACCGTAACCTCCTGTATAGATACCCAACATGCATTTATGTTATTGGTATTAACATTCTTGTATTACACAATGTTTTCCTGTATCTTCACTGTTTTCTGCATAAAACTAAAAATTTATTTTCAATAAATAAAGAATTGTAAAAAAAATTAATAATCAGTAATTTAACCCCTTAAGGACACGTGACATGTGTGGCATGTCATGATTCCCTTTAATTCCAGAAGTTTGGTCCTTAAGGGGTTAACAAGGGTTTGTTTAGTGGCTTATTTAATAAAAATAAATATAAAATACATTTATGAACAGCAAAATGGAAAGAAGAAAGATGTGTTCATATTTTTATTTTCCTTTTATCCATGGCACCTTTAGTTTGCAGTAATCCAAGTGAGACAGTCTATTAAAATCCAGTTCTTTTATTACCCTGCGTATCGGGTTAATAATTTAGCGGCAGACAGTAACCCCCAGACACTGTCTACCAGATCCATAAAATATATTAATTTGTCAAAACCTGGAATATGGAAAATATATTCAGCTGTCTGTGCCGCCATGGATTATAGCTAGGAAATAGTCCATAAAAAAATAAAACCATGCTTCATAACCACATGTGGTGCTGGAAAAAACCCAAAAGAAAGGATTGTATGAATAGCTGGTATCCCACACCTGTCTGAAGGACATCATTATATGCCATTAGGCAGTTCTGTTCTTTCTCTGTTTTAGTAACAAATATAGGGGGACGCGTTGATAACCCATCTCATCATAATTTATATTCTGTATTATATAAGGTAATTAAAAAAGAAGGCCTGCACCAAGGTGGGGTAGATAATTTACTATTTATGTGAAAGCAAGAAATTGAAATAAAATCTGGAATGGATTATATCCGCTTTAAACTGTAAAAATCAAGAGGTTGAATATTCATTTTCTGTTTCTGGATTGTGTGTTTTTTATGTTGGATTGCCATGCCCATGGAATTGTATTGTCTTTTTTCGCAGGCCCACTCAAGTGAAATGGCAACTGATGGTAGCCAGCTGTTATAGAAGAAGTGGTATGCATTTCCCTTTACATTTTCACAGTTTTTATTCCACTCATACACAATTAATTGGGATTCTTTTCCCAAACCCAACCAATCCTATGTAACCACACCCTCCTTTATGGTGCCCCGTACTAAGACAGACCATGTAACAAGCATGCCCAATTCTAGTTGTATAACCCTGCAACCACGTTTCCTTCCTGGCCTCCATACATCTGCTTCTTTGCAGTCATTTCCCTTGTTATATCCTTCTGTACCCATGTCGAAATGTCATTCCATGTCCCCTGGAGCTGTGCCCCAGGGCCCAATCCTTGCTTTTCCCAAACCTTAACCCTCTGTTACAATGTTCCCTTACAGCCTTGTTCCATTCATGTATGTCACTATCAAGGGCAGTCTATTGTGAGGAGGCCACCCATAACAGAGATGGCAAAGAACAAGTATTGGCCGGGGGGTTAGCTGCCACCCCTGTAACTGTGCCTTAGACTAGGCTATTCCAAAATACACTGCAGCACAAGCAAACTGTTTGTTAATATCTACATGTCATTTAGTCATGTCTGTGTTAATTCATGATTTTAATACAATATTTACCCTCTAAGCATTGCCCAGGGTGTACCTATTAAAAATTCCATCTGAATTGTAGATGTGAATCATGAGTAGTTGCTCACTTGTAGATTTACCCAATATCCAGACACATTTCAAAGCTATTCACAATTCAAGGAAAAACATTGTGTTTTTTTCTATTAATTATGTATATATAAGTTTTTTCTATTAATTACTGCATATACAAGTTTTGAAGGATATAATCCATAGCAGTCCGGTTTCTTACATGCCCATCCATGGTATTTCGCTGAACCATAACCCAGTAAAATCAGCATGACTTTTCACTCTAGCAATCTAATCCAGTTTGGAAGTTAATTATTTATATTGATAACGCCCACCAGATGTTCTGCTGGAATCTTCCCAATTATCCTTTGCTTTTTTTCCCTCCATGTTATTTTCAACATATGCTGTTTTTTGCTCATTAAGTAAAGCCTGATGTAAACAATGATACTATTCAAGCTTACAAGCATACAAAAGCCAAATGTGATGTTACACATATATATTTTAGACAAACTTACTTTAGCGTCACACTTTTATCACAATATCATGCCGGGCAAGTCTATTAAACATCGAGAAATATCTGCAGCATGTGCTTACGGACAGGCAAATATAGGTGTCCTTTGAAAAATGTTTTATTAAATATCCAAACTCGTCTGTGATATAATTGTTCCATGTCTGAAATGTAATCAATCCAACTAGTTACTGGAATACGAAAGAGAACTTTCAGATAGAGTACAAATCAATGGCTTTCAACAAAATTTGCCTGTGAACCTGTTCTGTGAGTTTGTTTTGAACACCAAATACTCAACTTAACATGGAATGGAGCAAGTCCGTGACTAGGAAATTTGGTCAGTTGCCGGAATTTTATTAAAATACTTAGAACTCCTGTGCCATTGTTTGTCACAAATAGGGCTAAAGGGACACTTTAACCGCATTAAATCATGTAGTTTTTACATCTTTTACACCCTCCCTGCATGTGGCTTGCACAGCCTTCCTAAACACTTCCTAAAAATAAACCTAGATATTTTAGGTTCCTATAATGCACAGTCTGTTTAATCTAGAATCTCGTATCTCCTGTTAATAGCCTATTGGACCCTGCAGGAGCATAATGTGTGTGTTTAAAGTTCAATTTACAGAGCAGGAGGTAAATACTTCTAAAGCAAGTAAACATCTGATTGAAAAATGAAACCATTTTGTTTTCATGTGTGAGTCACAGCCAGGAAAGGTGTGGCTAGGGCTACATAAACAGAAACAAAAGTGATTTAACTCCTACATGGTAGAGAATTGCGCAGTGATACTACAGGGGCATGATCTACACACTGAAACTGCTTTATTAAGCTAAAGTTGTTTTGATGCCTATCGTATCCCTTTAAGAAATGAGAGAACCTTCCAGTGTAGGATCTTTACATAAATTACAAAATCTATGTTTCTTTTGATCTACATCAGTCTTAGCAAGAACAAAGTAAATAAATGCGTTGTACAGTGAATGAAATTAGATTAAAGCACTTTTTCAGCAATTTTGTAAAACTCTAACATACATTTTCCAATTCCTGTTCCAATTTTGATATCTTTTTCAGGCAGTTATCAGAAAGCACTTGATACATATAAAGAGATTCACAAGAAGTTTCCAGATAATGTAGAGTGTAAGTAATCAATAATTATGATGTATTATCATAAAGGGTGTTTGCTGAATTCATATATGGGTGTTCTCAATTCCTTGTTTTCAGGCTTGCGATTTCTGGTCCGTCTCTGCACTGATATTGGACTAAAAGAAGTGCAGGAATATGCAACCAAACTTAAGAAAGCCGAAAAAATGAAAGAAATAAGGGAACAGGTAATTTGTTTGCCTTGGATTTACTTATAATACATTATTTTCTGTGATACCTCAATCACTATTCATCAATGTTACCAGGAATCCACGGCAGCTTGAATGAGGTAGGTCTTCACATACAAACAGCAACTAGTACATGCACGCAATAGATACAAGTGCTATTTACTTTAAAATACAAATAAAATGAAGTCATGGACTGCCTTGATAGCAGATAATTCCATAAAATATATTCATTTAAAGTGGCTCTGTCACAGCAAACTGACATTTCTCCTGTTGTTTCCTCTGTCAGAATCTGTTCTTTTTTTCATTATTGCTGAGCTATTTCTCTTTAAGACATAAGATAAAGTAGGGACTTCTTTGTCTGTCTTATGTATTTTTACTGCGCTTGACAATTGTCACAAAGAGTGAAGCTTAAGGCAAGCTTGACAAAGAAAATGGAGCTTGTTTTAAGCTCCGCCATTTTGTCACAATTGTCAAGAGTAGGAAAAATATGTAAGACAAACTAGCCCCTTCTTAGTCTTGTGTTTTAAAGAGATATAGATCAGAAAAGAAGAACAGATTCTGAAAGAGGAAGAGAGTCGGAAACAATAGGAGAAATGTAAGATTGAGGTGATCTAGACATTTTAAGATAGAAAAGGCAAGAAAAATAACATAGCATAAGTCTGGATAAGGCAAAATTTATAAATTATTTTATGTAGTGCACTCACTCAATAGAGCTGCTCTTAGTGTAATAAAGCTCTCACTGTTGTTTACATTCTGATTTGTTAACCTTTTTATCCTTTGTTTTACATGAATATCTAATGTTGGGACTGCTATCAAGTAACCTTTCTTAGAATTATAACATTTGATGACAGTAACTTGTTTCTATATTTTGACATATTTTTATGCGTGTGTTCTAGGTAATGCTTCAGTTTAGATTTTTTTTTTAAATTAATTTATTTATTTTGGTGTGCTGTCAATAGATGCTGCATTGGACATATATATAATTGTTCCTGTTGGTTCCCATTTGCAAAGTGAAGTATGCATCATGGGAAATGTAGTTCACAAACACACTGGAAGCCAAAGTTATCCTTCAACGGGTTATATCCTCACTGCAGAGGTAGTAATGCCCACTTTAAACACAGCTACGCTCTGGTGACAGTTTGCGCTTCTAGGTGCATATTACCACTGGCATGTCAGCTAAAATCCTCTTACACATTACAGGAATATCAGGCAATAATAAATCAGGCAAACCAAGATCAGCTAACATAGATTATATTTAAATGACAAACTAAAGCAAAGCAGTCAGACAAGTGAAAAGTCAGAACAGGCGGTGGTCAAGATATAATGGGGCAAGTAACATAATGGCATGTTGATGCGTCACACTATTTGAAGGTAATGGTCCGTGCACATTAGAAATCTGCAAATGACAAACATGCTACCTGACCAGGTGGAGGACCGGCAAGCCCCTGAAGACAGTTATCTGGGAGATACGACCGATTTCCACTAATACGACTAATACGACTCATTTCCACTAATTCCTGGGAAATTCTGCAATATATTGCTCTTGTATGAATTCAGCTATTGGCAAATTAAACCCTGTCAACACTAGCCTATTAGGCATAGCAAATGGAAGTAAGATAAATTAGAGCCACCTTACATTAACGACAGAATATCATGTACTGTCCAAGAGTATGATTTGTAACTTAGTGGAAGTAATAAATACAACTGAAAAAGAAGAGTATTGATTTCCGTTTTTCTTTGTGTAAAATGTCAAATTTTCCACCATTTACAGCCCGTGTGAGTAGCCCACACATTTACTGTAAAGATCCAGAGCAACATAAGGAACGGATTATAAATATGGCCCTGATTTCCTCAACATAACTTTCCTAAGTGCTCCTTCATAGCTCCCATAGAGAGCTGCAAAAATGCCATCAAATCTAACCCATATGAGCAGTAAAATTAAACACAGAAGATATATTCTGTCTTTAAAGTACAGATCCCAGTAAACACTGTTGTGTACATCGTACCATAAAGATTACAAGAATCATTTTTAATGTCCATATGTAATAGGTCCTAGTCTTGGCACACAACCATTGCTCCAAATTGTTATGTCCCCTGGTGCTTTACCAGCTCCTTAATCATGTACGTTAAAGTGAGAGCTCATGTCCTTTTTTTATAGCTATAATCAGCTGAAAACACATTTTTGCGTAGTTCTTTGTTACAGTCCATCAGTTTCATGAAAAGACCTATAACATTATACTTTTGAAATCAGAACAGGAGTGGGCAGGAGCTTAGTCTATTTTTTGGGAACACCTGAGGTCTACCCTGTTGTATGCTAAACATTTCCGCACCTGGACTTGTACCTGTCTGTCATTCAACAATATTAATTAACTTTAAAAATCCTGATGCTCCTCATTCATAACTTTCTGCGTGCTCTACTGATTTCCAATTGCAATGTCCTTACATTTGGTTTACCTGAACAATAACCCGTTATCTTTAACACATTTTCATCTCAACAACCAAAAAAATCTTCTTCTCTTAAAGGCTGCCTGTCACTCCCGTTCTATATTTAATCCATGACAGCCCGGCCTTTACTGATCTTCATGTCATGATCAGTACAACTGAATTATAATGCATCCATTGCCTATACTGCTTTATTGAAGACTGGATCTCCCATCCCGTATCTGTGCATTCACCAAACCTTAACCCGCCCCAAAGTGAAACTTTTTTTTTTTAATTCTTTATTTTTGTTGTGCATGGAAATTACATGCAAGCTTGCAATGCCACAACAGCTAGAGCAAGTACAACCTGATATTTGAATGAAACAGTTGTATGGCATTCGACATTTCAGCACAATTTTATGTTAACAAATAGGCTACTAATATGACTAAATATAGAGGAAAATGTGGCATATATAAGATACCTGCTTAAGGATCAAGACTTGTGTCTTGTGAATTAAACCAGAGTGGATGGCATACAGTATCATAACCGGATTTATTCTGCTAGGCAGTGCCTCATTTTCCTTATGGAAGTAGTGATAAACAGGCTGGACAAATTTTAGGTTCTTAAATTGGTGCCACTGAGAATAAAAACTCGGTGATTGCTACCTTGGACAGAAATTAAATTAAACAGAAAAGAAAGAGTATACAACAGTGATTAGTCGCTTTTCAAATACACGGGACTTAACAGCGGCCATCATAGCAGAGGAGCATAGCTCTGGTGTGGAGGTCGGTACCCAGCTCAGCCAATCCCCTTGAGTGGTAGGATTAGGGTGCCGTCCAGTGAGTACATGCAGGAAGTTTCCCTTGAGCGCCGGGACAGGGGTCCCCTACAGCCCGAAGCCTGGACGAGGTTAACGGGGCTGCAGAGGATTCGCTTTGTGATGCATTGTCCCGAGCGGGAGATCGGCCTCCTCTCCCAGCCGACAGGCCAACGCTCCCAGTAAGCCGAAGTGCCAAACGGCGATGTCCGAGGACAAAGCCGGTATTTTTGGTAGCCGTAGTGTCCCCTTTAGTAAGGATGAGTGCTCTGCTGAATTCTGAGCTGTTTGTGGTGATTGAAGTGCTGTTTTAGGCAAGTTAGGATTATTTCAAGCAGGAGCTCCTGAAGAACACGTCTGGCCTGCTTGAGAGTCAGGCCCCGCCCCCAACTTGAAACTTTTCAAAGAAAATCTATTTGCTAAGGAGTTTAAGCATGCGTGGGATAGGCATAAGGCTATCCTAACTATAAGATAAGACTAGGGACTAATGAAAGTATTTAGAAAATTGGGCAGACTAGATGGGCCGAATGGTTCTTATCTGCCGTCACATTCTATGTTTCTTGCATTGTTGTTATGGTGCCAGGATTGTTCCTTTAAGTTAACTGCATCTATATGCCTGTTATAATCCCCTGTGTATTTTATGGGACAGGGACTGAATGTTCTAACTTATTTATATGTGTCTATCTTTCTTTTATAATACCTGTGTAGCTACTGCATTTACTATACCACTTCCTTACTAGAATGAAAAGCTCCATGTAAGCGCTATGAAAGAAAAAAAGATATATAAATATACACACAGATACACACATACATACATACACACAAACAGTTTAATTCTCACTTAGAAACCAAGAGCAGTTAATGACACCGGAAGTATGGCATATGTCCCAGCTTTTTTTACATCACTTACCTGGACATCGCTCATTCTCTAAGGAAAAGATTATCATGATGGTCCTGGCAAATAGTTATTAATACTACTTTATATTATAAGTAATATCAAGGATTCAGTCACAAAAATATTTCAGATGTAATACCCGTCCAGTGAATAAGCCCTAACTCCTTGCAATTTTCTGATCAAAAACCTTTTCTCATAGCAAAACTAGATTGATGTGTGTCAATATATTTTAACTGAAATCGCATTATTAAAGGTCTTTATTTTGGAGCACATTCAGTGCGGATTAGAAAACTCCAGGGCCCTTTCAGAGAGCGTCCATATAAATGAGAATTTGAAATTGTAGTGATCTTCAGTCAGTTATCTTTATCCGCTATCTCTATCTTTAAAAAAAGGTTTAACTGTAAAATCTCATCTTAATATATTGTTTGTCTTGATTTTAATATTGTTCCAGTCTTGTACGTCACAACGGACTCCTCTTTTATCAATCTCCAGTTGCTTTTCAGAAGGACGCTTATTTCATTTCGTTACAGTAGATCCTTTTAAATAAGACTCCAGGGCCAAGTCTAAGCCAAGTATTTCTGTCTGAAATTCCACTCATATTTCTACCAATCGCATTCTCATTGCAATTCATCCAGATGCTTTCAATGGAAACTATATTTCAGATCATAACGTCTGCATCTTTTTTTTTTTTTTTTAATATGACTCCATTCTTTTTAAAGCTGTTAAGCAACTGTTTTAAAAAAAAGATGAAACTGGATTCTGCTATTTATATTTAAAACAATATCGTCCTCAATTTAATTAGATTCACATTTATCAGCAGATTATCAGCTCCTGATCAGCCATTTATAAGTTTGGACCGATTGGATTACTGGCACTAAATGCTTCTCCGGAGCCAAATGTATCTATTTGAATATTGAAACCAGTAATTCTATTTTAGTTTGAAAATATCAGATTTCAGGGACACACATACTCTAATATCACTCCAGTGATTTCTCTAATTATAATAACCAGTGGCTATCTCCTCCAGCCCCACCCATGAAGGCTATGCCAGGAGCCCCCTATATTTAATTTGTGAAGGACAGCAATACCTGCCCACTTGCTAGATTTAATGACAATTAAGGACACTACCTGCTCTTGTTTAATATACATACCTGGGAGTAAGGTATTGCTTATACTTGAGCTCATTTTCGGACCCTGCAGCTTGGTATCGGCAGTTATATTTAACATATTTACTGGTTTTTAAATGCTTGTGCAATAACTTTGCTCTTAGTCCATTATTATTTGAACTTATAGGTGATTGTTTCCTGTGCACTTTTATCTGTACATATATTTGCACTTAGTCACTTGCACTTTGTCTATCCAGTATTTTATTGTGTTAAACTGCTGTACCTAAGGGTCTTTTTGGCCTATTGTGGCAATTTTATTTATTTCTCACTGCACATGTTTTGTGCTGTTAATATGGACATTTTATAATCAATAAATTCGTGTTATTTTTTTATCCTTATTTTTATCCTTGTCATTATACTCCATTCTTTTTTCTTTTTACCCCATTTACATTGCCTATATAGTGATTGTGGCGCTCTGTGTTTTCTGTTTTTTCTGTTTTTATATTTGGGGTTGGAGTGACCTATTCACAGAAGCTTGCCTGCACTGGGTTTCTTCACTACTCATCACCCACCTTTGACTTTATTTTATATTGCTTATACTAACATGGCAGTCCTTTTGCTCCCAAGGGTTTTTTGTTTCTTTTTCAAACAGGATTAGTCATCAACAAAGGCTGATAAATGAGCTTCCATTGCACATTTATCTGAGGTTTTTATTTTCAACATCATATTTTTAACTGTTTATCTCTACTCCTCCTGAGGCCAAATCCCCATACCATCTTTTCAACAAGCCTCTTTAGTTCTGCTCTGTTCAACCCACGCACCCGTCCCTCCTCCGGCCCACCCAGGTTCCCCATATTATTATTATTGCCATTTATATAGTGCCAACAGATTCCGTAGCGCTTTACAATATTATGAGGGGGGGGGGAGGGGGTAGATTTAACTATAGATAGGATAATTAAAAGACAACTTACAGGAACGATAGGTTGAAGAGGACCCTGCTCAAACGAGCTTACAGTCTATAGGAGGTGGGGTATAAGACACATTAGGACAGGAAATATCAATCAAGGTAGAAGTGAAACAGAGCTGGAGGACAGAAGAGTTCTGCCCTTTAGGTTAGAGCAAGAGACAGGTATGTGAGGTAGAGATGGGTTTTAAGGCACTTCTTAAACGATTGAAGACTGATGGCGGTAGTCAGGCTATTCCATAGGAAGGGAGCCGCCCGCGAGAAGTCCTGCAAGCGTGTGCTGGCCATACGGGTGCGAGCAGCAGACAAGAGAAGGTCATGGGCATGGGCATGGGCAGAACGGAGAGACTGAGAAGGGACATACCTATGGATCTGTGAAGAGATATAAGAGGGGCTAGAATTGTTCAGTGTTTTATAGGTATGGTTTAGCACTTTGAATTGACTCCTATAGGATACAGGAAGCCAATGTAAGGACTGACAGAGATGTGAAGTGTGAGAGGATTGACTAGAGAGGAAAATCAGTCTGGCGGCAGCATTCATTACAGACTGTAGAGGGGCAGTACGGTTTTTGGGAAGATCAATCAGGAGAGGGTTACAATAATCCATGCAGGAAATTACTAGAGAATGGACAAGCTCCTCGGTAGCATCTTGCGTAAGAAAAAGGTGGATGTGGGCTATGTTTTTAAGATGGAATCTACAGGATTTGCCAACATACTGGATGTGAGGCTCAAAGGTGAGGCCAGAGTCAAGTATGATGCCAAAACAGTGCACTTGCAAGGATGGACTTATGTGGATACCACTAACGTGAAGGGAGAGCGAAAGAGGAGGATCAGAATTAAGAGGAGGAAAGGCAAGGAACTCCGTTTTAGAGAGATTGAGTTTCAGGAAGCGGGAGGACATCCAGTCAGAGATGGAAGAAAGACAAGCAGTGACACGTTGCAGGACGGCAGGGGAAAGGTCCGGGGAGGAGAGATATATCTGGGTGTCATCAGCGTACAGGTGGTAGTGGAATCTAGAGGTAATAAGTTTGCCAAGAGAGGCCGTGTAAAGGGAAAACAGAAGGGGACCAAAGAACAAGGGGGACTCCAACCGAGATAAGAGGAAAACCACGAGAGGACAGAATCACAGAGACCGAGTGATTGAAGAGCTTGAAGAAGGAGCTCAACGGTGTCAAATGCAGCAGAGAGGTCAAGAAGAATTAGTATGGAGTAGTGGCCTATGCATTTAGCTGCAATTAGGAAGTTAGTAACTTTGATAAGAGCAGTCTCAGTAGAGTGGAGAGGACGGAAGCCAGATTGAAGAGGGTCAAGGAGAGAGTTGGAATTGAGGAAGTGAGACACACGGCAAAGACAAGTCTTTCCAGAAGATTTGAAGAAAAAGGAAGCAGTGATATGGGACAATCGTTAGAGGGGGAGGACGGGTCGAGAAATGTTTTTTTCAGGATAGGTATTACAGTATCATGCTTAAGGTCAGCAAGGACATTTCCAGAAGAGAGAGCAGTTGAAGATGTGTGTTAAAGAAGGCACAAGAAAAGGGCAGAGAGATCTGATAAGGTGAGATGGGACAGGATCGAGCGGGCAAGTGGTGGGGCGAGAGTCAAGGAGAAGTGCAGCCACCTCTTGTTCAGAAGCCGGGGAGAAAGTCTGAAGGGTAAGAAAGGCATGATCTACATGTGTTTGAGAAAGAGAATATCAAGGTGGGGATAATTCTTTCCTTTGCTGTTCAATCTTGTCGGTAAAGTAGCATGCAAAGCTCTCAGTTGTAAGGTAAGTTCGGGGGGTGGCCACAGCAGGACGAAGAAGAGAGTTAAAGGTGTCAATGAGATGCCTGGGATTGCGGGAGCATGAACTAATGAGAGAGGAAAAGTATGACTGTTTGGCGAGGGCAAGGGCTGTGATGTATAAACACCAAATGAATCTAAATTTATAACATGCTCCTCCAGCTGTTTAAGATTCTCTCTCAATTACCTCTTCATTCCTTCTATATTCTACCAAGCTGCAACTCTCGGTTTACTTATTTAGCCATCACTTCCAAACTTCCCCTGCTACCTCTTGTCTCAAATCCCCATTGTATCCTTTAGATTGTAAGCTCACGGGCTATCTAGCCAAGCACTTTGTACTCGGCTTACTAGCAGGGCCCTCTCTACCTTTGTCTGTGTATATTGTATGATCTCCACTAATTGTACAGCGCTGCAGAATCTGTTGGTGCTTTATAAATACCAATAATAAATAAAAATAAATTTAAAAAACATATAACCAGATTTGGCTGGCATTAAATCTAGCCAACATTTGATTTACAAAATTTGCCAAAAACAGCTGATATTTCTTGACTGGTTTTTGCAGATATAATTAAAATTGAAGCCGAAATTTGGAAAATATACAACTGATAAAAGAAATAAAGGGTCCCTCCAGTTTAGAGGTTGTTGGATTTTGTTTTGTTTTTGGTGGGGGGGGGGTGAAAAAAAACAATGAAACAACATGTCAAGCTAATATCGGTGTTTTTATTCATGTTTTTCAAGAATTACATTTTATCCTAGGCAAGTATAGTTGTACAGACTTTCTCATGAAAGAGCCTGTGCAAATCATTTGGGATAGATTTTAAAAGAATAAAATCAATGAAAATCCAAATTATTACTCTGTATCCAACAAAGTATGAGAATTGTTACCCTCCTTTGGTTGGCTGCTTTGGTTGCAAACTTCATTTCACTGCAGTCCAAGGTTTGAGTGAACCCCAATGTTTTTTGTTTGTTTGGTTTTCAAGCACATCCATGCCAATACAGTAGGTTCTCTGACAGCTTACAATCTAACCGTCTTTTCTAAACATTGTTCTCTAGTTTGAATTTAACAATATAAACAAAGTACTACCCTGTGCAAAAACTATAACGACCACAAATATTATGTGAAACTGATTATTATAATTTTACAATATGTTTTATTATAACCATTCTAACCGATATTGACATGCCTTCGTTTAAACTTTACAGAGGGTAAAATCCGGAAGAGATGGCAGTGCCCGAAGTAGAAGAGACGGAAGTGCCAGCAGTGGTAAGTGCCATGCGTTGGTCTACTCTCTCCGATTTTATAATATAAACCTGTAGCCCTATTTCACAGGGTGGCAAATCTGTAGGGTTGAGATTGCACTCATTCCAGGAGTGAACACACTGCATTGTAATCAATTGGACATTTGTTATCTGTGAACTAACCACACATTTTGCTGTGTTCTTATTAAAATGTGTATTTTCTACTTTGACACGAGCTGTCAGTCATTCTCACGATGTGAGATCATATTAAAATACTACAGAAAAGTCCGTAACAGCAGCTTCTAAATGTTTTTGGAAATGCTGGCTTTAGTCTAAAACGTTACAGCTTTGAGTTTTAACATTTATTTAAAAATATCCAGGGGTCTGGCATGGGCCCCCTAGGTGATAGATTTGGGTTCTTTCCAGTATTCCAGAAGCCTGAATGTTGAGAGGAACCCAAGTAGCGCTAGGTTTTTGTTTATGGAACAATTTTATAATGGAAAACAGAAATAGTGTGTGTGTCATTTCTATACATGCAAGCTATTTTAAATGTTCACTAGTCTTCCTGTAAAATACATGTAAATGGCATCATGAAAACAATCTGGATTTATTTCTTTTTTTACGCTCTCTGTTAGATGCTGTTTTGTACCTTAGGTGCCACGAGTGCCCCATGTTAATGCCAGCATGATGGGCTAATTTGTTATGAGACTTTACTGTCAATTATTTTATTTACTGTAATTACTTTTAGACCAAAGTAACGGTGCTGTCAAAACAAGTGTTTTGTAAAAGTCAACCATTTTGGAGTACAATTTGCAATTGCTTTGCCAATTCCCAATTTTAGTGAATAAAACATGTTAATATGCAAATCTCTGTGTAAAGTTGATTCTTACTTTTTTTTTGGTCAGTATAAAGGACCTAAACTCACCCCTTTAGTACACTGAAGGACTCTTGATTTACAGCCAGGGCAATTAAAATATCTTCTAAAATGCATATATATTTTGTTTCACTAAACTGCGTCTGCTTAACGTTACAGCAAAGAGTCTTGTCATGCACCACGTTGACTTGATCGTGGTTACAACAGTTAAGCACGGTTTTTGCAACATGTACATGCGGTAAAAAAAAAATCATACGTCTCAAACAGACAAACAAATAGCTACTAAGAAGGAATTTTAAATTCTGGTGATGAACAAATAGTGAAAATAAAACTTGTTTGATAAAACATTTTACATTGCATAAATATCAGATGCTTAAAATATAATGGCCATCTTTGAAAACATGGCGCTTGATATTCTAAATGTTGAAGGAACATTCAGAGCTGTAATGAAAGAGATATTCATGTTCCAGCTTAATTTTATTTTATTTATTTTTTTAATTTTATTATGTTATGTCTTTCCACATATAAAGTAATAGAAATATATATACACCCCCTTTCAAACAATGTTTGCCTTATATATACATAAAAATAAAATGTAAATATGCAAATACCCCGCATATACTGTTTGACACCTTGTAGAAGTTTATAGATGTTAGATTCACTTAAAAAAACATGTATTTAACAAAATTTATTTTTATAGAGAGAATCACACAATATATATAAAAGAAAAAAAACAATATAACTTATTACCAAATAAACTGATCATTCTTGGATCTCCAATGTCACACTCAATAATGTTAACAACAAAATAAATATGAACAACATTTGTACACCCTCCACTCCACCCTTAGGTTCGCTTAGGAGATGGCAGGGGAACCAACTTTGGAATGTACATATTTATTGTACATGTAATGATGCTCGCCTTCAAGATTTCTCGAGGGCTGCACCGTTCCTGTGGAACTCGCTTCCCTCCTCTGTTAGATGCTCACCCAGTCTCCACTCCTTCAAAAAAATCATTAAAAGCCCACTTCTTCATAAAAGCGTATCAATTAAACTGTTACTAGCTCCCGACTGATTCCTCTCTTGCAACTGTCATTAGTCTAATACTATCCTTACCTTTTTGTGTAATTTTACCCCACTCCCTCTAGCATGTAAGCTTATTGAGCAGGGCCCTCAACCCCTCTGTTCCTGTGTGTCCAACTTGTCTGGTTACAACTACATGTCTGTTCGTCCACCCATTGTAAAGCGCTGCGGAATTTGTTGGCGCTATATAAATAACATAATAATAATGATAGAATAGGTCATGATTACTGGAGAATAGGTGCTTGACCTTCTTAAATTTGGTTGGAGATACTAGTTGGTGTATTCAAAGGTTTGTGAATGTTCTCCTTCATCTTAGAATAGAGAGTTCATGTAGGACAACCTGTTCTGGAAAATGTTTTGTATTTCTTTCAGTTTGGATGGTAGTTTCCAACAAAGTCATGCAGAAACAATAGAATTTGGTATTCTAACAATAGAATTTGGTTATGGAAGTGATGGACTCCAGTCACGTAGGAAGGTGTCCTAGCCACTTGATTTTTTGTTTAGTTTTTTTAGCAGAAAGGAAGCAAATAACTTTCCATGTAATTATCAAAGATGAATGTAGAAAATAACGATATAAACAAAATAAACCAACGTATGCTAAAGCTCTAGATGGTCGTGTCCCTTTAAGAGCATTAAGTGAGACGGGGGCTGCTGTGAGTCATGGAATGACTAGATCCCCGGCTGTTGTATAACTAAAACCACAGTGATGATTTGCAGGCATTAATGCTGGCAAAGCATTATGGGATATACAGTATTACAGTGACCGTGGAGGGGGCACCTTTTGACCAACCCTGCTCTAGAACTATGAGCAGTATTGAATCTATATGTTCCATTTTGAATACATGTTTATTTCAGCTAGATTGTCTCTTTAACTGAGAACAGGTGAGGGTTTGAGTGCCAGCGAATCAAGATTCTTGTGCCATGGCACAGTATGAATCGTTCAGATGAACTCTGCCAAATCCAGAATTATTTGTAGGGAAATTATATCAGTTACAGCTGTTCTTAATACATGGTGTAAAAGGCAGAGAAAGTTTCTAATAAATTGCTGACATAATCCACCCTTTCACTGCATGTGAAATTAATTGGCTCCATCAATTGCTTGGGCTTGTTTTAACAGAGCGGATGAAGATCATTGCGAAATTGCAAGTGCAGGCTGTTAAACATGTCACACAGCTCGACAAACTTGGAATAATGTAATAGAGTAGATTTGTTTCAGCTCTCACCACTTTGGCCCTATGGTACCAGAAAGCTCAAACACAGGATTGAGTGACACATTGCAAAGCACTGAATTGTTTAGCACAGCAAATGGACCTTTAAAGGTTCGCACCAGTCTTCAGTCAGTCTTAAAAGAACATTGTAACTTTAAAAAATAAATAAATAGGGGGCATGTCCTAGACTCCGGAGCGAGCGGTCGCATGTAGCCGGAGCTCCGTGCGGCAACGGCCTAAACAAGCTGCAAAGTGGGTGACCCGACACCACACGACCCGAGACACGATGTCCCAGCCTAAACAACGCCGGCAGACAGAGCGGGGGGAGAAATCTAATTTCTTTGGCGTTAAAGCGAGCCAGACACGAGGATCTGGACCGCATGGCGAAAATCAAGATGGCGGCGAGGAAGAGCTCACTCCCTCCCCAGAACAGGCGGCTGCCGACTTACCGGTCACGCAGGGGATCCTGCAGGCGATGCTGGACACTATGGCAGGCAAGTTACAGCTCACGCTGCAAAATGAAATCCGCACCATTAGTGCAGATGTTAAAGAGCTGGGAGACAGGACGGCAGGGCTGGAGGACAAAATGGTGGCATATGAGGAGGCCCAAAACTCCATGGCAGAAAAACTAGACAGCCTTACAGAGAGAATGGAGGCGCAGGAGGGGAAAACCGCTGACCTGGAAGACAGAGGCCGGAGAAACAACCTCCGCATCAGAGGTATAGCGGAAAATATAGGCCCGACAGAACTCACGGCCTACCTAGTGGGATTGTTCAAAGCGCTCGCCCCTGATGTGCCCCCTGACATGTTCCTGATGGATCGGGCTCACAGAGTGCCAAAACCCACCTTCTTACCACCTGAAACCCCTAGAGACGTGCTGCTGAGAATGCATTACTTTCACATAAAGGAAGAAGTAATGAGGGCAAACAGAACCAGGAAAAAAACGGACATGCCGGCGGCATACCAAGCAATAGCGATTTATGCCGATATATCAGCATACACACTTAGACGCAGGAAGGAATTCGCGGGAATCACGACGCAACTCCGCCAACAACAAATACCATACAGATGGGGATACCCGGTGAAGCTGATCGTACAGAGAAATGGACGACCAACTACGATACAGAACCCAGACGAAGGAATGAAAATCCTCAGAACCTGGGGCATAGATACTCCGCCCGCGACGAAAGAGACTCAAAGACTCCCTCCATCATGGAGGAAAGCCAAACATTAAGTCACCTAGTTGGGAAGAAGCTGTGACGCTGAACCTGAGAACTGTTGATCCAGCCATTTGAATCCAGGCTTGTATAACATATGTTTAGTTTAACTCTCTTATGTTGTAAGGGCAATGTAAATGGGAGCAAAAGACAAATGCACATGCAAAGACAAGGGTCAGGAGGACTGGGAGAGTGGGTGCCATAGGTAATCTGGGGAACAGGGCTAGACGGGAGACTAAGACGTGGATATTGTGACATAGAGTCCAACTCCGGGAAAGCCCAAACAGGGGAGCCCCCACCCGCCCTCTCACAGAACCCAGAAAGCTCCGACATACAAACACATAGAGAGGTAGGGAAAAGAAAGAGAAAACCACAAAAAAAAAAAAAAAAAAAAATTTTTCCTTTTCTATTGAACTATGCCAACGTGCAATCTCAGGATACAGGCAGGTAGACAGCGACAACCCATTCACGCAAACTTTCTTATTATGCTAAAAAAAAAAAAAAAAAAGAGGGTCACCCAGACAAAAAAGCAAAACACGCGAGCAAAAGCCGCGGCCGACGAACCGCAGCCAGGACAGAAACCATTAGTTTCTACCCCCACCGCACCACCAACTGGTGCATAGCCGATATTTCGGCGAAAAAGTTGATTTGTTATAACTTTCCTATTACTGTTTCCTATTTTGTTTTTATGTTTGTACTCATACTTGCACCTCACACACCCCTCCCACCTGCTACGTGCTCCGTAAGCCACCGTCCAAATTTAGACAAGGCGGAGATCATGCCGCTCTCTTCCTCTGAGCCAAGAATCATGCGAAGCAGCCCTCAAGCTGCCTGGGGACAGCCCTTGAGTTCGGAGGAACTGGGACACAGGGACCCCCCGACATATATAGATCAAACACAAGCACAAATAACATTTTATGACCACCTTCCACCCTGAAAATCTACTCACACAATGTTAGGGGACTGAACATCCCGGTTAAGAGACACCTACTATACCGAGAGATCAAACATAAAGCAGTAGACGTTCTATGCCTTCAAGAGACACATTTCATGACCAATGCACATCCCACCGTCCTACGGAAAGACTATCCCATACAAATCCATGCCACATCGGCAAGCAAAACCAAAGGCACCTCCATACTAATTAGCAAAAATGTGGCCTACACTCCGCATTCCCAACATATTGACCCGGACGGTAGATATGTCATCATAGTAGGCACGCTTAATGACATGCCCTACACCATAGCGAACATCTACGCCCCCAACACGAACCAGCGCAACTTTTTACACAAACTTATTCAGAAACTGCAGTCAGTACAGATAGGGACGACAGTCATATGCGGCGACTTCAATCACGTTTTTGACCCCTCCATGGACACGACATTAGCTCCAGCTAGGAAACGCACCGCACCCCTCCGCAAACAAAGTAAGGCGCTCTGCAAGCTTATACACAACAACCATTTGTACGATGTATGGAGAGCCACTCATGTAGGGGAAAGGGGGTATACATTCTTTTCGACAGTGCACAACACCTATTCCCGCATTGATGGCTTCCTTATCTCAGGGACAGGGATAGACCAAACGGCCCAATGCGAGATAGGACAGATCACATGGTCCGACCATGCCCCGGTGGAACTAACGTTAAAAAACCTATATGACCCGACCCATAGAAGTCCGTGGCGACTAAACGCAACATTACTGAAGGATAGCGCCTTCTGCACGGAGCTGACCCAAAACTTAGCCCACTACTTCCAAGATAATGATAGACCTGAAACGAGCCGCGGTACCCTGTGGCAGGCCCACAAATCAGTGATAAGGGGACAAATGATACAACGGGCAGCATACCTAAAAAGAAAATCCCAAATTCAGCTCCACACATACCAAACAGACCTCCAGCGCGCTACGACACAAAACCAAATAACGCCATCACGCGAACTGCAGGATCAAATCGCGAAACTCACAAGACAGATACACCAAATGTCATTAGAACAAGTGGGATATCACTTGAAAAGGCTAAAGGCTCAAAACTACACACAGGGAAACAAGGCAGGTAAACTGTTAGCACAACGATTAAAGTCACAACAAGCAGCCCAAAAAATAGCATACTTGCTGTCTCCAAGCGGACAGAAAATAGTGGCTCCCAAGGACATTAGCAACGCATTTGCCAAATACTACGAAGCATTGTACAATCTCAGGGACGACCCAAATACACCCCAACCACAGGGGGCCAAAATAGCCTCCTACTTAGACAAGATCGCACTGCCCAAACTCACACCCGCTCAACAAGACAGCCTAGCCACATTGATAACAGAAACAGAGGTGGTGAGAGCAATTGACTCTCTACCTTCTGATAAAGCCCCAGGCCCAGACGGGTTTGCCAACTGTTACTACAAGCACTTCCAAAAAACCCTAGCCCCTCACCTTACTAACGCGTTTAATGAAGCAGCCAAGAGGCACGCACTCCCGTCAGAAGCCCTCAAAGCCCATATCATAACATTGCCTAAACCGGGCAAACCACCAATCCACCCACAAACTTTTCGACCAATATCGTTGCTAAACACTGACACAAAACTCTTCGCGAAAATTTACGCCATTAGGTTGGGCACAATCCTTCCGCACCTGATAAGGAATGATCAAGTCGGATTTGTTAAAGGGAGACAAGGGGGGGACAACACGAGAAAGGTCATCGACATTATACACAGCGTACACAGGCAACAAACAGAATGTGTAACGCTTTCATTGGACGCGGAGAAGGCCTTCGACCGCCTGAGCTGGATGTTCCTGAGAGCAGTCCTGGATAAGTTTGGGATGCCGAGGGCATTCTGCTCGGCGGTGGAGGCCTTATACAGCAAACCATCGGCTCAGGTGGTCACTGCGGGCTTCACATCGGAACCCTTTAACATCACCAACGGGACGAGGCAGGGATGCCCACTCTCTCCCTTACTATATGTGTTGGCTTTAGAGCCGTTAGCAGAGACAATACGGGCCAACAGCTCCATACATGGAGTAACAGTGGGCGATAGGGAATACAAAATCAATTTGTTTGCGGACGATGTCATGTTGACATTAACACAACCCCAAATTTCACTACCGAACCTTATGAAGGACATTAAAGAATACGGCCTTAACTCCTATTACAAATTGAATGTCACTAAATCACAGGCTATGGGAGTGGGAGTCCAATCTCATCGGCTGAAACACTTGAGTGGGCTTTTCTCCTTTGACTGGAGAAAAGATTATATTACCTTCTTGGGCGTACATATACCCCCCCACCTACCCCATTTGTTCAAGCTAAACTTTACCAAACTGATCAAATCATTTACAGACACGTTACACACATGGGAGGGCAAATATCTCTCGTGGCTGGGCAGATTGGCGGCGATTAAGATGTCTATACTTCCCAAACTCCAATATCTGCTGCGCACAGTCCCGATTAGTCTGCCAGGTCTATATGTGAGCACAATTCAAAAACTGTTCGTACGGTTTGTGTGGGCCAACCGCAAGGTGAGGGTAGCCAGCAAACTCTTACAAAAACCTGTTAAAGAAGGGGGATTGGGCATGCCCAACATTCGTTCTTACCACAGAGCCACACTGCTGACTGCCATAGCAGCGACAAACGTAGTAGAAGACCCCCCCCAGTGGGTACACATAGAAGCACACTGGGCATGCAAACAGGGGCTGCGACACTTATACCAGCTGCCACACAGATTACGACCGCCGTACACAACCATGTTACCAACCACGGCAGCAATGATCAAGGCATGGGACACAGTGAGGGCATCACTGGGCATGGTCGGACCAAACATAAGGAACATCCCACTCACGAGCATATCGGTGGGCATACCGACGTTTGACCACGCTCCCTGGGTGAGAGGGGGTTGTACCCACCTTAGCCAGATCTGCGTGAACAACGAGTTACTGCCATTCCCGACACTGCAAACCAAGTTCTCCTTGCACTCCAGACACATATTCCCTTACCTCCAACTGAAATCATTTGTGGCCTCACACGGTAAAGATTCGGGTACCGAACCGCCAAACATTGGTGCCTTAGAACAAATATGCTTACAGGGCAGTATACCCAAAAAAATCCTATCAAAACTTTATGCGCTACTGAATACAGTAGATACAAACGGACACGGAGACTTTAGAGAAGCCTGGCAGAAGGACATAGGGCGACCAATAGCAGACCTAGACTGGAAACAGGCATTCCAAACACACAAAGGACACACATCATGCGCGACCCACCTAGAAACAATGAGGAAAATTATGTACAGATGGTATATGGTCCCAGACAAACTAGCAAAAATATACCCGGGAAGCTCAGGGGAATGCTGGAGGAGTTGCGGAGAAAGGGGAACAATGTACCACATTTGGTGGACGTGCCCGATAATCACTCCCTACTGGGAGATGGTGGAGGGGATAATCACTGACGTAATAGGCCGCCCATACAGCTTGGGACCTGAACAGGGTATACTATTCATGCATCTTGCCCTCTGGCGCAAGCAGGAAAGACAATTGATATTCCAGGTGCTTATAGCGGCAGTAACCCTGATAGCCAGACAGTGGAAACAACCACGAGCGCCCAGCAGACACGATCTCCTAACACAAATATCCACAAACTGGGAATATGAAGCTATGGCAAATAAATACATTACAAATAACCGCACGATCATAGACACAAAAATCAAATGAGCAAATTACATTCAGAAAAGTGCACACCACTCCGGGACTCAAGACGTATGGGTACGCTAAGACACGAAGGCTTGAGTAGAGAACCAAAGCAAGAGAGACAGGGAACGTAGGTGACTTGACCCAGGAGGAGGTCCTAACGCATAGAGTCGATGATACACTAGAGGTAGAGAGGCGGAACTAGCAACTAGGAACACAGGTCTAGGGAGAGGACAAAGAGGAGCACCGGTTCAAGAGATCCATACACGGAATCTCTTCCCTTTCCTTTCCTTAAACCCATCCCTTCACTTTACAGCACACCCTACCCCCACCCCCCCACTCCATTTTTTGCGCTACAACTCAATATGTGTAAGTGTATATAGATAACCGCTCTAGTGAGCATCCCGCTAGTGGCTCATGTACTCCCAGCCCAGACGCTACCACCAAGCAATCACAGTACGCAAGATCCTGTGGGGGTAAAACCCAGTCTCCCCTAAGGAGACCAGTACGCAGGGGCAGGGGGCCAGAACAACACGCAAGGGATAAGAGAGAATGACACAATACACGTGCCGTAAAGCAATTCACCCACGGATCCAACCACAACAGTGGCGATGTTACGACCAGTACTCCATACCACACCTGCGACTCAGAGACAGGCAGCAAATACAGATTGGGAAAACATGACCGTTTAAAGTGTAATGGGTAATATTGTATACGCTAGCATTTGAAATGTGGAACACGTGATGTGAAATGTGAAACATATACTGCACATATCCGAGACGAAAACGATTTACGTGTAAACAACGTTGCCTACATCCTTCCCCACCTTCCCTTCTTTATTCTGTACCCCCTTATACTGCCTTTTGATATATGACAAAATAAAAATTGTCAAATTGAAAAAAAATAAATAAATAAATAAAAAATCCTGTGCTGGGCAAACTCGTCTCTAAAGCCACTCCATTTTTTGTGAGATCAACAGTCCTAAGGATTTCGGTTCAATCTCATTCTTGTTATTGCAAAGCATTGAGGACATATGGAGCACGTGTGGCAATCGCCATCAATCCAATGGTTCACTGAGAAGAATTAGTGGAGTAGGACCTCATCGTGCTGCACGTGATAATATCGAACATGAAAGCCTTGATGAATCAAAGTACTTTAGATGATAATGCCACTAGTGGCTCGCTGTCTGATGGCTCTTAGAGCAATGTTTTCAATGCAGTATGTAAACACTACTGTCTTAAATTGTGAGAGAAAAGGGGGAGTGTCTGTGCACCACGACCACTATACTAAGATGTGTTCGTTTTGGTCCTTCGATAGTCACGGTAATTTTTTTTGATGGTGTCTAACACTTAGTAGCAAAAGATAACAACAGAAAAAGGGCCACAATTATCCTAAATATTCGTCTCATATCTATTGGAAGATAATTGTATTTTGTCTGTTAAGGCGTTAGCTGTAGCTATAAGTAATATAATCTCTATCAAACTGTGCGCTGCATGGGAGAGGCTTGCAGGGTCAGAGGCATGGATGTGGGGCTCTTTAGTCCTGGATCACCTAGAGAACCCCCTAAAATATGACCCACATATATATATATATATATATATATATATATATATATATATATATATATATATATATATAATACACACACAGACAGAGTATTATGCCAATCATACCGAAATGGAAGCCTTCTCAGATTATTTTAACAGTTTGTATAGTACATTCCTTTAAGTGCTGTGGAGTTGAAGTGAATTGCTTTAGTTTTTACAAATGTACAGAACATGAACTGCAATATGCAAAGTATATACACCAACATTGAAAGGGTTAATGGAATATTGCACTCTGTATGCTTACATCAAATAATCAATGGGTCTTGGAGTAGGCTTATTTCAAACAGGAGTTATATTTGGAACCCAGCAATGCCTCTGATTATTGCTAAAAACAAAAAGTATGACGTTAGCTGGCACTGTGCATATGAAGCATTTGCTTTCTATATACAGAAGGATTGGAAGCTTGTATTGTCTGCTCAGGGCAGGGCTCAGAATTTCAAGTCTTTTCCTCACAGGTCTCAAAGTCATAGCAAGCCTGGAGGGTCTATAGCACATTTACATTGGGGGAATCCCAACTGCCAGGGTTATATGTTTACTCACCAGTGGGCGAGTGGAAATTTCGAGCCCTGATTTGTAAATAAATGGAATATTTATCCAGAGATTGATAGTGACCTCAGTTTTGTTTGCTTTTCAAGACAGTGGTCAGAGCAGTGTAACAAGTGCTAAAGGAGAGCGCCTGAGTGCCAAGCTAAGAGCTCTGCCCACATCAAGTGACCCATACGAGCCCAGCAGCCAGAAAGAAATTGGTAAGTGACAGAATCGAATCTACCGCTACATTATGACAAAGTAAAATCATAGTCCCTACTTTAGGATACTAGAAACGCTAAGATCAGACTAGACACATTTCCAGATTTAACAACAGTACAAACTAAATAATGTATGCTAAAAGTTACCTAGCCATGTACATAATGCCCTTCTTATTTCAATAAATGGTCTTATCGCAGTCTGATACCCACTCCTTGTTTGGTTCCAAATTGGTAGCCAGCATTCAATCTTCAGATTACAAAATTCAAGCTACAATAACCAGGCTATGACTACTGCTGACTTGGAGAATTTTTTCAGATCAGCTGGTTTTGTATAAATTTTGGCTTGACTTCAAAAGCATTAAAACCAGTGCCTGAATCCATCTTTGAATATTTACTATAATAGAGTTGCATTCATTGGCTAAGAGTGGTCATCTCACACTCTCAGCCAATGAATGGCCATTAGGATCGGCTTCTGCAGACAGGATGCACAATGATAGAGGAAGGACTTTTGTGATCCAGGTTAGAGAGCAACCACCATTATCGGGAAATGGGACCAGGGTACTCCTAGCATCATAACCACCACAGTCGGCTTGGCAAAACACTTTAAAAATGTGTGAAATAGGGGGCGTGGCAAGCCAAGCAACAGAGCAGACGTACACCCGCGGAGCTGTGGGCCAGATTGGAGAAAATAGGCATTTATCTATACGTTGGAGCTCCCACAGGTAGAACGCTTTATCGCCGCCTGACAGAGACTACTAAAGGGTGTAAACACAAAATATTTCCCCCACCAGAGACCCCGAGATTGCCTGACTACATTTTACAAAATGTAGGCCAAAATATCTGAGAGAGAAGAAAATATTTACCTTGTGTTTGTCCACGTTTTGGATGACTATTGTCAACGCACCACAACATGCTACATAGTGAATGGACTCTGTGTGCCAATGCCATTTTCTGAATCCTGTAGTACTTCTATTTTCTCATAATCCATTTTGTTTTCTGTTTCAGATGCTTCGTATGTAGATCCTCTAGGCCCCCAGATGGAAAGACCAAAAACAGCTGCCAGGAAAAGAGCAGACGACGAGGATTTTGCCGATGAAGAGTTAGGGGATGATTTGCTCCCTGAGTGATCCTTCAAAGTTTCATAGATTGATGTCGGTCCCTGTTTTGTTCATTTGTTTTTCTATATTCAGATTATAGAATGTTACTGATTTCTTACTAATGTGATGATTTGCTGGCATTTATACCATGTCATTTTTTGTGATACTGTTGCACATAATGAGCATTTTAATTTAAAATAAATATATTTATAGCAAGTGAAATGCTTTATCACGATCACCATCATCACTTGTCTGTCTTCCAAATGGGAGGGGAGTTGATGTGAATGTTATATTTGTGTGGGAAACAAGTGAAGTATTATATGTGGGTCCTATGCTACTGAGATATGTGGGTGTTATTTGGCCTTTGGACAGTGGGTTGCAGTGTGGTCGGTTGGTGTTTACATATGAGTATATGTTAATGGATTGTGTTATGCTGTAGTATGCCCTGTATGGTTGGTAGTTGCTATGGTACTAATATACGGGGGGAGGTATTGTGATGCTGGATGGTTTATGGGTGAACAAATGTAACGTGCCATGGTCAAATAATAGAGGCAGCTCTGCTCACACAACAACAACATATGGAGAATGACTGATGCAAACTATAGCTGCCCTTTTATTTCTTCATATTACAATGAATTTTAGAATGTATACATTCCTTTCAGCACTGTAAAAATATTTTTAGAAGTATTAAGGGAGAGTACCAGAAAGGAATCCTTCTTTGGGTCCATTTAACCTTAGACTGTCCCTTCTATGCAGCAATGGCTAACAATGGTCTAAGTGTGACATTTTGGTAGGAAGAGCAAGCAGTCACCTGTCTGCCCTTGGATAAAGGTATCAATATGGAGTTTATTTACAAAACTATGAACTGTGGAGAATTAAACTCTGCCGGTCCCTTGTCAGCTCAGCACAAATTGCAATTTAATGCATAAATCCATTTTCTGTTCAAAAAATTATCTTTTCTCATCGCACTGCCTGACAATCTGCTTCTAGCGCCTTATCAGCAATAACCAAAACAGTTCAAGATGGCTCAACATGGTGCTAGAGATGTATGTTAACTACATTTACCACGATCCCATGTTGCCTAATCCCTGACTGAGCATTATAGGGCATGTAATTCACTCACTTAAAATGGCATCACTGTGCAAGTCCGTTCTGTAAGTTTTCGGCATTTATCTATTTATTTAATTATTCCATGTTTGAACAGATTAGTTGTGTGTGTGTGTGTGTGTGTGTTTTTGTGTTTGTTTTTTGTTGTTGTTTTTTTTTTTACATGTATAATTTGATGCCTTTATAGTGTTGTTATATCATATAAGATTTGTTCAAGTCAACACGCATTTTTTTCTCTTTCAATAACTATCCAACTTGTTGTACCTGCATATATTTTTCTTTCTAGTTAACCCAAATTTAGTTTTCTTCTTCAGTCCTCTTTCTTCAAAAATGCATTACCATAGTGTAGTGTGCCGCAGTAGTGTCTGTTGTAAATTAGCAGGCCTCTTGGGACAGTGACTGTGCTGGCCCCTGATTCCTGTGTAGGAGTGTGTTTGTGCCTGTTTCACAGACCTGTTGCTGAGTAATATGAATAGGTGTATTGATAGGCAGCCTATGGGGTTATGATGTCATATTCCATATAGTTATCCTTAGTGCGTCCCTTTACACTGCAGCAAGCCAGTGAATAAGGTATAGATTTACTCTGTCATAAACACAAACCTTTCTTGGCAAACTGCCTCGGGCCAGGCTGAAAATATATATTGTTTTAAACCTGTAAAAATGTAAAATGAAAAAAAAAAATTATAGTGCATCAAACTTTTGCTCCCCTGCCACTGATTATTGATGCAATTTTTAGAGACTTATATATATTTTTTTTTGTATGACTATTTTATTCTGGTGCATGATCAGACGAGTTATCAGATCCTTTTTTTGTAACACAATGTAATGTGGCCACAAACAATATAGACCATAATTAAAAAGTGAGCAGTTGACTTAAAGGGACACTAAAGTCACCAGAACCACTTCCGCTTAATGTAGTGTTTCTGGTGTCTACAGCCTGTCCCTGGAGGTTTAGCACTGTAAACGCTGCCTTTTTAGAGAAAAGGCAATGTTTACATTGTTGCCTAGTAACACCTCTAGGTGCAGTCACTCAGACAACCATTAGAGATGCTTCCTAGACCAGTGCTGCACAGTGTGTCTTCACAATCTGCATTGAGGTGCTGAATGTTCACCATAGAAGTGCATTGATTCAATTCATCTCTATGAGGATATGCTGATTGGCGCTGCATGCGCAATAACCTCCCATGAGCAATAGCCTTTCCTATGGGAAAGCACTGTATTGGATGAGAGAGCATTGTATTGGCTGAGATCGTCAAAATTCATAGCCAGCCGCAGCAAGACCGGTACATTGTAGGGAAAAAGGTGAGTAAAAACACCTTGCCATGTTATCTAAGGGGGGCCAGAGGCATAAATAATCACTATAGTGTCAAGGAATATATGTTTGTATTTCACTATAGTGTTCATTTAAGTTCCTTAACCTTGAATTTCCTGATTGTCTTTATTCATTCTCCAAGAATACTGCTTGAGTACTTTTTACAGTAGAAAGTAGACATCTGAACTATAACTCCTAAAAACCGTGTTCAAAATAACTCAATTGGAACTTCCTAAAACCTCAGCAGCGCTACAGAGGATAAGTGGGCATCATCCGTCGCTAAGTAATGTCTTGTTTTGGTGCGAGTTCAATGTAGAAACTATATTATTGGGATATTGCTGAAAATCTATCAGCTGTAAACGAGTGTCTTTTTATTTAATGTTTTGTATTTATTGGTTTTACTTATATTTACATGCATTATCTATATAATGTACTAAGAAAAGAATGGATCTTTAATATCCCCTCATAAGTCACTATTGATTAAGTTGCTGGGTAATTTAATATACTTCTCCAACACTCCATTTATTTCAACTACCAGCCTATCCCTCTGAAACAATGGAAGTACAGGAATAAGGTGATATTGTTGTATAAATATTAATAAATGGCTTATCATGCCATATATGTCTCAAAAAGTCATTGTCACAGTCTTCATCAACGATAGGAAAATATATTAAATAAAATATCAAATAAAAATTAAAAAGCATTGAGATAAAGTGGTCAGACATTGCTTAATGGGTTACTCCAACCACCATGACCACTTCAGCTTTTTTTAAGTGCTCATGGTGGTAGGATTCTGGATGTGTAGTGTCAGCCTGAAACACTGAACATCTAGAGTTATTTGCACTAGTTACGTCCCCAGCATTTGTGATTTGGGAATCCTGGGACTCTGTTCTGTGCTTCCTAATGTCAATTCTGTGCATATGTTACATCTGTCGTCAGCGGATACTGCATGCTGGCAACAGAATCTCCCCTTCTTTTGCCAACTCAGAGCTCACACATGCACACTGAGCCGATTAAATGATCCAATCAAAGGTTTCTCTATGAGCTCCTGTGACGTACAGTTACTTGGCTACCTATAGCATGCATACAGTAAGTATAGTTCCTTGTTTAAAGGAACACTATAGGGTCAGGAACACAAACATGTATTCCTGACCCCATATTGTTAAATCCACCATACAGGTGGCAGCCTTCCCCCAACCCCCCTTCAGCCCCTTTAGAAAATGTTAAAACTCATCTCATTTCCAGCTCAGTGTGGGCCTGCCAATGCTGGCCCTGCCCCCGATCTGCCTCCTTGGTGATATCATCAGAATTGCCTATTTTTGCTAACCCAATGCTTTCCATGAAATCTGCAAGAAGGCGTGATGGGGGTGGGGCCAAACGCTGTTTTAGATGCATTTGTATGAGGAAAATTCAGTGTCCCCATGCAGAGTGTGGAGACGCTGAACTGCAGTGCTGCCTACTGTGCAGCACTGCCCCAGGAAGCACCATCAGTGGCCACTTGGAGGTGTCCCTAGGGGGCAATATAAACACTGCCTTTTAACTGAAAGCTGTGCTTTCCAAACCCTCTGGCGTTGAAAGGAATCTCTAATAATTAGTTTGTGAAGGAAGTTCTGATTACCCTCCAGACCTCAATCTATTATTTCATATTTTCATGGCTCCAGAAAAAGCTGTCACTCATTAAACCCACTTAACCACATTTCCGCAGTTTTGCAGAATAGCCCATAATAGTGCCAATTAGCCGTTATGTAATGTATTTCATGTGCTTGTAAATGCAAAGTATATGATCTGTCAAAACGTCATGTGAAAAGACTGTAAACAGGTATGGACTTGCTCGGTATCCTTACATGAGATCATATACTGCAAATATATATTACAAACCTAAATGGCCATAGTGTTATCCCTCATTAGTGAGCTGTTTCTTAAAGGGGAAATGTCACTACTCTGGAAATAACACTATTTGGATAGAATGTTGAAACCTGTCACACTCGTGTTAATCTTTTTGCTGTCCTTTTAATGTGTATTTAAAGATTTAGCAATTGACATCATAGATCTGGCACAGTCTAGGCACACATTGCATTGGAGTTAAAAACAAAACATTGAATGATATCATGCAAGTACCACACATGTTGGGAGGTATGATATCACATTAGAAGGAAACCGTTTGAGAATAAAATTCTACATTTCTGTCTTGTTCATTTATGTTTATGAAACAAATACAAAACATATTTCCCTCCATTTATCAAGTGCATTCCAAAAATAATAATATTAAATGGACACTCCATGCTAGAGTTCCCCCGCAATGTCAACAATGTGTTGGAAATGTGATTTATTTATTTTGAAATTCTTTATTTTGTTGTGCATGTGAGTACAAATCAACTTAATAACACCACAACAGCGTATACCTTGACATTTCCGTGAAACAGTGGCAGGGAAAACGTTGCACATTTTTATTTTATTAACAAGCTTAAACTATCCAACACGTCACAAGTTAAAGAGTCAGGTGACAAGATGTAGAGGGTGCGCGTGCGTGTAGATTTGTGTAAGTTAGCTCAATTTACATATGATCACGCGTAAACTTTCTATCGTATCGCTAAGTTAAAGAGTTGGATGACAAGATGAGTAGCGCATGCTTGCATCCTGGCTTAAGTGTGTAGGCTTAATTTGCTTATTATAAACAGGCCCAAGTTTTCTAGCATGTCACATATGTAAAGAGTTGGATGATAACAAGTCTTGGTGTTAATTATACAGGCTGTGTGCCTAAAAGTAAGCTCAATAAGGTAGGTAATGATTCATGAGGGGTTAACATGCTGTGCTGATCTGGTTAACTTGAACCCACAAGGGTGTTGAATATGAGTATGCTAACTGACTGTTTGATCATTGAGAGTACCTTCAGATATGGAAAATAAAAAAGTAGAAGGAGAAAAAAGAAAAACTGTTGGTTTAGCAGGTGCCCTTCTGGCCTGGTTTCATCCAATGCTGCTTCTGTAGGGCCTCAAGTGTCTTAGGTATAAGTCCATCACGATCTGGACCAGGTCGAGGACTAGGGTGTTGTGTGCTGGGCTCCTTACAGCGCACCCTCCGCGTTGTAGCCGTGTCCTTTCACCATGTGGGAAAGAGAGGGGAGAGTGTATGGCAGTGGTGTGATCCCTTGCCTGGCTTCCAACAGCTGCTGCTCGCAGCCAGGAGGTAAGAGTGCTCTTGTGTGTTCAGCCGGTGGTTGTTCAGCATTGTGGTAAACTGTTACGCTGTGCGTTGTGCTTGAGAGTGCGGGGCCCTCTGATGCAGAGTTGTCTCTTAGATGGGGCTGTGTGCTTGTGAGACGAGACAAGTGGTGAGGGGGTGACCCTGGGATGAGTCTTCGTTGTGGCTTGAGGTAACTCACCAGCGGGCGAGGATTGGGGTGCTGTAGCTTGCGCCTTGATCTCTGCATCGCCGCGTAGGGATCCCATCTGTGTTGCTTGCTTGTAGTAACTTGTCTGGACCATGTATGTAGGTGACCCGGTGGTAGGTTAGGTCTCTGCGTAGACTGCGATATACGCCGGTGTCATGTGCAGCCTCAATGGGACACTCAGTGCCTGCAGTTCCCGCCATCTTGGGTGAAACTTTGTTCTCACTCTTTACCCACGAGGCGGCCTGTAACGCTTCAACACACCTGGGGTAGCCTCCGCTGGGTGGACCGGGATCTCCCCCACCGGTCCAAATCGGGGGGGGTAACGGGGCTTGCTCGTGTTGTAGGCATCGTCAGAGTGCCTCCAGGGTCGGGAGAGCGGCCGCCTCTCCCCCGGAACGTTGTGTGCTAGGCCGCGGTGTGAGCGGGTCTTGAGCGGATCTCTCACCCTTCCATTGCACGCCCTCTGTTGTGGGGTGCTTATGATTATGTGGTACTGCTGTTTGGCTCGTTAGATACAGCCTTATTTCACTTGTTTTGCCATAGTTGAGCGGGAGCTCTTGAGAAACACGTCTCATCGCCATGATGGTTAGGCCCCGCCCGGAAATGTGATTTATTTTAAATAAATATATATTTTTTTTAAAAAAATTTTATATCCTTGCATATGTGGCATGTCCACAGGCTCTGCACCTTCTCCAGTGATCTCTCGCACTAAACCAAGAAGTTGTCTATAAGCTGAAAATATTCCATAAACCTCTCCTGTAGGTCAACAATTTCCTTCCATCAGAGTACATTTGCTGTATTTTTATAGCTGCAGCAGGGTCATTGTTACAGTCCATATTCTTCACCTTCAGTGAAGATCTTAGGGCTTACATTTATAAAGCATCTCTGCCAGTATCTTCAATATGTATACAACAAATTCTATTGAAATACTAAACATGGCCCTTTTATCATGGCCATGATCTGTGGGGCTGATGCAGGCACTACTGCAATGATTTATATAGCGCCAACATATTCAGTACCGCTGTACAGTAGAGACACCAAGACAAATCATTAATTCTAACTAACTAAACAGATTTGACATATTAGAACAGTAGGTGAAGAGGACCCACCTTGTTTGAACACCATCCCAAAAAGTGCTGTTTTTTTTAAATTATTTTCTGACGGCAAACCTTTGCCTCTGCCTCTTACCCTCGCTGGAACCATTGCTTCATCACGCGATTTTTACATTATGATGCCACTACAACAACCCTGTCGCTGCAACCCCAGGCAAAAAGCACCACATAACGAATATTTTTATATCCACACTCCACCTAATGCTAGAACTTGGTATTACACCTGCCTGTAATCCACTGATTGCAAGAACGCCCTAAAGCTGCACTTACCTTACCTTTCCCCAATCGCTTCCTCTTCTCTTCCCCTCTCAGGATCTGTTCTTCCTTTCTGATCTAGTTTTCTTTGTCTAACTTGTCTTATGTATTTTTCCTATGCTTGACCAGCTTTGACCCAGCGGAGGGAGAAACCTGCTCCATTTTCTGTGGTCAAAGCAATTTTCCCACAATACTCTCCCATCCTCCTGTGTTTTCTCGTGTTACTTCATTCGCTGTTCAAACGCCGGCAAAGCTTTCGAATTTCGTCCTAACAGAATGAGTATAGGTTGTCCATTCGTGTTAAGACAATCTGGTACTTTTTGTTCGGATCGGAATTTCATTAGAATGAATGAAACTCCGATCCTATTCGTGCTGTGGCTGCATCTTGCAGCAGCTTAGTAGATAGCTCCCTAATTCCCACGGTGGGATCCCTAACTTACAATTGGGTGACAGCTGGACCTATTGTCCTGGCCCCCACCCATGAGCGGAGGCTGGGTACCCTAAATGACAATAGGGGGGGACCTATAGCCCTTCCCCAACACCCATCCGTGGGCAATGGACTCTTAGTGTAAAAATACACCCTCCCTCCAGGTCTTTACACTTCCAAAAAGCACTGAAGGCTCAGAACAGTCAGCGAAGGCATTTGTAATAAAAACATCAACCACTTAGTACAAAGTCCTGCAGTGTGTTTTAATTAGCATGTTATTTATAGAGTCCCCAAGCCACTAGTCACCCCCCTCAAATAAAAAAAGCCCCCCCCCCCTTTTGTCACTTAGGGCAGTGGGTGGATGCTCAGCTGGGAAACTATGTCCCCATGTTAATTATTGTTATAGGTGCCCCACCAAGGGGCACTTTTTTAGAGTTGTGGGGGGTATTTTATTACAGTGAGTAGCCACTCTTATATCCTTAGGTAACCATAATAACATTTTAAAAAGTCCTTTATTTCACAATCCTTGAGGGAGTTAAGGAATTAGATGTGGTCTGGCCTTCAAACCTGAATTTCTACCATCACTGGACCTTCTTTTCTTCTTCCTAGGATGGTAATCATAAATAAGTATTGATCATGGGATGCGATGACTCCTAATTTTATAGGGATACATGATAAAGTAGATTCACTGCCCCAATCAAACGCACAGCTTAAAATGTCTTTTATAGTTCTTCCAGATCGTGGAGTGGTTTTCAACACCGGAACTGACAGATGGCTAATTCTTAGAACTAATCTTTTTTATCTCTGGGGATTATTAATAACAGTCATATATCTTCCAATAGTCATATATATTATCCATCTGTTTCCCATTAAAACGTTTCATTGAATCTTGGCTCAGAATAAAAGCTTAGATTTGGTACAAAATAACACTTTGCGGACCCTGGAACAAGAGTGGGCAAATCACAATTGAAAAACATGCATTTTGTAGATTTGTTGGTTTATTTTTAATAAAGAAGCTGTTCCCATTGTTGTCTATAATTAATTAATATAAATTAATTCTAAAAGTTGGGGTTGATAATTTTCCATTGGGTAGGGGGATCTCACAGCAGTTCTCAGGATTAACATCCTATTTATATTATACTCCTTGTGGTTTAACAAACGAAAGCTAATCAGTCAAGCTGTTGATGTGGACATTATATTTAATACAATTTAGCAGGTTGACTTCAACAGCCCTTCCTCAAGCTTACTAATAAATAATTTGTATTACTAATCCATTATTTTAAAATAAGATATTAATATCAAGTTACCTTTAACACACAATGGTATATTTAATCGCATTGAGCAACGCAATCTAACAAGGTGGTTATATAGATCACTAATCCCCAGGTACCGCTGACGTTCTCAGACTTTCACCAGCGCCCAAGGAAAAGCCTCTAAGAGAGGTGGTAGCCGGGCCAGGGGGTGAGGTAGACAGGTCAAGGAGAAAGGCACCAAGAAAGGAACTTTGGGGATAATCCATTTGAAAGCGGTTGAACCCCATAAGGTAAAATGGCGGCTAAGACCTCTGGAACCCATAATGATTTCATTGAGATGAAGTTGTTATGGGGCTCGGAGTGTTCCTTTAACCGCGGAATGACGTAAGGCTGTGTTGACGCATTTGGAAATAGAATCTTCAACCCAGAGGTGCTGGCCAGTTCTACATTTGGTGCATTAGTCAAATAGGAGATATCATGTTGTCACTGATGCTGTTTGCTATTTTCCTTTTCTGGATATTTTCCCAGATAAAGGTTTGAGCTGTGATATTTTACTGTGCATCACACACACTCAGCCTGCTAATCCTATCAACCTCTCCTAAATATTTGGAAATGCTGCGGGAGGACAGAACACACACTTCCAAAAAGCACTGAAGGCTCAGAACAGTCAGCGAAGGCATTTGTAATAAAAACATCAACCACTTAGTACAAAGTCCTGCAGTGTGTTTTAATTAGCATGTTATTTATAGAGGTCTACTGAGGGCAATTAATAAAATGTTGCCTGCTGTAACCCTTCATGTGCCTGCGTTTATCCATGGAAATCAGAAGGACTATAAAGACAGTGATATGGTAATCAACATTGAACTAAATACAGAATGGGTCAGCCAAGTGTGTCCCATCACTGTTGATGCAGTGAAAACATTGGGTTGTCATTGTAATGTTAGCTTGTTCTACCTTGCCACTGCAGCTGTCTCTGGATCACAATCCCATAAAAGAAGTCACTGCTAACACACCGCTTCAGGAAAGCTTACCATCTTCCTGGGTGGCGTTTCTCTAATTTCACTGCCCTCATCGCTTCCCTGCCTCCATAGCCCAGCTTACTCTCTCTCCTGCCACCTCTCAGTTCTTCTACACCACTTTCACTAGCTTATTTCCAGACAGGCACATTATCCATCAATCTCTACCCCCTCGGACATGCTGTTATTTCTCTTGTGTCTTTGCTCATTCCTTATAGATTGTAAGCTCACTTGAGCAGTGCCTTCTTCACCTCCTGTCTCTGTTATATTCCGTATGTAAGTTACTTGTTGTCAAATATGTCTGATATATTTGTAAAGCGCTGCGGAATATGTTGGCACCATATAAATGATGATAACAATATTAACAATAACTGCTAGCCTTAGGCAATGAAATTAAAGAACAGCTGGAGAAAGGTGCTCGGCCAACCCTGAAAGAATGACTATGCGGTACTGCTGATGTCTGTTTGGTTCTGTAGACCACGTTGTTTATATCTATGTCAGATCAACCTGACATGGGCAGTATACACACACACGCCCTGTAGAAATGGCAAAACAGAAAATTCAGCCAAAAATCAGCTAAGGACACATTGTACTAATATAGATGTTTGCTGGTCGCTCTGCAATGGCTCAAACTGAAAACAAATTATTCCCAAAGTTGATGTAATCGTGTTTGATTTAGCTCCTGTAACAAACTGGCAGTGTGATTAGCCTCAGGTTCCTTCTAGAAAACTGGTAAAGTCTCATTGAGAATTCTGATCACTGAGGAATTCATCATCTGAAGAAAGGGCTTATTCATAACCCGTTGGCCAGTGGCTCGATAACCGCTCTTCGAGGCCAACAAATAGTTCACGTGTTATCGATATACTAACTAAAAGAGAATTAGGTCCTCCTTAGATGCTGGACATGTGAGTATCTTCAAGACTGGTTTAAAAAGTATCGCCCTTGATAACAAAAATTTAAGTTTTTTTTTTTTTTTTAAAGATGAGAATGCAGGGGGTGGAGTACCCAGTGTGATTGACAGCACTTTTCCAAAACTCTGGCCATCCACTAGCACTCAGTCTGCTTGAAACTTCAATACCCATGATCCTTATCTCTCCAGACTACTCCATTAATGACGTAAAGGACGACACACATCATGGTTTTAGAGAATATAACTGGTGTTCGGTATTAATAATATTTTTTTTCAGTTAAGTAGTTTGTTTCTAAGTTACAGCAAATTCAAAATCCATTAAACCTTTCAGTACTATAGGAGTATGCCACGCAAAATACTAGCTAACGGTTAATATAACTGTAACAAACAAGTAAAACAGATTTAAAATCTCCATCACCAAAAAAATTATCAAATAATAACCCTTTATTTAGTAACGATGTATGTGGTACGAAAATCCAGACAATGGAATAGCTCTATATCTTTTTAATCCAATATAGGATTAGGGGACGGTTTACAGAGAAAGATTGATTATCACTAGACATCAGAATGTAATAGGAGTTTAGATGACTTGAAGAACTCATTCCATCGCAGAAAAAGGATAATAAACAAGTCTAAATCCCAAACACAATATCCACTTAATCCTCAGTCTGTGTTTATGTGAAATATATGGAGTTTGTCTGAGGTTTCAATCCAGCTTTTCTCCAAGGAGATGGCTGATTGTCCTGAAGTCTCCTCTGCTGTTGATTCAGTATCCCAACTGAATGTTCCATCTATTTAACTTTCTACTACCCCCCTTCTTTCACATTTAACACTTGTCCTTCCACCACCACCCCCATTTATTTCCTTATTTTTCTTACTATATTTTTCCTGCTGTAGTGTCCTCCCTGATCACCCCTGGATTTTGAGAATTCAGCTCTTGGTTGATTTCCCTCCCAGTCTCTCCTCCCTTCTTAAATCTCTCTCTAAACGCCCTTCCTTCCAGCTCTCTCTAGTCTGTCCTGATCCTTCCAACTGACCAGCTTGTCTCCCACACCCCCAAACTGTTCCCCACTTCCACACCCTCTCTGCCTCCCCTCTCAAAGACATCTATCTTGTGTCATACTCAGTCCTAATTCTGCACTTGACCAGGATGCAGCCAGTCAACCAGGTGAGGAGGGGATGGACTTTATAAGAGAGGGTCTATGGGGGGGTGAGAGGGGGGGCAATATGTATAGCCCTCATTCATTGCTCTTGGCTGCAGACAGTTCTGGGACTAAAAGGGTTAATAGAGCAGTCTGAGGCTAACAGCAGTGTGCTTTGTATATGATGGTCTTAGACACTGGAAAATTAAACAGCCTTAAATCTCCCAGGGACTGAAGCCAGCCCAGTAATATTTGAGATCAGAATGCACTATTTTGTAAGTTTATTGCTATCCTGGGGGGAATGAAAGAGTTAGTCACTTAACCCCCATACAGTTCTTCCAGCTTCTTCAAAATTTCTTCACATTGATTTTTTGTTTTTTTTTGTAAATATGCTCTCTTTTTGGTAACATGTCTACTGTCAGACTGGGTATGTTTTTAAAGTAGTTCTGAGCTTAACGTGATATTTTGTAACTCTTGCTTTAACCCTATACAGGTCCTTCTCACCCCCTCTAAAATAGGGTCTTTGAGCCAAACACTCAAAAAATACTACCATTACATAAATGCTGCTTGTGATTAGTTGGTGTAAAAATAACGAGGCTGTACTGTAGTGTGTGCACATTTACCTAGTAAAACATCTGGGATTGGAATATTGGGCAGTGCTGATTTATGCTTTTAAACTTGTTGGGCAGACATAATTTGGGAATTGTGGGTGAAGTGTCAAGTGAATTGTACAACTGTTGTTAAAGTTACAAAACTCTACTTCTCGGATATTCTTCAAGGCTCAGCTATTTACCCCCTAAAATTGTCAGTTCCCTTGTCAGTTATTTGTAGTTACTGATTTAGAATAAAACTGATACTGTCTCCCTCTGTATTTTGAGCCCCCAAATATGAAGTGTATACTGTACTGTATTTCTTATGAGTAGCCATTAAAGTTCTGTACCTATATTAGCAATGTGTGCCCCAATGTGTCTAACTCAGAAATTAAAGGATTACTCAAACCCTTTTTACCTAAACTATTTATTTAATGTATTGGGCATTGTTCACTAGGTCACCCCTGTTATAGGATAATTAATAATAATAATAATAATAAGCTTTAAACCTACCAGGAATCCAGCATCGGGAAAAGTCCCCACACCCACCCCTTCCTCCCCACTTTCCACACCCTTTCTGACATCACTCCTTCCCTCTCCGTGGTCCAATCAAATGCTTTTTATAGAGCATTCATAGCATGTGCGCACTTTGAGCAGGGTCGGGGATTAAGGGTGGGAATGCTACAAGCATCAAAAAAACCTCTCAGATTCAACAAAATGGAGGGGGCGCAGAAGGAAGGAGGGAAGTTAGGGAACATTGAAGCTGTCACTTGCTGGCACTTTCCCAGCGCTGCCTGTAAGGGTAGAAGCTGGCCATGTCTGTTGCCAGCGAGCTGTGTGTGCGTCAATGTTGCACAGATTTAACATTAAGCAGTCTGCAACAGTTCCGGCGTGCCGAAGTCACGTGTGCTGGATTTACAACTAGCCCCCAGCACAAAAGTGCAAATATCTCTGCATGTGCAATGTTTCAAGCAGAAATGCTGCACATACATATTGCTACCACCAGTTCCTGGTTCTATATTCTGTATCAACGCAAGTCCCTGTAGATTATTGATTTTATTTACCTTTAACCCCTTAAGGACCAAACTTCTGGAATAAAAGGGAATCATGACATGTCACACATGTCATGTGTCCTTGAGGGGTTAAACACCCATGACTTGGTTATTTTATAAAACTCAATTAATTAACATATTGTTCTCAATCCTGACAACACCACATCATTTTTATTTGTATATTTATTGCATATTCAGTGGTCATGTTTATTAAAGGTGTCGGGCGCCTGTTTTAACCAACAACAAGCTTTCTATATTTGAAAGACATGCAATTCTCTTGAAAAGCTCCTTATGTCCTGCAAACAGCCGATCGTGCATCTGTGTACTCTACTTCACCTATTATTCCCATCCACCTCAAAAACATTGACCTGAACATCTTCCAGTCTTTATTTGGAGCTCTTGGACATCAACATTTGACTAGTATACAAACATTCTCTTTGTCTTTTATGACCTGGTTGTGAAGGAACCAAAATATCTTTGGAAAAAACGCCAAACGACAGAAGCCAAATTTATATTCACTAAATATATATATGTATCTATTTTCTGCGTATTCATAATTTGTTTGACATTAATTCCAAGAGCCTGAGGATGGACTACAACTCAGAGAATTATGGTTGCACTGGCAACTTCCCATGTAGAGCCATAAATGAACCAATAAATCACTGGTACATCCATTGGTGGTGCTGCATTATATATTTGTAGCTTGAGTATCAGAATAGCCAAGGGATTAGTGGATATTATTATTATATTATCATTAACCTTTCCATAGAGATGTTTAGCTTCTTGGTTCAATGTATAATTTTACTCTTGGTCTGTATCCATTGATAGGTCTGGATGAGTCGGACAGCTCTAGTAGTGCTACTGGGACTGCTGATTGCCATCTCGGATTGCTCCAAACTCATCAAGCGTCCGCCAGCAAAAATCAAGAGCTGTGCAGATCGGCCTGAGGAGCTCCTAGAGCAGCTGTATGGCCGTCTGGCTGCTGGCATGCTCAGTGCCTACCATCACACACTGCAACTACAACCACTGGACAAAGAAAATATAAGCTGCCCTGCAGGGAGGGCCACAGTGGATGGGAAGCACCATCTGCCAGTCAATATAAATAGCATCTCCCCCTGGGCCTATAGGTGAATGCACTAACTTCTCCTCCTGCATTAACTGTTCTACTCAACACAGTAGGACCTTCTCTTACAAACTTGGTTACGGTTCTTGTTTCGATGGCCTCATATTGTCCAGGATGGAATTTACCATCGAGATAAATGGATGTATAATTATTTGTGCCAACATGTGAAAAAAGAACTTTAGCCATTAGTGAAAAACATTTTGGTTTGATTTAATATATCCCCCATTTCAGCTCACACTGCATTTCTTAGTAGTGGTGCTGCCATAAACAAACAGCACACACAAAAACAAAACAGTTTTACATTTTACAAGGCTGCTTAAAATCACCTATATTAGCAAACAAATATGGGAATTCAGTTACACTGTATGGCCATATCCTACACCCCCTTTAGCCTGACCCCCAAAAGTCCCTCTTCTTCATCTACCCAAACACACACATTCATTTACTCTTCAATTGACTGAGCCATATTTGATGTAAACACCTGCTAATTCCCTACTTCTCCCCGATTGCATATACACAACTTCCTTCCCAAGTCTAGCTTGCATCAATGTGTCATAAAACTCAATCTTGCAAAGTGTGCAAGTGTCGACATAGGAACAGAAAATCTGGGGGGCAAGGGGACAATCTTTCGTAATAATCACAGACCCACATATCTTAAGAACTACATTACAGATTTTCAGAAGGAGTTTTGACCACCTACCCCCACTCAGTTCCTACACCCATGCATGCAAGGACTCATGGGAAGTGCTCAAAATGGCAAAGGTCTGATCTGCTTCAGTTTTATTTTATTTTACTGATATGTCATATTTCATCCAAATTAGACACCAAAAAATATATAAAAATGATGTGTGTGGATGTTAGAGAAGCATGTTTTATGAAGAAATATTGCCATCAAAGATGATATGAGTGGTTAAAGAATCTGTTCAGAACCTTGAAATTGGACACACATTTCCACACCAGAAGCATGCAGTAGCCCAGTGTGGTGTCTATGGGTGGCGTGTGTGGTGTGAGTTTTGCACAGGGGCATACATGGGTCGTGTATGAGTGTTGTACAGGATGTATATGCATTCCTTATTGTTTCCCTCTCTGTTTGCCCTACACCTTTTCTCTTTGATCCCCTATCCCTTCTATGGAGTGCAACCCCCCTCCCCTATCTCTCCTCCATGTAACTCCCTTTTTCCCATAAAGGCATGGCTGGAATGACTAGGATGTGTTACTGCTACTATATCAAGCTGCTCTTACCATTCAGTGCCATCTGGGAGCAGAAGCTCTAGGCCTCCTTGGCATCTTCACACAGTTTCTAGCTCTCCCCATTCGTCTTAGTGCATCACCAGATCAAACATGTTCTTGTGTGCCAAGATCGATGAGAGTCACACTCTTGTGTTGTAGGTGGGGACACAGACACCTTGTATCTACAAATGCTGTTTCTTGGCTGATTGATTGTTTTTTTCCTCCCCATTTGTTTTGTACTTGTAGGATCACATATAATCAATCAAGATACCCCAAATACATACCAGAAGCATACTGCTTGTGCAAGGGCTGCCTGATAGGACCATATGGAGAGGAGAACACAAGCTTCCGCAGCACGCCAGTATACATGCCCACAGTCATTCTACGCCGTACATCCATGTGTGCTGGTGGACGCTCAGTATACGTAGAGGACTATATCACCATCCCAGTGGGTTGCACCTGTGTGCCGGAACAGAAGAATCCAGAGCATGACAGTATCAATTCCAGTTTAGAAAAAGAAAAGTTTAAGCTACCTATAAATAAAGGTGAAAAGCCATTGCCCAACTAAACAGAGGCTTTCACTGAAAACCAACCCTACAACACGGGGAATTTCAGAAGTTGCTGGATGGATCCATGATGGCTCCTAGGCGGAGATGGCAATTATGGCTATAATAAGGGGCTAAAAGTGTGTTCAGGTGATAAGAATCTTTCTGGAAAAGTATACCTAAAGCACGTCAGTGAGAGGGATGATGTATGCCCTTATGTTCATGTAGCAGAGCACTCACACTTTATGTTATTCTATGTACTATGCAGAGATGTTTATATGTTTAACTTATACGACAGTAAAACAAAAAGGCTATTAGACCAAGTGGTCACCATTATTAATGGGAACTATAATCTACTCTATGTGTCTAAAGAACTCACTCTGCTATATATCAAATACATACCCAGGACCAAGACAGGTGGTATTCAGGGATTCAAGTAAGTTGGGATACATATTGTACGGCTCTACCCACTTGCAGACTGACTTTTCCACAAGACAATGACCCCTATTTTAAAAATGACACCAACCTTTTCTGGCAGGTCCACCTCCTTCCTGCCCTCTCAGTGCAAGATATCCATATAGATGTCAATAGCTAATTAGATGAGTGGTAAAAGTTTATTTGGCTGAGAAATATCTAACAAGGTATGATACTAGTAGCATCTGGCAACACTAACCATTTTGGCCAAGTCATTAGTTACCAACTTCAATGGCCGTTATTAACTAACGACCACGGCTCAATTAATTTGTCAGTAGAATATGGGGGTTTATCTGTTACAAAGAACAAACATACCTCATAGAAATGTTGGGAGATACAGTAACAGTTATGGGTGTAGAAATAATAAGGTGAGAAAATGATTACACTACAATTATTAGACCTGCTTTTCCACAAAGCGATTTATTATTAAAGTACAGCTTAAGATTCTAGGTAGAAACCCTCAATCCATCAGACCCGTAAATAGGAGATATTGCGTAGTACGTTTACAAATAAAACATTTGTGGCTGGTATTTAGCAATAACTATCTATAAATAATATAATTCCACAGACCAAACACTGCATTCAATGTTGTTTGAAAGCAGCAGCTTATTAGAACATTGCCAAAACAGCTGATATATGTAAACGGTAATTTATTAGTTAAAAGAGTAGAAATCTAACTGTTAAAGGGACACTATAGGCACCCAGGCCACTCCAGCTCATTGAAGTGGTCTGGGTGCAATGTCCCATGTCCCTTAACCCTACAGTGGTAATTATTGCAGTTTCTGACAAACTGCAATAATTACCTATGAGGGTTAACTCCTCCTCTAGTGGCTGTTAAACAGTGACTAGAGGGATTTCCTGAATTAAAACGGACCTTTGCATATGGACCTCCAGAGTCAGGTTTTTCCCCAAAGGAAAGCATTGATTAATACTTTCCTATAGGGAAATCCTAATGCGAGCGCGGCCATTGCCGCACATGCGCATTAGGGCTCCCCCTGCCGACATCAGCCCTAATGCGAGCGCGGCCATTGCCGCACATGCGCATTAGGGCTCCCCCTGCCGACATCAGCCAGCGTGAGTGTGGGTGGAGCCTGATCGAGCGCCGGATTCAGGTAAGTGACTGATAAGATTCAGGCGTTGTCTATGGGGGTCTTGTGGTATTCTCCATAGAATTCGAGCATGTGCGAGAGCACAGCACTGAACTAGGCTCCTGAGAGCTAAAGCGCCAGGTCTCAAACAGGACTGCCGTCGTGAAGATAGGGTGGCCACAAGGGACATCCAGAAGTGAGTAAAACTCACCTTCTCAGCAGTCCTTGGCTACCAGACTCTCAAAGGGTCTGTCTGTTTTGGTGGGCTTTGCGAAATATGTAAATACCCCTGAAATTGCCAGATCCACATTAAGTTTTTAAATTATTTACTACATATTTACACAGTTATTTGTGCATTGGGTGGATCACTTTCCTTGCAAATATATATTCCAAAAAATTAACTTCCATTATATTTTCCGGACTTCCTCTGGCTCTGAGGTACAATCCTAGCACCTTAGCCACTACAGCTAAATTTCAGTCACAGAGCATGGACTGACTGGGTATCTGCTCCAATCCCCTTTTTTTTTTTTTTTTCTATAAAACTAGTTTGTTTCAAAAATATCTTGAAAATATGAAAAAAATATATAATTTTTTTTTTTTTAAAGCAAAACAACCCAAACACAAAAATGGACAAATGATGTTTGCTGTGTGCCTTAAATTCTCCTAATATGGAAATTGTTCTTAATAAAATAAAAAAAATATAGATATCCATTTGTGTCTGGTTTTTCTTAAAAAACTGAATAAATGTAAAATTACAATATTGCAATTTGTGTTTCCTTCATATACACGTTTAATTTGCTACCCTGGTGTGCTCCGTTTATTGTTAATGTCAGGCAATCATTGCATATTCTAGATAAATTGCTGAAACACAGTGAGCAATTCTGAAAATGTACCATGCATTTAAAAAGCACACTAAATAAAGTCAATACATAAACACACACACACACACACACAATGCTGTTGCCCAGCTCCAGGAGTATATTAACAGAGAATGAGGGCGGAAATTCTAAGTTAAACATACTGTGCAGTTTGAAAGTGTGTATGGAGGCTGTGGTGTCACAGGCAGGGAGGTGTCCCTAGGGCTGCATTAACAAAGTGATTTAACTCCTAAATGGCAGATTACCGAACAGGGAGCAGTTGCATGATCTGTACACTTAACCCCTTAAGGACCAAACTTCTGGAATAAAAGGGAATCATGACATGTCACACATGTCATGTGTCCTTAAGGGGTTAAACTACTTCATTACGCTGAAAGTTGTTTTAATGCTTAGAGTGTCTCTTGTTTTGTTCTAAAGAAACCTGCACTCAGGTGAATGAGGTGATATTATATTAGGATAAAAAGAGTTAACAGATGCGGTTTTTCATGGAGAGTCAAGTCTCATTGACTGTCCATGTGAGTGAGTGTGCAATTATATTTATTGTCCAATACAGTTATTTAAAATGTATCTGTAACGGACCGTTTTTCACACAAGAGGTTAAAAACCGTTTAGGCGATATTCCCCTTTCTCAGATGTACAGACAGCTACTGCAAACCCACGAATTCACCAACTCCCGAACTGCAACCAAGGGAATACTCGAAACTCCCGAACTGCATATCAGGTAGTGTTCCAAACTCCCGAACTAGAGACACACGAATAGCTGTTAGCAGACGAACAGGAAAAGCCCCCAAGCGGCTTACACTCCTGGCAATCAGTCTCTAACAGCATACAGTAAATCCCCCCAAAGACGAGACGACACTTCGGTTTGAGGGTCAAGCAGAATCTGGTTTACTGGGGCTAACTGCCCGGCTTTTATGCAGGTCTCCCACCTGGTGGACACTCCCCTAGGGGACCAAATGGGAAACTGGGAAACATATTGGCTCTTAGCCAATCACAGACATACACCTTTAACACTCCCACAATTACATCACAATCCCTCCTCTCTGTCCTGCACATAATTGGAAGTAATCCACTAATCTCCCAGGACACAGGCAAAACTCCATTAACCACATGGCAGTAACAATACAGTAAAAGACATAAAATTACATACAGTCACATTTTATTACCTAAAACATATACATTCTACATATCCCCAGATAGCTTAGATCTGAGCGCACATTACTACCGAATGGCGCTCAGATCACATACATACAGTTCAATCGCCATGGAGCCAAAGTCTTTCCCATAGTCTTTCGTTACACGAATAGGCTCATTGGCTTAGCTATCTGGGGGATGCTGTTCATCCGGCGAAACTACCGAATGAACAGTCATTCGGTTCTGCTTACCGAATGGAAAGGTAAGGAGGCTGGCGGCTCAGCGGTGTTCGCGCCATTAAGTGTACGTTTTCAGTTCCATAGTTTGGGCGCTGAACACCGCTGGCCGTTCGGGAGGTAAAATGGCCGCTGCCACGTGTTCGGCAGACAAACAAAGGCCACCCAGCGTTCATAAATTAAGCTGCGGTTAACCGCAGCTTCTGGGCGGTCAATTGACGGCACACTCCAGCTCCCAGGTGGTCCATCGTTCGGTAGTTTGTTCGGTAGATGGAATCTACCGAACACCCTGGCTGAAAGGCACGAATAAACCTTTCAGCAGGGAGAATAACAGCTCTGAACTGCAGGGCCATAATCTAAAGGGAGCAGGCGAGCAACCAGGCTTTTCCAGTGCACAGTGGCGAGGTTGGTTCCGCCACAGTATCACTGATTCTCTGCAATATGTGAGACCCAATGGCTCAGGCGGCCTTTTAATGTTCAATGTAGACGATACATCTGCCATCACTAATGCACTTATTTTGCCGTCTCAAAGTCAGTAAACTTCCCCTACAATACGCTTGTTTTTTTGAATGTCTTCTTACAGAGCATTTTACATTTTTGTTAATGTGAGACGGGTGATGCAATGCCGTTTGGCATACGAAAATGGTAATTCAACACAGTAAGAAGATTAGTAAAACGTGGATCTCTTTGTTGAATATAATGGTATTGGAAATAAGTGCCAACGGGATTTATTAAAAAATGATTGTGAATTTACAGTCCATCATTTGCATACATTATAGAGATAATTCATCATTAGGATCCATAGACACTGCACAGTCATCACTACTTCTCAAACAAGGAAGAGAAGGGAATGGGCCTAAAGATCAAGATGCTTTCATGAGAACTATGCAAAACAAAAAACAAAAAAAGTTATTTTGTACACGAAGCTTTATCAGATAAATTGTTGAAACGTTTTGTCCTAGAATGTCTCTTCAGTCAACATCTTAGAACTCTTTCAAATAATTTGATCCTGCACCAATAATAATTAAAATAATAATAGTTTACTTAAGGTTCAAAATATTTGCTGTTACGTTGGCCAATGGTCCGAGGACAATCACTGAGGTCCATCAACTCTTTAAGTCATACGGCATAAGTAGGTACTATAGAGAACAGGCATCACAGTCAAGCCCTAACAGGCAGAATTACTATTTAAAGACTGAAAGACTCCCACAAGTTCTGACAGTTCTAATCTCTCCATTAGGTATAGCCAAATTCACCCTCTGTGATATGGAATCTCTATCTCTCCGATATTAAACCTGGATATCAAGTCCTAGTGGGTAATTAGAATAACATCTGAACTCGTTCGCCAGGCTGCTTGTATGCTTTGGGACAAACTTGCATATCTTCAGCCCAAGAATGGTAGCCGCTAAATCTTCCATCACCGCACCTAGATAAAAATAAAACACCGATTATATAAAATAATATACTGGCAACTGACCAGAAAGATGTATCACAATGAATACCTCATTTAAAAAACAAACCCACAAACATTAAAGTGTGATTCCAATACCGAGAGTTGTCATTTATGGATATATAGATCACTGGATAGGAGGACATTTGGCTGCTGAATTGATCTCGGTGGCTCGTTCCTGCAAATGGCGTGCTTCTTAACCCTAGGGAAATCTGTTTGCTCTCTCCTTTGCCATTATATACCAACAGTTTGCAAACAATGTTACTGCAGCATTTCTATCTAAAGATGCACGTTAAGTCAATACATATCTTGCATTTTCTTTATGGAACTCTCAATACAACTTTAAACTTATAAAGAAAGTGCAGATCACCAGCATGTGTTTCCTCCCCCCCCATGCTAAATGACTAAAATAACACAAATGTTTTGTTTTGTTTTTTTATACAATGTGCTGGCCAAACTTCTAGCAAATGTACAGATGCGAATGTATTCCAGCATATAGGGTCTTTACCGGTAAACTTTGCCAATATGATAGTGGCAACATTATCTGTTGTAGGGACAGCAAAAAGGTAGAGCTAAAGTCACAGGACTGGCACAGCATGATAGGAGTTTTAGTAAAGCAATAGCTGGAAATTCGTTTACTATGTGTAGAGGATACATGATAATCTTAAAGTTCTGCAATGCAGTAATGAGGTCAGAATACCTGTGCATAGCAGAACCTTGCTTCTGGCGAGGAACTTGATGGTTTTGGCGGTTTTACGGAGACACTCTTCAGACAGGTATGGGGGATCTGCGATCACCAGATCAAAGCTATGCTGCTCCAGGCTCTCTGGCAAGTTTAAAGGGTCATTATAATCATAGAAGACGTAATCGTCCCCATACACAGAAAACCTCCGGTCATACTCCAACAAGCACACAGAAATGTTCTCTGCAGACAGTCCTTTCAGCTTCTGGTAAATGCTGGGAGTGCTGACACATGCTATCCTGGAACAGAAAACAAGAAGCTAACACTTTATCTTTGGATCAAAAATGACAAACTCGCCTGGAATCCAGATGAGTGGGTACAATTTATATTGTACTGAGTATACCCATAATCCCGCAGACACCATTAAACATCAACCCTCACCCCTCTCAGTTAACTGGGATTGCACAAAATACACAATACTTGCAACATTGGTTAATTCAGAAACACTGAAGAATGCTATAAAATGAAAAAAGAAATAAAATTAAATAAATAAAAAAACAGGGGGGCGGGGCCGGACCGCCAAGCTGGATGGTCGCAAGCAACCTCAGCTCCTGCACTTTCCCACTCTATAAGCCCTTAAAGCATGATTTACCCTGGGATAGCAGACCGACAGGACTGATCCTCAGTGTGCTGAGACCACTGGACCCAGGGAGAGGCTGACTCCCAGAGTCGCAGTCCCCTGGGGGAGAAACTGCCACTCCAGATGAGGCCTTCTTCGGCGGTGAGCGGGGCGGACAGCCGCTGCTCCGCTATCCTGCCTGACAGTGCCCGGCCGGAGGACCGGACCGGCGAGGACCTGGCCCTGTTCCCCCCCCTCTGGGCCGGCGGGGGTGATCCCGGTCTCCACCCTGTGACACCGAAAGCAGCAAGGCAGCTTGGGCCCAGCAGCATCAGCAGCCTGATCCAGGGCACCCTACCTAAGATGGCGGACGCCGCGTGCGTCAATATCAGCAAGAGAAAATGCGGTCCCGAGACGCCCACAATACACGGCAAAGCAACCGGGCGCATGCAAACCAACACGCCACAACGATCACCGGTAAACACCCGTCAAAGCATCCCAGCACAACACTCACCTCAAGGTGGTAATAAGCGGAAAAGACGGGGACGCAATAAGCCAGCTCCTGCACCGCGGAAGAACCCACTGCAAAACAAGGCACAGAAGCGGGAACCTCTGACACATCAGGGAACCGGTCTCACATACCTAATGCTGCACCCTGCACCAAGATGGCGACACACTGCGCCACGACCAGCAATGAAGATGCCGCACTACATGCGGACAGCCGATCAGCGACGGAGCACCTCTCAGCCCACAAACCGCTCCAGCACATCGGAGAAGCGTGAGCCCACCCGACACCACTACTTTGCCGCCTCCTTTCTGGTTGTCTCCCCTGCAGCGAAGGCTTCTACAACCCAGCCTCGAAATGGAGTGGGCTGACAGCCGGCACAGAACGCGCAGAGGCGGGATGCCACGGGCTACCACCAAAACCCTGCCTGCCCTGATAAAATAATGGAGACAACCACCAGGACTTGGACACTGCCGATTCCTGACTCACCAGAATAACTGCATATACAGTTGGTTTTAGCTGGATATTTCCCTAGCCTGTCAGAGTGGCCTAATGCATAAATGTTTTGCTTTTACTTATTCAACATGATGCGTTTGCTTTGCCCGCCAGAATAGCCTAAGATATAAATGGTTTTTTTTATATTTTTTTTTGGCATGATCTGTCTCCCTGGCTGGCCAGAGTAGCCTAATTTATAATTGCTCTCAAAATAATATGTTTGCCTAACATGCCGGAGTAACCCAATATACATATGCTCCTAGCTTGGTCAGACTGCCTAGCCTGTCAGAGAAAAATAGACTAGAACTCACATAAGCCTGTTTAAAACGTGTAAACCATACGTCACCCCTCATTACAGACACTAAGCAACAGTTGGGATCTCTATGTTAACCCTCCAAAACACGAGTACAGGTACTACACCTTCAGCACGCACTCAGGCATTTCATACGCTGACACACCACACCATGGGCCCACTCGTACCACCTCCACCGCTCCGCTTTCTACGGCACAGGGTTGGGAAAGCATCTTAGACACAGCAACTACTGTCATCTCAATGCAACATACACTAACAAAAGCTTAATGTTTTCGCATGTACCTGTTATATAAAAAATGTGCATTGTCTACTTTAACCCCACTTGTGAAATATGTCACAAAGCTCGAGGAATGCCGTGGGGGTACCTCAAGCCTGTTTGTACCTAATAACTGCACTACAAAAATAAAGAATTATAAAAAAAAAAAACACATGATCAAAACAACAGTTAAATATTTTTTTTTATAAGTATCATCAAGTTTGTATGTGTGTATTGCACACAATGTTTTGGATTGGTTTATGAATAATTAAATTAACATTGTAGCATTAGGAATACAAACATAGACTCCTAACAGTACAGTGTTCAGTTACCCCCCCTCACCACCAATTAAAACATAGTGAAAAAAGGATTTTACTTCCCCATTTCCAGCACCGAGACTCACTCAGTGTTGCCACCGACTCCTCCTCCTGTGACATTATCCTGGCTTCTCAACCAATCCAAAGCTTCCCATGGAGAAACATTGATAACAAGATGTGCATGTACAGCATACGTCTGGATCATCCAATCAAATGCTGAACATCACACAATGGAGTCAAACTCTGTTCTCAACATGGAAGTGCCTCCAGTGGTCGTCAGTTAGACAGTCATTAGAGGCAAGTTTAATCATAACATTGCTGTATCTACTAAACCACTGCACATTGAGATGAAGTTGTCTGGGTACCATCAGTGTCCCTTTAATTAACACATTCTCCTGCAAATATAACGGACTTGTTTTTACTGTGAAGAAGGTTTTTGGAGCAATAATTCACTACATTTTATACGCAGACAGTGAAAAACACAGATGTTACATTAAAAACTGTACAATCATTTCAACTCCATACAATGATTCCATACCTGCCATTCTCCCCACAGGACTGTATCAGCTCCTTTGCCAGGTTCAACGCTGTTTCATCGCTATACCAAAACTGACTTAATTGCTAAAGAGAGAAAAAAAAAAAATTGGTTGCATAATTTAAATTTGTTGGCCTGTGTTGACACTTTCTTTAAAATATTGTTAGAATCCTATGGTGCAAGTGGACATTATTCACTGACTATTTATCTGAACAGCACAACCTGCTAAAATGGTGTACATTTATTATAGTTGGTTTATACAGAGTATAACCGAATTTTGTAATGAAACCCCACCTTAATCATCAACTATTGATTTGCCAAAGACAAAAAATTTTTTTAAAAAGTCTTCAAGACAAAGAATGTGGTTTTAGTCACATTATGACCAAATGCTAAGCCTGTCATCTACATCAAAGTGCCTCCAACAAATACATCTGTATGTTCATAATATGTGAACACAGTCTACCTTCTATAGTGCCAGCATATACTGCAGTGTTATACAGCAATAATGAAAAATAAATATATTACAAAAAAAGAAATTTATATTTTGTTTTGCATCTTATACTCTTTGTAAGGTGTCTTTAGCCTTGATAGATCAGTAGTTTGTTATGTATGGAGTGTACTTAGTTAATCTTAGCAACAATTGTAACCTATCTTTGTTCATGTGAGTGCTCCTTGTGTGTATACAGAGGTTTATTCAAAGGATGAGTTTAGATATGTTCCTCACCCAGTCCTCTTCTACAGCACCAACAGAAAACTTGTGCTCGGGTTCCAAATGTTCTGTATTTTGCTGCGCTTGTTCTGCGTAAAACTCCTGGAGTGCGGCCAGAGCATGAGAGGAGAGCTGGGGTACATCGTCGTCATCATCAATACTGTCCATGCTTCAGGATGATGGCTAGGGGGAAAAGAGAAAAAATAACTAATCACCTACCACAGTGTATTGTCCATGTCTTTTCTTATATAGAATACCAGAGTTATTGATATAAAACAGATATGGATGAATTTTAACAAATATGCAGAAAGGGAGACAAAATGTTCCTATAGCCAGATGAGATGGTCCATATTTTTTATGACAATCTGTTCTTTAAAGAGAAGCCCTACTCCTAAAGAACAAAACCTGACATATCATGTCACAGCAAGGGTGCATAATTGTATGGGTTAATTTGATTGTATGAAAGGTGAGATGACAGAAGGGGTAATGTAAATTGCATAGGAATGTGAAAAAGGTTTTACCATATGGATGGAACCTGTGAATTAATCAAAGGCTCTGCAAGGTGTGAGATTCTACACTTGAAAAGCCTGAATGTCTGGCTTCAGCCATATGGCCTATACTTCTAAATTGATGAGTAAAACTCTTTGATATGTTAAATGGCCATAAACCTTGTTCCGGTATCATATCCAAAAGAAAAATACATTAATACTTACCCACAGAATAATAATTAAGCCTCATTTTTGTTATATTTGGAATGTGACAAGCTCCATCTTCTAAACAAGCCCAAACATGTTTGGCATAACTTAACCAAAAGGGGAATTGGATTATGATGTCCGCTATATTGGGTCAGAAGTAAGGTGTACGACATATGTATAGAAAGGGAAAATAATAAATTCGTAGATGCAATTATTTTTTCTGTGGCAGGTACATAAGAGAATATAGAACCAAATGTTTCCATTTGGATTGATGTGGGTCTGGACACAACGGGGTGGTCACTTAGTGCCTCCATAGATACGCCTTAACTCCACCTCTGAGTGAGGCGTGGTAATCCACAGAGTATATCTCTAGTGATACTGAAATGTGCCTTGTACTTGCTTGAGGGACAGAATCTAATTCTAAGTGAGTCTATCTTTCCTACCAGAGAGGCAGAAGTATTTACTTTGAAGAGCTGAGAAAGTGATTAGGACTGTTATTTTATCCCTTTTGTTTTTATCGGTTGTTGGTGTAAATAATTTGTTTATCATCTAATTTTTTTGTATGCACTGTAAATATTCCTTTATTAAGTTCTGCCTTTGTCTGGTTAAGAATCACGTTACCTGAAGAGACTAATTAGTGGTTTGCAATTGCTTAGATATTGTGCTAAGTTATATTTTACTGCTTACCTTCGCGAGGAACACTGCCTGCTAGAAATAGAACCTTGCATGTAATACAACCAGCCAAAAGTAGAACCTTTGCGTGAAACACTTCCTGCTGGAAGTAGAACCTTTGCGTGGAAATACTTCCTGCTGGAAGTAGAACCTTTGCAGTGAAACACTTCCTGCTGGAAGTAGAACCTTTGCGTGGAAACACTTCCTGCTGGAAGTAGAACCTTTGCGTGGAAACACTTCCTGCTGGAAGTAGAACCTTTGCGTGGAAACACTTCCTGCTGGAAGTAGAACCTTCACATGGAACACTGCCTGCTAGAAATAGAACCTTCGCGTGGAACACTGCCTGCTAGAAATAGAACCTTTGCATGGAACACCCTCACCTAAAGTGCTAGAACCTACATCTGGGGGGCCACATTTTAGAAATTTTATCTGGAGTGTTGGAATTAGAATGCTAGAACTCTGGTCTAAAGTGTATGCCAGAACTCTCACCTGGAGTGCTAGAATTAGAACCTGGAACACTGCATGCCAGAACCATAGGCGTGCGCACAGGGTGTGCCGGGTGTGCCTGGGCACACCCTAATCCCTGCGGCACGCCTATGGAGTGAGACCGGCAGGGGAGATCTCAGGATCTCCCCTGCCGGCTCATGCAGAGCCGGCGCTATCCGAGCGCCGGCTCTTCTCTCAGTCTCCCTCCCCACTGCAGCATGGAGGGAGGCAGGAGAGGACCCAGGGAGCTCAACCAGCAGCTCCGCCGGGTTCCCAATCAGATCTCACGAGAGTGAACTCTAGCCCCACAGGGGCTAGAATTTACTCTCCACTGCACCACCAGGGAAAGCAGCAGGAACAAGAATCTCCCCTCCCTACATAAGGTAAGAAGGGAGGGGGTATATAAAGTAATGTACCCCCACCTCCACCCCCACAATCACCCACACACCACACACACATACAGCGCACACACACACACACACACCACACACACATACAGCGCACACACACATACAGCACCACATACAGCACGCACACACACACAGCACCACATACAGCACACACACACACACAGCACCCTCAAACACACAGCACAGAAACAGCACCCTCACACACACAGCACCCTAACAGGACCCTAACGAACACACACACAAACACCATCTCGCACACAAACAGCACCCTCACACACACCACACTAACAGCACCCCCACACACACACACACACACACACCACCCTCAAACCACCCGCACACACACACAACAGTGTATATATATGTGTGTGTGTGTGTGTATATATATATATACACACACACATACATACGCGGCGTGTGTTTGTGCTTTAGGTTGCACACCCTAATGCAATAGGCTGCGCACACCTATGGCCAGAACCTTCACCCAGAGTGCTAGAATTAGAACCTGGAACACTGCATGCCAGAACCCTCACCTGGAGTGCTAGAATTAGAACCTGGAACACTGCATGCCAGAACCCTCACCTGGAGTGCTAGAATTAGAACCTGGAACACTGCATGCCAGAACCCTCACCTGGAGTGCTAGAATTAGAACCTGGAACACTGCATGCCAGAACCCTCACCTTGATTGCTAGAACCTTCACTTTATACACTGCATGCTAGAACACTCTTGTGAAGAACCGCACGCTGTTCCACTATCATGGAGCTCTGCATGTAGAGAGGTAAAAACTACAACTCCCGTCATGCTTTGTGCGACTGAAGCACTTCCCGTTTCCGTTTCTGCTTCCGCTTCTTGCACGTGTTATTTAGTCAGTGGGTCGGGTTGAGCATTTCAGCCAGTGTAGAATAGGAGGTGGACTGGGAAAGTGAATCCGCTGAGCCAGCGATACATAGCGCAATAAGATATGAAACCCGCGCACAAGCCGTGTTGCAGATGGCTGCTATAGTGAATTCATGTGAAATATATCAGTTGCTGCTTATACAGTATCTGGTGATACATATCATAGTGCTACCAGATCAGCATGACTGGGGTAACGGGGATCGTTCACATAACGCGGGTTACATGATAACAATGTGAGGTGGTGACCTGACTCCATCCCTCCAGTTATGACATACAGTTTCTCTCACATGAACACAAACTGTTACTGTGCTCTGCCATTCTGCAATATATCCAGTTATGGGATGTCATAATATATTAAAAGATAAATGGTTTATGTGTATTCTGGGATCCCAATGTTAGCACAGACTTTGTTTCTAATTATTTTGCACACATTACAGAGTATGACAGTAATAAAATAAACAGTGCATATATAACAATGTAATAATATCTGACAATGAGCAAGAAGAGAAACAATATAGAAATAATGAAACACGTTTGCTATTACCCAAACTGCTCCTGCAATGCCCTCTAACCCAGGGCTTCCCAAACTTTGATGGGCCGAGACCCACTTTTGAAAACTGTAATTTTTCGAGACCCACTTGCTTATAAGGCATATTTTAAAAATGAACACCATGGCAACCCGCTCTAGAGGCATACAATTGGCACACTATGGCAATCCGCTCTAGAGGCATACAATTGGCACACTATGGCAATCCGCTCTAGAGGCATACAATTGGCACACCGTGGCAATCCGTTTTAAAAGCATACAATTGGCACACCATGGCTAACAGTCTTAGATGCATAAAGTTGGCACATGGCAGCTTTTGAGGCGTACAATTGGCACAACATGGCAATCAGCTCTAGATGCATTCAATAGGCACACCATGGCAATCAGCTTTAGATGCATAAAATTGGCATATTATGGCAGTTTTAGAGGCAGAAACTTGGCACATCATGGTAATCTGTTTTAGAGGCATATAACTTATGTATGTGTGTTTGAATGTAAGCGTGTTTTTGTATGGAGTATGTGTGTGAATGTTGGTGTTTGAATGCAGGTGTGCATTTGTGTGCAGTATATACACTTCCACACACATACAGAGACACACATGTAAATACACTGACACACAAAGGGGAGAGAAAGGGTTACAGTGTAGGTAGGTGGGCAGGGAGAGAAGGGTTTACAGTGTGGGGAAATAGAAGTGTGAGAACGGGTTACAGTGTGGGGAAATGGCAGTGTGAGGATGGGTTACAGTGTGGGGAGGGGGCAGGAAGAGAATGGGTTACAGTGTGGGGAGGGGGCCGGGAGAGAAGGGGTTACAGTGTGGGGAGGGGGCCGGGAGAGAAGAGGTTACAGTGTGGGGGTGCAGGAAGAGAAGGGGTTACAGTGTGGGGTGGGCAAGTGGAGAAGAGGTTACAGTTTGGGGAGGGATGCAGGGAGAGAAGGGGTTACAGATTGGGGAGGGGAGCAGTGAGAGAAGATGTTACAGTGTGGGTGGGGCAGGAAGAGAAGGGGTTACAGTGTGGGGGGCAGGGAGAGAAGGGGTTACAGTGTGTGGGGGGCAGGGAGAGAATGGGTTACTGTGTGGGGAGGGTGGCAGGGAGAGGACGATTTACATTGTGGGGGGAACAGGGTGTGGGGACTGTATCTTACCTGTATCTTACCTTTATTAAATTCCCTGGTGGTTCAGTGTCCTCCCTGGTGGTCTGGTGGGTTAACGCTCCAATCTGCAGCTCCACTGGTGCAGAGCTGCAGACCATGTGATAGAAGTCTCGCGAGAGCACCCAGAATGGCAACACTCTGGGTGTAACGATACCTTACCTTTACCCTCTGGACCCGCACAGCGCGGCGTTCTCCCCTGCTGCTTCTGGGAGGCGGCACAGTCTGTCTGCCGCTGGCCGCTCGTGGCACACCTCTTCTTATGACGCGGCGCATGCGTGCCGACGTCATCAGAATATTGCAGCAGAAATTCAAATGTGGCCACGCTCCCGAACCTTTTGGGGGCATGGCTTTAAAGTAAAAGACACCTTATTATAAAAGGGCGCCCCTGTCCTTCCTTCAGCGCCCTAGTGTGGTTCTTGTTTGTTCCCTCTAGTGCTCTTGAGATTTTTGTCTGTTTTCTGGTATATTGACCCTTGGATTTGCTTACTGACTACTCTCCTCTCTTGTTCCCCAAATATTGGCTTGGTTTTTTCTCGTGTATTCCGATTTCTGTATTTCCTCGACCTCTGTATATTCCTTTGACTATTCTTTGACGTTGAGCCCGGCCACCCTAAGGTCCAGTATACGTCTCCTTCTGGGTTACTCTCTGCGTGAAGGGGTCAGACACTGGGTTGTGACACTGGGTGCTCACGAGACCTCTCTCACACGGTCTGCAGCTCTTCACCCAGCGGAGCTGCAGACCAGAGGTGCTGGGTAGACTGATTGAGGGGGGCCCGGCAGCATACAGGGCAAGCATCCGGGCCCCCTCCTGGTGTCGGACACGCGGTCACAGACCCAGGGCCCGACTAATCAGTCTGCTTGACAGTCTCTTAGGTTCCCGGTAGCCCTGAAGGCGTGGGTCAGCACGACCCACCAGTGGGTTACGACCCACACTTTGGGAAACCCTGCTATAACCAATCCTCTAATCCAGGGATGCCCAATTACCCCTCCCCCCCACCCCCCCCCCAAAAAAAAAAACCAATCTTGTGCAGTTGTGTAAACCTTTCAATTATCAGAGTCTTATTTTTTTTTGCACATTTTTTTTTTTTACTATATATATATACACTAATTTATACAGATAGTAAACAGATTGTTGGGAGCAGGTGTATTTTTGTGTTTAGAGTTTGTATTTGTATCAGACAGACATATACATACACATACTGACATACATACACACATACAGATACATACATACATACTGAAATATATACACATACATACACACAGACAGACATTCTGAAATACATATACATACATACAGACAGACAGACATACTGACATACATACACATGCAGATACATACTGACAAACATGCACATACAGATATACATGCATACATACTGACATACACACACATGCAGATACATACTGACAAACATGCACATACAGATATATATACATACATACTGACATACACACACACACAGCTAATTTATCTTACCAGCAGCACCGGCGGCAGTTCTGACGCTACACGTGGGGCCCCGGGCCACCGGGCCCGTGACAACAGTCATGGTTGTCACCCCTTGATGGCAGCCCTGTTTTTTGTAATTTTATTGTTTTAATACAGGGATGTGTTTGCATGGGATTTTAGCATTTACGTGCAGAGGTGTATGTGGTTGTAGTGTTGGATATTAAATGTGCATGTACATTTGTGTGTAGTATTGGTTTTTGAGTATTTGTATATAATTTGCAGTTAGAGTTCAGGGGTGTCTTTTTACGTCATGTTTTTGTTTGCAGGAGTGTGTTGTGTTGGTGTTTGGTTACTGTCATGTCTGTACATGTACTGCCACATACATACTTACACATTAACAAACAGAAACACACCGACACATACATAGTCATATACACACAAACAAAGACACACACACTGGTACAGATACATACACCTTGACACACAGATACACACAATGGCACATACAAACACAGATACACACACCTTGACATATAGACATAAACCGGCACAGACATACACACAAACACACACTAGCACATTGACACACACACTGACACACAGATACACACACCTTGACATACAGTGTGTATCTGTGTGTGTGTATGTATCTGTGTTTTAAGATGTGTCTATCTGTTTGCCTGTGTGTATCTGCCAGTGTGTTTGTGTGTGCCAATGTGTATTTGTGTATCAAGTTTTGTATATCTGTGTTTGTATGTGCCGGTGTGTATATATATGTGTGTGTATGTATCTGACACACAGATACACACACTGACACATAGTGGCACACAGATACACACACTGACACATACACACACAGACAGCTACACTGACACACAGATACATACACACACTGGCACACACTGATTCACACACATTGGCAGATAGACACACTGACACATACACACACATATGTTTACATTTGCTGTTCACTTTTTTTCTGCAGGAGGATCTTTAGTGCTGCTGGCTGAGCCTGGTATGCTGGTCAGTCCCCGCTGCTCTCTCTCTACCTTCAGCCGGCGCACTCAGTCTGGGAGGAAGTGCTGTCACTTCCTCCCAGCATCCAATACAACAGGGGTCCGGTCACAGTGTAAGACGGACGCGGTGCCTGACTGGACCCATGTTTAGTGAAACCTCAAGTGAACACCAATTGGGAAACACTGCTCTAATCAATACACAGAGACTAAAGAAGTTTCCACGGTACATAAAGAATAATGCTAAAAACTGTTGTGTTATCAAATTTTACTTACCAGGTTAAAAATATATTCAGAGGGAAAGTGTATTTCCTATGTGAGTACCACGAGAAAAAGAAAGAAGAGAAAAAAGAGAACTGAATGAAAATAGGAGGGAAAGAGTGTAGTGGGGTGGAAATGAAAGGGACAAGATAGCCGGTGTCAGAGAGAACGTCCATTAACATGCAGATGGTTTATAATAGAAGGTAAAGAATGTGGTGGCAAAGTAGCTGAAATGTCAGATATCCACCCATTGGGCAAGCATTGTAGCCAGTGTTCTGCTGGAAAACTTTGTGTCCTAGAATTTATGTAGACGTTACTTTAACACGTACCACCTAGCTACGGATTGTTTCAGACCCTGATGTCAGTGGCCTCTTTCAGCATCATAAAATATGTTTAGGAATGATTTGAGGAACAAGACAAACAATTCAAGGTGTTGCTTTGGCCTCCAAATTCCCTAGATGCCAATCATTTTGAGCATCTGA